CATCTTCACATATTTATTTTTCAATGAAAAACTCGTGTGTTCTTGGCTAAAATCTACAGAATATGCCATTATCATTATTAGATTAATGGTAAGTATATCTCTTCTACTGAAATAAACTGAAAGCCTGTGTGGCACACTATGAGTCATGAGGTTGCTGGGAGGAACATCTTTTATGATTTTGCTCTAACCACTGAGTAACCACATACTAACATATTGTTTCATACTAGATTTATGCACAAAAGTCCCCTCCAAGCAGAGAAATGCTTCAGATTGTTCTCTCTTTAGTGTCAGTGTGTGAGAATATTAAGGGCTGGGCCATGTCAAATTGCTAGTGATAAATTGTGATATATATATATCTATCTATATCTATATCTATATCTATATCTATATCTATATCTATCTATCTATCTATCTATCTATCTATCTATCTATATCTATATCTATATCTATCTATCTATCTATCTATCTATCTATCTATCTATATATATATATATATATATATATATATATATATGGGAATAATATGAAAATGCCTATGCACTGTAGCTGATTTTTCTCTGAACTGTATCTGATTTTCCCCTGCATTATTATGGAGGCAGCCAGAGATTGTGGCTAATTGTTATGTAATTGTTAAGTAGAATTTTTAGGTATCTGTATTTGCTTAAGTAAACTTTACACTGGATACTTTTTACTTTTACTTCACTACATTTGAAAGCATGTAGCCTGTCTATACTTTCTACTCCACTACATTTTTAACTGAACTGAAAAGTTAAAAGTGCTTTTCATATGATTTGAGGGGTTATTTTTACTACCTCGTTCATGGTAACATCTTGACTAAAGTTTTTGAGTTGAGCATCGACTTTGAGTAAACATAAAGAAATTCAATAAAATAAATTAAGTTAATTAAATTGATTTGTACTGCAACTGTTGATCAAAATGTGTATAATTTTAAATCAGTATTATCAATCAGTTAAAGACATTTATGTGAAATACTTTAGCTTTTACTGTTTAAGTACATTTTTAAAAATAATACATGAATACTTTTACTCATGATTTTTTATGTCATACTTTTACTTAAGTAAGTTTTTATCTGTAGCTTTACTTTGGTAGTTCTTCCATCACTGCCCATAGCAACAGTGAGTGTGGAGACTCTGCCGAGGCTAAAAGTCTAACAAAGAAAGAAGTAAGACATGAGGTGTGGAAGCGCATCTTAGAGCTATAACTTTAGTAGCCAGGAACAACTTAATGCAAATATTATAGAAGTCACTCACCAGCAGCCTTAAGTATGTACAATATGTGTTTATGTTTGGGTTTTTTTGTAACACCAACCTTGCTGGGTGTCTGCAGATGGAAATAAGCCCAAGGAATCTGGTATATTTAAAGTCTAAATGTTCATTAATATGCACTGTTCCCCCTTTTCTTAACTAAAATAAATATTTAAGTTACCACAAATTTTCATTTTATATTTTGACAAAACTTTGGCAATGCAACACGGTCACAGGCCAGACCAGTCCTGTCTTAAGATAATGAATGGTTATTTGAATATTTCTGAATGCTTTTGTCTGTCACTGGCTTTATATGCAGTATAATAGTTGAGATGTAATCTTCAATTTGTGGTGATGGCATTTTCTCAATCAAATTTGTTTTTCCTTACTGGTCATACTGTCTGCATAACAAGACGACTGACCGACAGCAAAGGAGACATTTCAACCCAGGGCATGATGGGAAAATGAGGAAGCCCTGTTTCAACTCACAGTGTACTCTTTCTTTATGTAAAATGGCAGATGTTGATCAGACACTGCAGCGGAGATGACCTCAGCTCTACAGATCATATTCACTGTGTCTTATTGAGAAATCCAAGTACAAATCACATCCTGCAGCAGGTTTGTATTAGCTTCAAAAAGCATAGCAATAGACAGAAGTAAATATTTAGCTGATGTGCGCTTGCCTATTTACACAAAGACATCAAGATTCACATAGTGCTATTTTATAAGGATTAAATGTGAAACAACATTGATATTTAGACTACTAAACTTTATTTGAAAAACATGAACATTTCAGACATACCATATTTTCAGTTTTACTTCATGTAATTTTACTTAAAGGTGCATTGTGTAACTGTTCAGGTAGAGGCCTCCTGCTTGACCCCGAAATGTTCTACAGTGAGGAATTTAATTTAACAGTCTCTATAGTAACAAATGGGCCACATCACTAGGCCGAGTTACTGGTCAGATCTGTAGAGAAGTGGACACGCTCAAAGAAATAATGCTTGTTTATGCTGTAGTTTTGAAAAATAAAAACATTTAAATTGAACTGAACTGAATAAATATGAGATATATTTGTTTAATGCCATACTGTGTAACATCTCAGGCAATAACATCACTATGGAGACAAGTGGATGGTGGACTCTTCACCAGAAAAGTTACTGAATGCACCTTTAACATACTTTTTTTTTTTAGAAGGCATATTAGTAACTTTAAATTAATATATAAAAATAATATTTTTTTTCCTACTCTCTACAAGGTGGACAGTCTTGGGTATATTGTGACCATGGTGTGTTCTTTTCTTAGATAGTACCCACTGTAGCAGCCCCTCAGCTTTGCACCTTGCACTTTGCGCATATGGAACGATCAGTTTATGGCCCATAACAGCCCCAGTGTTTTAACCTGATCCAGTTCTTGCTGCTTTGATTCGAGATAGTCGTAATGTGGTCACCCAGGTCTGATTTACACCTCACTATAGGAAAGCAAAAGTGTGATCTCAAGCTCACATCAGCACAGCACAGCGATGTATATGATCTGTGTTTACAGTACTCAAACGGCACATATTTAGACAGGCTGTCCTCCCACTCCTCTTCTGTGATTTATTTTTAGAGTTTCACAACAGCATTTTTAAAGCCATATTCTGTGTCTGTGTTACATCTCTTTGGACAATGCTCCTGACCTTTTGGTGTCATTAATGATGGTATCCAAGAAACAGGGAAAAACAGCTTCTCTTCCTACTCAGTGTTAGCGAGATATCCCATCTGGACCATAAATCAGAAGTCTTAAAAGTATAAGGCAAAAGGGTTTTTATGTATGTACTTTTGTTTACCACTAGGGGGCTGTGCATGCTCAGTTTTAGTTAATTATTTAGAAAACTGTCAAAATATGCATGATTTTTGATGAACACAAAAACTTACCAAATCTTGAAATGAAATAAACCTATAAATACTTAAAATTCCCTAGGTGATTAAGTTATTTGCCAAGACTAAAACTGTAGACAGACAGAAACTCCCATGTGTAAAATAAATCTGAATAAAAAGGAATTGGCTGAAATATGTGGGAGCTTACAGTGAAACAGGTCTGAGTTTTATCCCACATGGAAAATGAGTCTATATTTGCAAAGTAACTTAATATTTGAATTCTCAAATGATTTCATCTATTACAGTTATTTGGATGACTTACCCCCTGGCATGTTTTGACTGTTGTAAAATCACATTGTACTCAAATGTAAATGAAATCAGTCAACTCACAATCTGCACATTTGCCATAAATTATACTTTTACCAGAGGGCACAATCCACATCACACACATGTCAAGCTGTCAATCATTAAGAAAAAAAAATGTTTAGTGTTCTGTTTTCCAGACATTACCACTGACCTGCATTAAGAGGCTGAAGTTGATATGTTGACATAAAGTAAGTTACTTGATTAAAATTTTGAATTAAAGGGCCCATATTACTTTGTTTTCTGAACTATGTTCTCATATTGTTTCCTTATCACAAACATGCCTAGAGTTATGTTTTTCATTCACACATGTTTAACACACAAACCATATGCATATTTAGGCATAGTTCTTCTCTCAAACTGAAAACACTCTGTTCCACCTTGTGATGTCATGTGGTAATAAAGGAAGTGCTCCGCTGGATTGTTAAACAACATAATAATTCTATGGAAGGTGCCACTAGAATCATTTGGATCATCTCAGCCTGTTAATTGCCAATCTCAAGTGAAGGAAAAGTTAAAAGGAGCTGTTAAATACATTAAGGAGCTGCAAAATCTGAGGAGGTTACAACATTCCAACATGGCTTAAAGCTCACAAGAGTCTGTACTTTCAGAATATACCCTGAATAAGATAAACTGTCTTCACTCATCAATTTCTATTTGATTGTTTCTTATTGTTATTACTGAGTACTTTTACTTCTTCCCAACTGTGTAGGCTATAAGTATTTTGAAGTAACAGTACTTTTACTTGAGTAGATGACCTACGGGATCTTAAACCCTTCGCACTGATCCGGAAATAAGTGGAACAAAAGCACAACAACAACTCCTTTGTTGAACTTTAAGGAGATTTATGAAGCTTATATTAGCTACCAGCTGGAGTCACCAAGTTTCAGTGAAGGTTAACATTACTTTATAAACCCAAACAATGAACAAGCTCCACTAAACTTGAAGTTGGAAAGAATATACACTGTTACGCTTGTATTGTATCAAGATTAATTGTCTTTTATTATAGATAATAGCTTGCAATGTTGTTTATGTTTCTAGTGTAAAAGCATTGCATTATACGGGACTGACGCAGGAACAGTTTCTCCACTACATCATCCACTGCAAAAAATAAAGCACTCATAGCCAATTTTGAACAAGGTGAAATTACAGCCTCTTAAAATGACAAAGCATCATGTCTAAAGTGTAGCTGACTCCCTTCCTTGCAATTCAGTGTTGCAAAAAAAAAAAAGCTCTGGTTAGTGCTAACAATTGTTAACTAATGAATAATGGCTTGGAGAAGAGTTTCACCTTGACACAGTAAAGAATGCCTGAGCAGTGTATGTAGGTTGTGTTTGTGTGAAGCCGATTATCCAAAGCAACAGGGCCATTGTACCTCAAACCTTATTTTGGTGACACAGGTTGAACAGACTCTGCAAAATGTAGGTGTAGTTTACCATATTTGTAGTGTTTAACTAAATAGCTTTTAAAATCCACTACCAGAAGAAGTTGTTTACAAGAAGGATTTACAATTATGGAAAGCCTTTGGATGTTTTTAGAGTGCGCATGTAGGATTCTTGGAGTTTCTACAGCAACAGGTACTGGCAAAATAAACTTAGATAGTAACATTGATTAATTATATTTCTTGTTATCATTCTCTTTAGTTGTAGTAGTAGTTTACTGAGTCATTTGCAGTGCTACAAGGACAAAGAATGCAATCCCATTTGTATAAACCTGTAAACCATGACAGAATTACAAGAAAGAAAATGATCGTCTGAGCAGCAAAGTTTGCATTTATAGTTTCACTTAGTGCTTATATATAAAAGAAGAAAAAAAATAAATAAAAAAAAAATAAAATTGATGCATGGATCATTTCAGAGCTCTATATTTTTCAAAAATATATATATCTTCATTTTTAAAGACTTACTAACAGAAATATAATAGTTTTTTTTCTTAGTTCTTGTCTTAAATTTTGACTTGACAGTGCAAACCATCTGCTTTCTAGCAGTTGTATATTGATTTTTATCCAGGTGCCCTTCCTGACATGTCTTTCTCCAAATACTTGGGCAAACACACAGTTGTGGTATCTTGTTGTATGATATAATTTCTTGTCATAGTGTAAAACTTCTGAAGTTGCAAATGGCAAAAAATGAAAGACATCATAGAGAAAAACATTAGTAGGTCAAGTAATGATGTAGGCCAGCTGTTGCACTGACCTCTCAGATCATCCAAACATATTTTTGATGATGAATGAAGTATGTAGTTCATCTTGCCGACTCAATCTTGCACAACTTTGCTGTTTTTTTTTTTTTTTATGTTTTTTCTGGCGCTGTTTTTTTGTCCGTCTCTGAGGCAGACTCCTCTCATCTTTCCAATGCACATTAAATCACCATGGCGAAATCGCTCGCTGGTTAATACTTCTTTTGCACTGAAATGTGGGACCCCCCTCTGTTCAAAACATCTGCAGACACTCAATTGAAACTGGTAGATATGTGTTTCATAGTAGATCCCGAAACATCAGTGACAAGATGTTGATGATTCACACCTACAGTAGTGAACATAGTTTAGTAAGAGTGCTTTCATATATAGAGAATTTGTAGGAATTTAACAACAGTTTTATTTGCATTGAATCTCAAAATATATGCATTGGTATAATATTATTTAGCTGAAATCATGTTTAAAGTATCAGAAAACATGTGTTTCTTGCATGTAAATAGTGGTGAACTTTTGGACAGACTTCTCCCTAGTGGGTCATATGTCATCAGTATGTTTGAACTCTCATCTTCCTGTAGTTTGCAACATATTTTCTTCACATATTGCTTCTAGAATCATAAAAATCTGTCATACACACTTTAATTTTGCACTATGATTGACTTGTGTCTACTTGTGTGTCCCAGTACCTTGCCCTGGAGCTAATCCTAGTAATCTCTACACTCAGACATGTATATATGTTAATATATTCCGTAGGGTTATAGTGGTGTTAATACCCCTCACGCTCTATAAACTACCAGAAAACAGGCAGCAGCCACATTCCCCCATTTCATTCTGGTGCAGATTTAATCTCGGATTCCTGGTAAACACAACAGAGAACACACAAATTGTTTCCATGTGCACAAACTGGGATGCAAGCTTCTAAACTGTGTAGGGAAAATGTAGGTGTTCAATCGAGTGATTATGACCTGTTATTCTTTAGTATTGTATTAAACTTAAAATCTAATAAAAATAAAATGAATGCAGCATGTGTAACAAAGAAGAGAAATTCGGTTGCATAAGTATGGCATAATCGGCTGTGAATTGACATTGTGTTAAATTTAGAAATTTTTCTTATAAGCACAAAAAGCTACAAGCCGCCATTTAAATTGTGTGCCAGTCTCGGTACACAGAGGGTTAATTTACGATGATGGGCATCTGACTTTCTGACACACACACAAAAAAGCGACACATTATAGCCACTAGTGTACTTAAGTAAACAAGGATGCTTTGAATAAACTAGACTAAATGAGGGTTCTACTACAGATTTTGTGGACTTCCTTTATGCCAGGGGTACATGGGCAGGATGGAAGCACACTTGTTAAGATGGTATTTTAAGCCCTGTATTTAAAATATCTTTAACGTGCTAAAACTACTCAGTGGGCACTGAAGTGGTAATTACAAGCAGGAGCCGCCTTTTACGAAAATACTATGACCTAGAAGGAAACTATTAGCAGGCATTAAAAACAACATGAAGTCTTGAGGTATTTATAAAGTACTATGTATGTACGTCATTATTTCAGGATTCCCTGTTTCATATAAAACGGTGTCACGTGAGGTCAGCGTGTTAATTGTGTGTAAAGAATGACATCTGGTGGACAAACTTTGAACAGGAGTTTGTTTTCTTGTAGTTTTGTGTGGAGTGGGGATTGAGACTATACAACAAGGACAGTTCACCAGCCTTGGCATCTACCTAATGTAAGTCTCTTGAGATCTGCTAATTATAATTTATTACAATACTTTTACGTCTCTATTTGTCTAAAGTTTGTTTAAAGCTTACCTTGGCTTTTGAAAGAAATTTGTTCTGACAATTCTTCATATTATTGTAGCCTTTTATTTTTCTGGTATTTGGCTATTGGCCAATGTCCCACAGGAAAACCTCCCAAAAGGAAATGCATGTTTTATCCAAACTCCAGAGACAATGAATAGATTGCATTTTCATTTTGTTTATCTGTTTCTCCTCATCAGAGTCTCATCAGTTGGGATCATGTTGTTTGAGATGGCCTTCTTCTTGGACACTCTTCTGGTCACATGTCTGATGTGAGTGCTCCCAGATCCATGTTTATATTACATACAGTAGTTATATCCGTTTTGTGTGATTCTGTACATTTCCTCTGGCCTTTGTTTAGCTGCCCTCCAGACTGGCAGATCTTTGTACTGTGGGGTAAAATGGCTCGTGTTGGAGGGTTCCATAAGTTCCTTTATTACTCCATAATGTCTGTGGTCTGCTTCCTGCATCCTGTATTGGTCTGGCATGCAACCATACCAGGTGACTATAGTACATAGTAGTTTTATTTTGTTTAATTTGTATTTATCTAAGTAATGTTTAAGTAGAACATGTTTGCAAATAAATGTACTCCACAAGAAGAAAGAGAAAATTCAAAAAGTGCGTCAGATTTGTGTCTGATAGTTTTGCAGTATTCAAATGTAAAGGAGCACATTTATTAAATTTTTTGGTGGAGGATCTGCCACCTGCTTGTTTTGGTTTTTTTGTTTTTGTTTGTTTTTTTGCTTAAAAATGCATTAATTCTTACTGTGAGTGGAGTTGACTGTGCCCTGTAATCTGCCCTGTAATTTGGTGGTGTCACCTGCTTGTCTCCTTGGTAATAGATAAGTTTAATGTCATAATGTGGGACATTTTTGGCAACAGAATAACACCTATGGAAGCAAGTACTTAGCAGACCCTCCAACAGAAAATGTCACATATCGTAAATTTAAACTCCAAAGCACATAAGTGACTGTAAAAGCTTTCAACATTTCTTTTTATAAATTGTCGTCGGTTGCAGGTACAATGCTCCTGGTGACTGCCTTTTTCAACTTCATATTAAGTAAGAAACCTAAAGCCTCCATAGATCAACAGGAAAGCGACAGCAACCAAAACCTGACCACAGTGTGTATCACAGAGCAAACTGACAAATCCTTCTCATTTCTTAAATTGGTGTGGCGGGGCAGGAAGGAGGACGGACTGGCCCTGACGAAGAGTGAGGAGGAGGAGGAGGGGGAGGACCTTGTTTCATGTGAGAGACGAGACAATATCCAGGCCATGTTAGCGCCCAAACATAAAGACAGAGGCAGGCAGAAGAGGAGAGACCGGGGACTTGTATGTTTCTGGAGTAGTAAAGAGGATCCTGTGGAGAGAGAGATGGAGGAGATGGACAAGTCATGTGACACGACCTCAGACACAGCACCCATGATCTCAGACTGATACTTCCTCTTTACAGAGAAAATAAAAATACTGTAACTCTGCTCAACAAATGGTGCCACATTCTTGGGAAAACATTCAAACATAAGTTGATGCTGTAAAGCTGAATTAAAAAAGCTGAGACACACTGTAAAATTTAAGGTCCTTTATTACCAAGAATAGACTCTTGTGAGCTTTAAGCCATGTTCTATTGTAATGTTGTCGCCTCTTTGACAACAGACAGTTGTGTTTTGTGTCATTCACACGTATTCAAGAAATCCATTATTATTAGTTTGGCTATATCTCCAGAACTCAAAATGCTCTGTTTAACTTTGTGATGTCATGAAGTGGTAGTTAAGTTAAGTTGACAGCTACCTTTTACCTTTTGTTTAGTGGAGATTTGCAATTCTAGGTCTGAAATCATCCAGATGATTCTAGTGAAGATGTATGGAGTTTAAAAACACAGTGGAGCACTTCCTGTATTACCACATGACATCACAAGGTCAAACTGTTTTGAGTTTGAGTGAAGAACTCAGTCTAAATATGTAGGATTTATGTGGTAAACATGTGTGAACTCTAGTTATGTTTGCGATGAAAAAACAACATTATAACATAGATTTAAAAAACAGAATAATTATGGGTCCTTTAAAACTGCGGCGTATAGACCTGTGTTGTTAACAATTCACCATAGTTTTTAACCTATTGTTCTGCACAATATACCAGTTACCATGCACACTAATTGTTACCAGATGTAAAATGACTTGTAAAATGTAAAATGACTGAATCAAATATGCTGTATAATTTGAAGAATATATGTGTAATGTGTAAATAAATAAACTGTATTTTTTATAGTTGAATTAAAAAATTTGCAAATGTACAAATATATTTTCAACATGACTATTTTGGGGTAATTGAATGTAGATATGACTTTTAACATGATTGAAACATGGACTCTAAACTCCACATGTTCCCAATCTTGTTACTACATCATGCATAATTTATGAAGAAATAAATTAGATCAGTTCTTTCAATCGTCAAGTGTCTGAGCATTGACGGTGAAACGTTTTGAAGCAGGTGCTTGCATTACCCATGGACTGAAGCATTAGCTGGTCTTTGTGTGTCGTGTGAGAGCGGTGACCATGGCGACGTGGGTGAGGAGGAGCAGCGTTAAAATGGTAAAGCGAGACCTATCAGATCAGTCTCTGTGGTGTGAAGGTAGACCATATGTTACCACCAGTGCAAAGCAAATCCCAAAGCAGTAATATTGGAAAGGGGTTAAAGATGTTAAAGTTAATTGTGATTAGCCATTTTATATGAAATCCAGTTTCAGAATTACGGTATTTCCTGGTAAATATTTTATTATTCTTATTGTATTTGGAAAATCCTTCTAAACTAAACATTTATAAATAATGTGGACTTTTTTGCTTTGCTCCCACTAAAGCATCTATTTTTTGTTTGTCTTTTAATTTGGCATGGATTTCCCACTCCAGATGCTCTTCTCTTCAATATCTTAATAGTATCTAAATAGCCAAAATGTAATTGTTTTGTATGTCTTGTTAAGTTCAATAAATTCCAAGTATTATATTGTGACTATATTGTTTCCTGACCATTGAACTGCAAAATGCATCGCCTTCATACTTGCACCTTCTTCAGTTCAGGTCATAAATCAATACAGTTTTTTTTTCTCTGTCAAAACACACTGTATCCCATATGCCTTTGTTTCCCAGACTGCAGATATACCCTGCAGTACAGTAAGAGTCTAGCCTCCAGCCAGCCTCTCCTCAGCAGCCAAGCTATAAAAAGAGGATCAATATAACATCAAATAACCCATTTCATAAAAGACATCTCAATGGGACTATGCAGCCAGACAAGCTCACAAAGGCATACGGAGCACCCCATATGTTGGACAAGCAAGTTATTCTCCAAGGGTGACACCAATTCAGCATCCCCTGCAGCTCTGTGTTAAGCTTTTGAACCGGATTGATCACAATATGTGTCAAAGGATGACACTGAGACATGTGAACTCAGTCAGGGGGAAATCCATGTTATTTATACCATAGAAACAGTGAATCTTTGTCTGTATAGTTTGTAATTGCCAGTGTTGTGAAATTAAAATAATTATACCCACTGTATAATTATTTTAGTTTGGTTTCCATTTAAAGTGATCTTACTCAATAAACTGCTTTGCTTTGCGTGAAAATAAGGGATGTGATGTTCTAACCACTTCTTTAAAGATCACAGTTTTAAATGCATAGTCTCCAGAAGAAGGGAAGTGATTCAGCTATTGGAGCGACTGACTTCCTCTGTACATTTTAAACCCATAAATCTTACTCATTAGAGAAAAAGGGAGGCAGGAAAAAAGGCTTCCGATAGTATGTGAATCCACCCAACAATGGTTTCCTAAAGGGCAAGTTCAGGTGCAAAAACAGGATGGCAGAATATCCACCAGCTCACACAATGACTTGATTGTTAAGAGGTGGAAAATATATCTTAGGCTAAATAAGGGTCTGTAGAATGTGATGATAGTGCTTTAAATCATGAATAATGAAGATAAATTTAAAAACTTCTTGAGTTTTATATAGTCTATAGCCCTAAGTAGCATTATGTCTTCAAAGGAGACGTTATTGCTTTGTCTAATGTTTCATAGTATGGCATTATAGCCATTTGCAAGCAGGTGATGCCAGACCAGACCAAGATAAAGGTCAGATCTGTGGAGAGGAGACCCAACTCACAGTAAGACTACATGTTTTTCATTACATGTTTTAGTATTTTTAAGAAATAAAAATGTACAGTAATTAAATAATGCTTTCTGTAGAGAATGTCGGGCAAAGAAATGAAATCTCAACGAAGACAAGCAGGTGACAAGATGACGTCCACTAGAAAAGTTAAATAGTGCACCCTTAAGATGATTGAGAGCAGCAAAATAAAAGCACTTTGCAGACTGAAGCAGACAGAGGTGTGTGTGCCCCGCCCACGCTCGAAGCTGGTTGGTGGATACGTATCAGCGCCGACTTCTGTTGGATCATCACGCCGTCATTTTTATCTATTCAGCCGTGAATACCGTACAGCAAGAGGGGCATGAAGACCGCTGCTGATAAGTGGGATTCAGCGCAATACGCTAGGAGACATACAGAAAGAGAAGATTGAGGAAAAAACTGTCTGCTATGGTAAGAGTTTCAACATTTGTTTTTATTCTGCAATAAAGAGAAACGGTTTACTTGAATATTTAGCAAAAAGCTGTTTGGGGGTAGCTCAACTATAACAACAGAAGCAAAACTCAAGCATTAAACGTATCAATAAAACTAATGCAAACGAAAGTGGTTAGCTGATTTAGTTTGTAGATTGCTGTTTGTGCCGCTACCCCGTTGGTTGAGAGTCCCCGGACATTTACGCATGGGAACGGGATACTGGCTGGGCTCAGCTGCAATTTGAGGTGGAAGATAATTGGACTGGAATCTCGCCATGATCAAACCAATTAACGAACACGCACTGGAGATTCTTTGTCCACCTTGGGAACGAGCCTAGATTGTGTGCAAAGCGCTCCAAAACATAGGATTATCACAGACAGACACAATATTTTATCCACGCGAGTCCATGCCATGCGCAATGATGGATAGATTTGGCGTGCTTTTGTTGAATAATTCATCTTAATGGTGACAGACTGGAAACCTTTAAGTTATGGAATATTTATGTTTACATTATGGTGTATAAATATGTATGAGTGTCAGACTGACCGTCCCATTATGCACCTATTTTATCAGCAGTGTTTCTGAGGGGGGCAGGTAGGCAGGCTCTGGGGTCACTGGAGAAAATTGAATTGCTCTAAAGTAATTAATATAAATGGGGAAGAAAAGCCAAATCAACATTACCAGACACAGAACGAACAGAACAGACTACATGCAGTATTTTTTTTTTTTTTTTTTTTTTTTTTTTTTTATTTTTTAGTTCAGTTGAGTGTACGTCTGACATTTCCCAGAGAGAGTATGTAGACCGTTTCCTTTCATCAGTCTGAATCAAGAGCATTTAAATGCCAAATGCATTGTTTTGAGTGTAACTTAAGTTTATTAGAGTTATTACAGGTCTTATAGTAAGCTAAATTGACTCTTGTCAGCTATAAGTCATGTTATAATGTTGATACCTCCTCAGAAACATACCTGGAATTATGTTTTGTTTGTTTCACACATGTATGAGTAACCTTTTATTATTAATATCTCTCTCCAAAGCTTAAAATGCTCTGCTCCACCTTGTGATGCCATGTAGTGGTAGTTTTCAAGTTAACAGTTATCTTTCCAAGACTGAAATTACCTAAATGATTCCAGAGAAGGTGTATGGAGTTTAAAAACACAATGGAGCACGTCCTGTATTACCACATGATGTCACAATGTTGACTAGAGTATTTTCTGTTTTGAGAAGAACTCAGCCTAAATATGCAGTCTCTACATGTTAAACATGCATGAATGAAACAAAACACAATTCCAGTTATGTTTTTGATGAGGAAACAGCAACACAAAATAGAGTAATATGGGCCCTTTAAGTATTGAGGCAGAGATACTTTATACCTTTATTGCATTATTTGTTTACATCATGTAAACAAGCCTATCTAAGCAGAGTCTATACTCCTCCTTCTTCACCTCTTTCACCTCCTCCTCCTTCTCCTACTCCTTCTCAAAAATTATATTTAGTTGTTCTGTTGCATTGCGCAAAATGGCCAACAGATGGTAGCATTGTGGCCTGCAAGAATCTTTTTATATTCTGTGTGATCAGTTACCTTTTCAACAAAGCACTTCAGAGACTTTGATGTTAGCTTACAGAGCACACATTGTAACACAGAATGGCAAGAATAACAAGCTCTTATACCCACAATGATTAAACCATTGTCATGAAAGTATAGTAAGTATAAAATATCTACTACTGAACATGACAGATTTGAGAGATTTGATTTATTGATGGCTCTAGGGTTAATAATTAACTTTTTAAACCTTCAATAAGAGCTATAACCCTTGAGTCACAGTAATGATAATATAAACTGTACAGTCAATCATGTAAAACGGTTGAAACATTTTGAGGAAAAACGTAAGTAGTAAGACCAGTAGGCCTGAAAGGAGATGTGTTAATAAGTTAAGTTAAATAACATAACACATAATAGATGAACTGCATTTTTTACTGTAATTCAGAAAATGTATTTTAGTTTTCCTTGGTAGTGGGCGGGCTGCAGCATGTGGCCTCATTCAACAGAGTAAACATTGAACTGTTCTCTTGGGTTTTCTAATGCATATCTTGATGACAATCTTAATAATTACCTGTCTATTGCTCAATCTTCGCTCTACTGGTCACCTGACTTGAATGGTTTGTAGATTAAGTAATAAGGAAAGTCCCGTTTTGTAGGTGGCACAATGGGTGTACTGTCTGTTGTCCAGTTTGCTTTCACTTTCTAGATGAGTTAACTGGAGTAACTGGGGTAATAATATTTAGATAACTCTCAAACTCGCTATTCCAATATTTTAGATTCAATAACAGGCAGGTTGGTGCATGTCTGTTTTCCACTTTTTCCAGTGAGAATGGTTACAGCTTTCACTCAGCAAACTGGGTGAAAGTTGCTTTTGGTTGTGTGTGTTTCCTTCAGTTGCATGTCTTTTCACATTCCCATGTCACAGTTGTTTTTAGACAGTTAACATTTTATCTCCAAAACACTCACTTATGAACCATAAACAATGATCCTTGGTGATTACAAGTGTTGGCCTCTTGCAGCTGTACAAAAACATGTATTCAGAAGTCAACAGTGCCACACAGAGTTAGATGCTTTGTGTGTTATGTGTTTCACATATGACATGTTTACATTGTGTCTATTGCTGAGTCACTTCCTAATGGCAGACAAAGGTCTGCCAAGTGATCCCAGATCTTCAAACAGAAACTCCTGCCTTCACAAATCCCATATATGGAGCTCTATGTTACATTTGTGATGGGAAGTCTACCATTTGTCTCAATTGAGGTGCTAATGTAATATCCTGGTTGCATCTCCTGCTTAACTCCATGGCGAGATATACAAGTTTTATGCCATTATGTGGAACATTCGAGGCACAGAAATGATATCTGTATGGAGACAAGCAGGGAGCTGGTACTAAACAAAAACATTTACATAAGGCACCTTTAAAAAGAAATAAATCACAGTGTAGCTTTGCTCAATTTTATTACAAACATACAAAAGTATATAAAATAAATACAAAATAATGTCAGCAGTTTACATCCCTATATGATCTTTGTACAAATCATAAGCCTCCAGGGCTTAAATTGAAATCAGTCTGGTACAAAAAAAAGCTGACGTTGTCTTCAGACACTGCAGAAAACAACACAAGGCTGAAATTTGACCATGAAAACCGTTCTTTAGACATCTCCATCAGTCCTTGAAGTAGACAGAGCATAAATCTCCCTCAGCAGTAATTGATCCTATGGACAATGATTACTGGGATGTGGAGGCCGACCCGCTGTGACTCTGACCCCGGTGTCTTTGTCGTGATCTCTGGCGATGACCTTTTGTTCTTCTCCTGTTCCTCCGGAGGCATACTTTCACATTACGGCCAAGCTTATGGGCTCTGGGGGAAATAAAAATGTATAAAATGTAGTTAAAAGTCAAGGGTCTGAGATGTTACTTATTAAAAAATCTATAGTGAGATCAATGATTCAGTTTATATGACCTAAGTTGAAAAAAAGTAGTGGTTCCTGTATGTAAATGTTATGTCTTTTTTAAGCTCTTGTCAAAACATTTTATTCCAACTTTATTTTCGAATTGGCTCTGTATAATGTTCAAATGTGTGTCTCTAAATATTTGTTTAAGCCTTTGCTGCTGCTTTGTTATCACTAAAACCGGTTTAACCACATGCGCCCTGAGTTGTGATTTACTGGAAATCTACATGCCACATTATATTGTACAACACTTTATGGCCTAGTTAGGGGTTAGTGGTGTAAACCTTACCTATTCCAACATCGAATCAGCTGTTTGCCCATCTGACCTTCTGGACTTAGACACACTGGTGCATTATTTCTCTTCATCGTCACGCTAAAAAGATTACATTGATACTTAAACTCAAGTATTGAAATGTACATTGAATGTGAACGCAGTAGTTGATACTTACATGACTGTTATCTTATCACAGCTTGGGCTCCTGGGGTAGACAGAGAGCTCTTTAAGGGGGCCTCTGACACCTGGTTGGGTTTTTGGACATAAACATCGACCTGGGACAAATGTGCTGCCAGACTGTCTCACTGCACAAACACAGTAACAAGATTAGAGGATAACTCTGTTGCAATAGGACAGCAGACTAGGTAACCACATGCCTAAATGAATGCACAAAGAAACGACTAAATCACTCATCTCTTAATAATAATCAAAAATAGGGAAGCATAAGGTTATTATTACCTGATAGTAGTGTGAACAGGACAATCAGAAAGCCAAACTGACAGAGGGATCTTGAATACAGCTCCATTCTGATGTGAGACAAATGCTACTGAGCCCCTAACACACATCTGAAGCTCTTTTATACCCAAGCTCCTCCCCCGCATACTGCAGCCACTGGGCTTTCCACAAAAAAGTCCCTGAGCCACTGAAAATGAAGTCAGAGGATCCTGAAGGATACACGGATCAAGGGCGTTATTACTTGAAAAAAATTATGCCTAAAATATCTGACAGCAACAAGGACACTTAAAGCATATTGTGCAGTCAAATGTACTTCCTGTAAACATGGCTAATTTTGTAGAAAAAAACTTTTACCCTCTTCTATTGTTAAACTGAGATGTTTTCATGGACAATGTGTGTGGATGTGTTAGTGTCTTTAGATACAAGAATTATACTGTGGCATTTTACAGCGCTCCCACATTACTTGTATGCTGGAACTGAGTCAACAGCACCATGTGATTTCCTCTAATGCTGTATCCTGGTGGACAAACACTGCACCAGGTTCAGCAAGCATTTTTATGGATCTGAAAGATCTTAATTTCTAAGATCTCTAAGATCTCTTGTGAAATTAAGGTTTAGGTACACTTTATTGTCCCAGTAGGAACATTTGTTTTTTTGCATTGGACCCACGTCTGTGCCGCTGGGGCAACCTTTCCTGTGGGTGCCACTGTGCCTCTTCCAGGGACCCATCTTCATGACCGTCTTGCTAGATTTGGTCAGGACTTTACTACTTTTGCTGGAGGAATGTAACTATTGTGTTGTTTGGGGTTGGGGAAACCAGATTGCCAGAGGAAACCCACCCAGACACAGACAGAACATGCAAACTCTGCACAGAAAAGCCCGGGAATCAAACCTGACACCTTCTTGCTATGAAGCCACCTATAAAAAACACATAAGAAATTTGGATCTCTGTATTCACAGCTTGTAATATTTTTATGTACTTTTGTGCTAATCACATCTTAGTTTTTCTAAGACAAAAACATTGTTTCATATAAAAAATATAATACAGCTTTTTATTTTGTTTGTTTGCACAACAGGGTTTGGGTCAAAATGGGCGAGCAACAGGCATGTGTGAAGCTCAGTGAAGAGAAAGTCATTCCAAGGTGAGTCCATCATTTTTCACTGCATCCTCCATCAGCATCACTGAACAATTACTCTGTCAATGTTGTCTTAGGGCTGACATCTTGTCTCTTCTTCGCACCTACAATTGTTACCATGAAGGCAAAAACTTCCAGTTGAGGACTCGTGAGGTAAGATACTGTATTTTCCATCCTTGTGTGAGAAAGTGTAGCATCATGAGCCAAACAGATTTGTAAAATAGGTCACACAAACACTGAAATCAGTTTAAGCATAAATCTGATTCACATGCATACAAAATAAAGTGCAACCAAACATGGCACGAGACTAGAACTGCAATTTCTCAGCAGTATTTTTGCAAGGTCAACAAATCAAGGTTGGCATTCAGTTAAAGAGAAAGTGTTATAATTTGTCAATGGCAGCATGTAAACGTTACACCAAATGCCTTGTAAAACACAACTGAATGTTTTACAGTTGTGGTGAGGCTGTGAAGGTGTTTGCAGCAATGTGGTGATTTGTTACATTCTTATATTATGGGTTTTATGGTTTGGAGTTTCCCTTTGTGTTTCTCACTGGACACTACTGTGATTGTGTGAAGGAAAAGCTGGTCATGATGTTTTCAGTCCCTTCAACTGTATTCACTCACTCAAGTCATGATGGGAAATTCCCCACTGGCACAACATGCTTCATACAACATATGAACAGCCCTGTGCATGTGCTGATAACACCAACAGATACCAGAATTAGTATTTGTAAAGGTAAAGAAAGAGAGATAAAGAGAAAGAGGAAAATGTATTAGGTATAAATATGACTTTTTCCGTGTAATTGCAAACCTTGTAGTGGTCTTTGGTTGTTAGTAGTAGGTCATGGGTAGCCCCATTGTGGTATTAAGGTCTTGTGTCATCACTTAATCTCTAGACAGCCAGAAATGATTAAAATAATTTAGGTCAAGACACAGGAAATACTGAATTCATTTGTCACTTTTGAGGTTGTTACCAAGAAATATAAAAGAAGTGGTCAGTCTGTGCTATAGGCCTGTGGGTTTACTGGACTACTCCTGTTACTCACATCTCCAATAACAGGCATTAATCCAGTGATGTCAGCAGAGCAGTGATGTCATCACATTCTATATCACTGCTCTGCTGACATCACTATAGCAACAGGTAAACTCTTATTTGATGTGGCCCCTTTGTATGTAATTTAAAGGGATAGTTCGGGATTTTTGACATACATCTGTATGGCATCCTAGTGTGCAGTGTCGTGCATCAACACTGACTTACCCCCGACAGCGTCTGGTGAACCGAGATACTGGCCGTTTTCGGTGCTGATGAAAGTAGTCCGGCAAGTTGGCTGGGGACAGTATAATAAAGTGTTTTTCTTCTCAAAACAATATGTGTTCAAAAGAGTGATACATTTGCATCACAAAACCATTGTCGCCTAAAAAGTCAGACCTCATTATCGCTTGGCACTATTTTCTTTCCGTTCGTATCACTGCGCGCTGCCGCCAGGTGACAGCCACGCCTGGTTCACTTTGTTTACTGCTTGGATTGTTAGCGACAACATGTCTGATTATGACAAGGACAATAAAGACATTGCCTTTACCACAAAGCCAAGGGGAGATCTTTATGAACCTGAATATACTGATGCCGAAATTCGCCAGATGAAGTTAGAACGGGCAGAGATTGAGCAGTGCCACGCTGCTTATGCTTCCCTTCTGCATCTAAAAGACCAGCTAGTCCAGAAACTAAACAACTCCAAGCAGGAGATGGAGCAGCTGAAGGTGCAGCACCAGGGCATTTACAGAGCACTGAGGAGAACAAGAGGGCCCTTCTGCAGGACAAGATCCGGGAGCTTTCTGAGGTTCTGACCTCTTCAGAACAGACTAACGCTGCTCTGAAGAGACAGAACCAGGAGCTCCAGGACAAGATTATGACCGAGGAGGAATGCATCAATTGAAAGAAGAGGAGAGGATGGTTCTCCCGGTTCTTCCGTCGCACTTAGACCACGTGGAGAATTTAATGTACTTTGAGAACTAAAAAGTTCTCATCGTCCATTCAATTGAATTGAAAATGATTTGATGGAACAATTAGCTCACGTATTAATTCTTAAATTTGTATTGGAGCTAAGGCTAAATGTTTTCCATTCTTACCTTTTCATTAATGTTTATTGATATTAATTGTTATTTGTTATTTATTTATTTATTTGTTATTTGTTTATTGTTATTGTTATTAATGTTTTCATATAAAATATCACTCCCCCCCCGAACTGCCACCTTACCGTGGTGGGGGAGTTTGCGTACCCGAATGATCCTAGGAACTATGTTGCCCGGGGCATTACACCCCTGGTAGGGTCTCCCATGGCAAACAGGTCCTAGGTGACGGGGCAGACTAAGAGCAGTTCACAGCACCCTTATGAACTTAGAAATATCGAGGACCGTGACGTCACCCAGTATGGCGCAGCCGGGGCCCCACCCTGGAGCCAGGCCTGGGGTTGGGGCTCGAATGCGAGTGCCTCAATATTGCTGTACATACCTCCACGAAGGATATTCACTCGAAATACCAACAACAATCCATTTTACTGGCACCCAAAAATGATCATATACAGATGTGCGTGGCTGTTACCTGTAACCTACTTCCAACAGTAAAATTTAGTGTGTAAATGAAATTCCATTAAAATCCTTTACTGATGCCATGTTATTTCATTTATGATGAAATCACAATTTTATAATTCATGGTTATTGATAACATGACCAACAGTGTAATCCTCTAAGCCCTACTGTGTAACTTTTTATTTATAACCCAAAATAGACTGTACTGGAGAACAAAGAAAAGCACATGTCAGCGAGATCTCCACAAAACTCTTACAAGGCCACCTGTTTCCATGGAAGTGTTATTCCTTTGGCTTTAATATTGTTCAGCATGGCAATCCTCCATGGAGGATTTTCTAAAGCATGGTGTTAACCTTTTATTTCCATTGAATCTTGCAGTTTAATCATAATCACCATTTATCTAGTTTGTGAAACCTAACTTTTTGAATTAATATATAATGTAAATGTGGCTTTTTGAGTAGAGACTGAATTTACTGCTTCTACATTTTTTACAGTTAGTAGACTTTTTTTTTTTTTTTTTTTTTTTTTTTACAAAATATGGTGATCAGAATTGTCTGACTAATCTCAACATCCCCAAACTACAAGAATATTGGTTAAGAATGGCCAATGTAGGTCACTCGACAAGTTGTGTAAATTAACGGATCAGGTTATATTTTCACTGAGCCTAAGTTGTGAGGACAAAGGGGTTACTCATCAGTGATTCACTGTTTTGGAAACAGTCCCAGACCATGGCATGAGAAACTGCAAAGGACTTAAATAATTTTATGAATGAGAAGCCACCATTAAATTGCATAATCATTCACAGACAGACAGATTATATTATTTAAACACAACTTCTGTTAGCACTGCTTACTAACACTGTTGGACAAAATGAGAAATATTACCCTCTTCACCCCATTGCATCATGGCTCATGTCATGCAGGTGGTGTCATGTGATAGGGTTCGTTTATTTGAGGTAGTTTCACTTCAAGCTAAGATAAACATCAGGGAGCAAATTCTAACTTGTACTTTCACTGTTTAATCACATGTCCATGAATGTATTATTAGTCCTAATGTTTTTGTATTCTTATAAACATGTATGTAATTTATTTATGTAATTTAAGTCCTAGCTAATCTAATGTGTCAAGCTTGCATATTATACATTTGGAACAAAACTGGTAACGGAAGGAAGAAAATGGTCTAAACTGGGCGGGCATAGGTTTTTCGTATTTTGGGCCAGTGGGAACTTCTAGTGGTGCTTCACGGTAATGTTGAGTTTTTATTTTCTTTTGTAGTTCAAAATTATACCACAAGGGGACAGTATTTTACTTGTATTGAACTACTGAATGATAATTATAGATTTGTTTTATATCAGTAGACTCTAGGGATGCAACAATTCTTTACCTTGCTTTAAAGGTTGTATGGAGGATTTTTTTGTTTTTGTTTCAAATTGTCAGTGAAAGTTTAAAACACCATTACGGAGATACAGCAGCCTTGTAATTATGATGACCAAAAAAAAAAAAAGAATGAAAATCTATCAACTGTGGACGTAGTGAGGCCAGATAAACATCAGCCAATAGATAACAAGGCTGCCTCATTTTCTATTGGCTGTTAGGTTGTCAATCAAACTTCCTACGTTTCTAGTGTAACTGACTCACCTAGCGCTCGGGGATTATGTGGTTTATGCAGTGGTTCTTAGAGGCTTTTTTAAACTGTAGCTTCCTCGCAGTTTGCACAAAGTTTGTTGAGATGGCGGACGAAAATCCACCACCAGTTCGCCGCAAAAGAAAGTCCGTTTTTGAGGTCGCTGAAAGAAGAAGAGAAGGGGAAAGCAAAGCCAAACTGAGGTGATACTTGGAGATTTCTTCCAGCGATGGCGCGAATGAAGCAGACAAAGGGTCCAAAAACTGACGTGTCGGTCACTAAATTATTTCTAGACAGGTCACTTTCAGCAGTAATTCTGAACGCACACTGGCTGTAAACAAACGTGATTTCTAGAGTAAGGAGGCGGGAGGAGGTGTTTCTACTGAGGGAGCTGTGGAGGAAGAAGGTGGTGTCACGCATGCACAATATTTGAAAAAGGAATGTCGCTGTATTTCTTTTCCCTTAAAAAATCCTCTATACAACCTTTAATATAGGCTGTAGAACTTCTTGGTGAAGTTTATTGGTTTTCATCACTAGAATACATCCTTCCTGCGCTGTTTACTGCTCTGCGTCAGTATGGAAAATTTCTCTCAACATATGGCACATGTGCATGACATAGCTATAATTTTCTAAATTAGTATAGATTATTTAAATTTAATTTAAATATTAATCTGATTAATCTGATGAAAGTAGTTATGTCTTGTTGAGACATCCAGTATAGGATTTCATCTCACAGGGCAAAGAAATCCTGTAAATTGAGAGCAAAGCTCAGATTTTGGAATCAATATCTAACAGAAAACCATGTACTGCAGCTACTGTATGCCAGTATTACAATTAGTGCTGTCATGCGATTAAAAAAATTGAGAGATTAATTAATTATGATCTGTAATTAATTAATCTAATTAATCTCATTTTAATCTCACCTGAAAATTGCTGAGAAAAGCCTTCAATTTGAGGTATTTTCATTTAAATTCATTATTACATTATTGTGGCAGATCAAAAGCCTGATATAGAACAAAAAAAGTGACTTTATAAAGTCATTTATTGTTTAACAAATCTCTCCAAATTGGCTGTTGAGCCCAAGTCTCCATGAATAAGAAACTGTTTGCTGTAAAGTTGCAAAGACTACGAAATCTGAACATAATAACTTTTGTCTACTTAAAGACAATAAAAAGTCCAGTCTTTCCTTAACCATATTAAAAATATCATTGATAGAGAAATGCTTTATATATGAGTCCTGGTTTAGACCTGCTTTAATCCTACTTTAGTCCTAGTTTAGTCCTGGAATGGATTAATCCTGGTTTTAGTCCTGGTGTTAGTTCTGGTTTAGTCCTGGTTTAGACCTGGTTTTAGTTCTGGTTTTAGTTCTGGTTTAGTCCTGGTTTAGTCCTGGACTGGATTAGTTCTGGTTTAGAGGCGCACAGGAGGAAGCGCGGTTTACGCAGCGTACGCGAGAAAACACGATCGATCCACACGCGGCTCATGGGAGGACAGCGGTGTCCGCGCAGTAACTACGGAAGGAAACGTGGTCCGCGCGTTCTCAGGTTAATGACGATAATGAAGTGTGTGTGTTTGTGTGTGTTTGTGTGTGTTTGTGTGCGTGTCCCCTCATGTGGCAGGTCACTATAGGACAGTAGTGCAGACATCATGAGCCTATGCAGGTTGTTTTCACCAGTGACATTTAAGTTGTAGGCGATATTATATTTGTTATTTTCTTTTATATTTCACGTCGGGAGAATAATTTCCAAGACACGAATGTGTTTTTACCTGTGCACTGCTGCTCTGTTCTACTGGCTCTTCCACCTCGTCCATTGTGCGACTGACGCCGCCAACGTAAACATGACGTTTACATCGCTTTTACTGCGCGCGTTTTGTGTGGTTTTCCGGCAATGAGTGGAATTACCGAAATAAAAAAAGGTATAAATGTGTGGGGGTTTTTTTGTGTGTGTGTGTGTGTTGTTGTCCCAACAACACATAAAAACAGGTTTTATAATAAAGCAACTCACATACAGAAACAGTAAAGTTAGAGATTAAAAATGAGATTAACGCGATTAAAAAACATAACGCGCTAAATATGACTGTAATTAATTAATCGCAATTAACGCGATAATTTGACACCCCTAATTACAATGTCTAAAAACTGTATGGAATTACTCTAATTTACAAAATGTAATACATTAATTCATTTTACAAAATAAGTGATGTGAATAATGTTCATATTTGAATTTAGGTGTGGTAAATAAGACATCACAAAAAATATCAATTTAAATTCTTCTTTTTTAATTAAAAAACAAACATAATAATAATAATACATTAAGGAATGTAAACATGTAGTCCAGAGTATAAATAATAAATAGCTGTTGTAATCCAGCACATCGTAAAGTCTTTGACACGGAGGTTCTACAGCATATCGTATCCTCAAGATTTCATCCAACAAAGCAGCTCCTTCAAGTCCTTTGTCCAAATAACCAGTCCACGGGGTCCTTGCCTCTGCAGTCCCTCTCTCTGCTCAGCCTCATGGATAGCTCCTCTGGGCTCTGGGATAGACCCCTGGAAGTCCTTAGTGCTCGAGGAGAACCACGAGGTAAAGAGGCCATGGCAGGCAGCTTCATTTGGGCTTTAGAGCTGGACCGTCCCCTTTGTCCTCTCTGGAGACGCACCGGGCCACAGCTGGGGGCCTCTGAAGAACAAGCCAGCGCCCTCATACTGGCCATATAATCATCCAAAGAGGGTAAACTGTGAGAAGGCGGGTACAGGCTCTGGGGAGAGGCGTCCTCCAGTGTCTCTGTGATAGTGGGCAGATGAGGCAGGGACAGCAGCAGTCGCTTGTGCTTCATTCTGTACAAAAATAAAATCAGATTTAGATTCAGACAGCCACAATGAATCAACATTTTAGTGCCCCACAATAACTCAGGGGGCAATAAATGAAGGACACAGTCTTTTCCCTGATTGAAAAAAACAAAAAACAGAACAAAAACTGAATTATGCATTTGATTCACTAGAAGAATTGATTTGTTTACAACAGTATAATAGAATTTCAATATCACTAAATGACTCTAGATAATAGTGCCCCAAATGTAATATAAAAAAAAAAAATTGTTGCTGAAAAATAATACCAATATATCTTATAGAGACCTCTATATACAGTAAATAAGCTTATTAAATGGAAGAAGACTCCTACCTTTTCAGTTGGTTCAATAGTTGAATTCAAGCAGTGATGTTGTTGTCAAATCTTGTGCCTGTGATGCTTCTGACTGGACCAGAATGTGTATCCAGGCTTTATAGCGACACAGCGGAGTGAGAGATTAGTCCATGTTGCTAAAATTAGCTCTCTCTCTCTCTGTATGTGTGTGTGTGTGTGTGTGTGTTATGGAGAAAGAGGGAGGGAGAGGTGGAGGGCGTGTTTAGGAAGCAGGAGTGGCAGGTTACCAAGGTTCAGTGGTGCAGCTGGTTCCAGTGTTTATACTGCAAAAACAATGATTATGACCCCCCTCCCATCATCCCCCTCTCTGTTTCTTTGTGTTCTGCAGTGTATAGTAAGAGAAATAACTAGAAACAGCTTGAAGACACTAGCAAAGGAAGTTAAAGGAACACTGTGTAAGTTTTCTGGCAGAGAGTCTGTCACCTGCTTCTCCTGCCTGGAATTTTCCACAGTATAGCATTGCATATCTTTATGGAGACTACAGGTGACACCACAGGGCCAAGTTACAGGTCAGATCTGTGGAGAGGCGAGCCCACTCACAGTAAGAACACAAGTTTTTAGGTCTATAATAACCATGTTATTAAGTAAATGCAAGATGTATATCTTTAATGCCATATTTGGACATTCTAGACAAAACAATTACAGCTCCATGGGGACAAGCAGATGGCAGACCCTCCACCAGAAAAGTTACACAGGGCACCTTTAACGTAAATATGTTTTAGTTGTGTGTATGCTGTTTGGTAAAAATGTAATGTAACAGATTCTCTTTGATAACTTTCTATTCATAATAGTAACTCAAAGTCACAGCGGTGCTCCCTTTGTGGCAACCCCAATCCTGGATAAAAAAAACTAAACAAAATGGGTTGCATTAGCCAATGAATAATTTTATGATTCAAGGTTATTGACAGCATAACCAACAGTGTAATATTCAAAGCCCCACTGTGTAACTTTTAAGCTTCAAAACAGACTGCACTGAAAAACACAGAAAACCATGTTTAAAAACCATACTGTGAGTGAGATTTCCACAAAACTGACTTTATTTGGCCTGGAGGAGGGCTTGTTTCCATGGAAATCTTTGGCTTTGGCTATAATATTCCACAGTATGGCAATCCTTCATGGAGGATTTTTGGAAGCATGATTATAACTGCATATTTCCATTGATTCTTGCAGATGATGTGTTACCTCCAAAAAGCTAGAAAGAAAAAGAAAATGGGTTGCACTGGCCAATGATTGCAGAAAAGGATATGTATGCCAAAAGGATAGACAGTTGTGATACATTTTGGTCATATAATGAAAGTTGATGATTAGGGGTTGTGCCAGGATATTTACCAATTCATGTTTTTTCCATTGAATTTGACTTTGGTTAGAATGGCCCGAGGATAGGCAGACCAACTGACTTTTTACTAGATCAGCTGATAGGGGGGTCTTCTGACTGTTAGATAACCAGTCTGGCTGTGAAATTGATTTATATACTTGTCCATCATTGGAATTTGGGTTAAACAAGACAACAGCTGTGTTTTCTAAAACAGAAGAATGTGCTGAGTAACAAAAAAAGTAAATCCTTATATATGTTATGATGTAGTATGCTCTGTAATACCAGTTTCTTGTTTTAAATCAGCACAAAAGAGGCTCTATTTTGATGACACGTTCAAATCAAATTATAAAAATAGGTCCAGACACATTTTCCTTTTGGTGAACTCAGTGTACGTGACCAGTTCTCTTTTTTGACCCAGACGTGACTTTGGTCTTGTGCTCCATTTGGAAAAAAATCAGGTGGAGGAGGTGGAATTTCACTGGGATGAGAAGTTTGCTCTACAGTTATGAGCGTCCATTTCTGCACGTACACCTGACATTGAGCTCCTATGGCAGTCGGCCAGTAGGATATCCTCCCAAAGCTGCCCTTTTGATACCCATTGTTAAAGTATTGTCTGTGTGTGTTTTTATAGTATTGTCTATGTGTGTGTGTTATGTGTAGGAGGATGGTGTGCTCATTCTCGAGGGGCTCCTGAACATTTACTGGGGCCTGCGTCGACCAATCAGGCTTCAGATGCATGATGACAACGAGAGGTTTCAGCTTCACAGGTAGGACAATAAAAACATACAACATGCCATAAAAACAACAACAAAAAGAATAAACTAAATAAAAACTGAACCCTTGTCACATTTTTCATTACAACCTTTTACACTGAAGAGAACACTGAAAATTACTTAACATTATGGCGATTAACAATTTTTTATAAATTTTTATAATTTGGATCTGCTTTTATATAATAAAAAAAATCTAACTTAGATACTATACATGTGCAGTGCCTACATTAAGCATTGGAGTAGAGTTTACACCACAAAAGTCTCACACACCGCTAAAAATATTTGGGAACCACTGCTGTGCAGAAAGTAAATTCTGTAACAGAAGATACTTCCTTGGAAATTATTCAAAAGCAAATCTCATGGTCAAAATTGCCACAAAACTTGACTTGCTGGTTACCAGCTGCTCTGAGCTCACTACACCACTACATTTTATCTCTCTGCAGATTGACTGTAGCCAAGAAGCTGCCGGGAGAAACCAACAATAATCCCCTGGACAGACCCAGAGCCGGTGGATCCTCAGGTGAGCGTATAAGGCACGTGTGGGCACCTGCATCAACAAAGATTAGACTAAATCAGATTAAAGTCTAGAAGTGCTTCTGTCAACAGTTCCATTGGAAAAAGTAGCGCCTCACGTGTTTCACACAAACACTTAAATCTGGTTTTGGCTCTAGTGACGATGGTCGATCAATTTACCCATGGCCATGTGTCAGCGGCAAGTTTCTAATGCACCACTTTCACATAAAATCACACTTTTCACCATCTAAATTATGTCATGGATAGATCTGTTAATGCTAACACTTTTTTCTCCACTTAGTCTCTATAAAGAGACATTTCAAATAAAGACTTGTGCTCAGCTGCAGGATAATGCAAATGCTACACTCATGTTTTGAAATATAGTTGAATCTTGTAAGGCTTTCTCAGTCAGAAGTACTTATTTTCAACCCCATGGAGAAACTATTTTAGAAGACATATATTTCAGAAAGAGGGTTTATTTCTTAATAAAAATAAATAAATAAACATGTTTAAAAAGCAATATAAAATAGCACAAATGTAAATTTTGAAATTAGTTTAGACTAGTAGTTATTTATCTTTGATTAGTAGTTATTTAGCACCACTGCCATTTTGAAAGTGCTGTTGTGTGTTGAAGGTGGTGAAGTGTCTGGGGAGGAGGAGGACTCCCCACAGTTGCTCAGGACTCGGAGTGATGCCTCGTTCATGAGAGTTCAGAGAAGGACAAAGACACAAACCTCCGAAAACCTGCAGCGACTGCGCAGACACCGCTTCTCCATCAACGGACATTTTTACAATCACAAGGTGTAACAATCACAGCATGATGATTGTATGTTCCCCATTAGTGTATCCTGGTTTTGACACATCTCCAGGTGCATAGTGCCGTGGCTTCCTGTGTGGATGTGCCTGTAATAAGCAAAAAGGCAGCTGTGGGCTTGTTTTATTGAGGTGTGTTACTGAAGGTCACTTAGGCTAGCTTAATGAATTCTCAGAAAAAGTTGCACATTAGAGGATAGGGATTTCCTCCTGTTCATACTGATTTAAACTGCTCAAAGAGTGGAATCACAGATGTTAATGACAGAATTGCCTGTAACTTGTTTTGTTTTTGTTTTGCTTTAGACATCTGTGTTTACTCCAGCGTTTGGCTCAGTCACGAATGTCAGAGTGAACAGCTCAATGACCACAGTTCAAGTGCTAAACCTTCTGCTTCACAAGTTCAGGGTGAGCTGTTTGACTGTCTGTCTGTATGTGGCTGTTTACATATGATAATATATTTTCACTTTTATTTTGGCTTTCGGTAATAACCCTTTGTGAAAATTAGGTACACTTAATTTTCATGCATGCTCCCTGGTTGTTGTGGCAGAATGCACCAACTGTAAAACTACTTTGACTATCAAGAAAATGCCATCTACTGCAAGTTAATTTTTATTGCGCCATAATATTCTGGAACATAATTCCTCGGCGAATCCTCTGGGGTATTTCGGTTATTGGCCTTTGTGAAAAATTAAAGGTGTACTGTGTAACTTTTCTGGTGGAGGGTACAATAGCTTAGCCAGGCTGGCCCCACCTTGTGCCTCCGCTCATTTTCATTTCTCTCCAGCGACCAGGTCAGGAATTGGAGTACACTACTAGACGGTTTGCAAGAACCTCAAAAATGTGAGTGTTGGCAACGATTCCCAAGACTGAGGATTTAAAGCCAAAACAACGAGAATGTTTGGTGAATTTTATCAAAGAGAAAGACGTTATTGCCCTTCTTCCTACGGGATTTGAGAAAAGCTTAATATACCAGTTAGCCCCCATTAGCGGTGCATTACATACATCATGACCAAATAGGTTGGTTAAATTAGTACCCACCTACCGTCGAGCAAATCGAAACCATCGAAACCATCTGACCTAGCAGCATTCTAATGCTGCTAGGTCAGATGGTTTCCACGAAGTAAAACTGGCTGATGAATCAGGCTAACAATAGCTTCCCCCTTGTCTAAAACAGATAAACAGCTACACATTATAAAAATGAGCATTAACAATTTCTTTTCTAAACATTTCTTTTAAACTAATAAACAGCAATTGTAGTTTTGCCCCAGGCCCATTTTCCAACAATTTGCACAGATTAGGTTGTTAACTTATCTTCATGGAGAATGTTCCCAAATATAGTTAAATTTTCTATTTTTAGTGGAAATAAGCAGTATTTTTGGTATTTTTTAGCAATAAAAACACCAGTAACTGAATACATGCAGGTTAAATGATTAATGACTGTGAAATATACCAGGAAAAGTAATAATAGAACACAAGCAGGTCTCGAACCCTTCTTCAGAAAAGTTATATAAAGCACCTTTAATTGCAAATTTACTATACTGAGTATATTACTAAGATTTTGGGGGCCAAATAAAAAACAATATATATATATATATATATATATATATATATATATATATATATATATATATATATATATATATATAAAATACATTCACCCATCCATACAAACATACATCTAATATGTTTTCTAGGTCGAAAATAAATGTGAGGAGTTTGTTCTTTACATGGTGCATGAGTCTGGAGGTAAGATTGTTTTGTTTTTTTTCTGAACTGGTCCTCAGTAGTTTGTGGTTATGGTTTGATTCTGTTTTCTCTGCTTGTTTCATATCCCACAGAAAAGACACGGTTTAAAGATGGAGAGTATCCGTTAGTGGCCCGGGTGCTTTATGGGCCCTGTGAAAAAATCTCCAAGATCTTTATCATGGAGGCCGACCTGGGAGAGGAAGTCACTTATGATGTGAGTCTTGGCATCCTGCCTCCACTCATTATGTTCACATCATGTCCTCCATCTGTGACCTGCTTAATGTGCTGGACTTGAGCACACAAACAAAGGCACAATGGACCAAGCATAAATTACTTTGGGGCTAATTTTGGGTGAATACTGGGAGATATCCTGTGTTGGGCTGATGTAACAATAGCTTGACCTGAGCAACTAATGTTTTGTATGAGAAACACAATATTAAGAATATCTTGACTTATGAAGGTACATGACAGTCAATAAATAATCAAAATAGATGTGTAATTCTATAAACTAAACTCCACATTGATGCTACTCTGATGACATAATGCACCCACCCAGCATTTCACATGATTTTACTCTGCCGTGATCTGAGATAAGCTCTCCACATTTGTCTGGTCTTATCTATGGTGACATAGACATTAAAAATAACCTTTTATTATACAACAAGTAAACAAATGGACATTGCCATGGTTGGCCTAATGTAGCAGCCAAAAAAGCAGCATAGAGTCTATTCTATAAACTATTTATTAGAGCCTTTATTAGTGCATTTTTTGACCCCATAGCCCATAACTCATTAGGCACAAGCACAGACACAGGCACAGACACAGGCATTCCATTGTGGATCAGCTGTTACTGATTGACAATTTTTCTGAAAAAATGCTACATTTAAAATAAACAACCTGTTATGATTTTCTTTTTCAGGTTGCTCAATACATAAAATTTGAGATCCCTGTTTTAGACAGTTTTGTGGAGAAGCTAAAAGAGGAAGAGGAGCGGGAAATCAACAAACTGACCAAAAAGTAAGTTAGCCACACAGTTACCCACAGCAGGAAATGGTTTGATTTCAACAAAGGGCTCTTTCATGACATTTTGAATCATATCAGTCACATTATTTGTATCGAAACAGGCCTGCTGACATGGAGTGTCAGTGTTAGGCATTTATCAGTTTATATTTGTAGTTGTGTAATCTTAAACTCATATGACCGAGGAGCTGGCCCCTGAAACTCATAACTGTGTCGGTGAAAGCATGTTATATTGTGGTTTAGCAACAGCGGAGAAGTAAAACCACTAAACAATAGAACTCAATATATATTTTACTATTACATGGTTTGAGTTGATTTATAAGCTTTCTTATAAATCTTGGTGTTTCAGTAATTAATTGGTGAAATAATCGATTTGTTTTTCATGTCTGCAGATACAGTGCACTTAAATCCATGATACTACACCAGCTTGAACACAAGGCTCTCGACAGTGACCGAGTATGAGCGTAACAAGTGCTTTTTATGTAATTTAAAATAAAGAATGAATTTAACACTATAGATAGATTTGCATTGTGAACAGCATAATACACAATGAATGTAGATGACAGGAAAGTGTGTGGTCACAGGATAGTAGCTATTCTATGTTAGGCAACACCATTGTGCTTATAGCCTACTGTTAAAATTTGACTACAAATGTTGTTGTTTTTGTAACTATGGTCTTAGTACTTCTTTTTCTATAGCTTAATTTTATACCACGTTTATTAACTCTGCTTTTAAACTTTTTGTATCAAAATTTGACAAATTTATACAAGCATATTTTGCCATGGCTCATGATGTTTAACTCAATAAAGCCACAATGCAACTTGCAATGCAAATTAAATTTGTTTTTTCTTAGCATCAGACTAAATGTTTTGCTTACACATGCACACACACAAATACAGCAGAGTGTTGTGCTGCTGGTTATTTTCACAGAAGCTTTGGTTTGTGTTGTTTTCCAAGTGACCCTGATTGTCCGAGGTTTCCCACGAGCTTGAGTGTATGTGTGTGCCACCCAGCTGTATTACACAATAGTAGTATTCTGAGAGAGTGGGTGGATTCTAGTCTTTATGCTGCTTAGAAAATGCCTTGCCTTGGTCAAATTGGTCTGTTTTATTATGGCCTTACATAAGATGCAAATCCCTTTTGACAGATTTTGGTGCCCACCTAAAATTAAGTCTTGAAATCAGGAACACATTCACATTAAATATAAACTACCCTATATGATACTGACAGCAGTTCAAGTAGGCTATTCAGAGATGAAAAAACTGCTGACCTCAAAAGATCCCCATTATAAATATACTGTATGTATATGGCTAAGCCTATTATTTAGGTCTATAAAACTGTTAAATATGTAGGCCTACAGACATCTCAGAAATATATATTTATGTTGTCCTTTGTGTTGTTTTTATGTGGTGGTAAATCAAAGATTAATTCCTAATTCGATAAACACTAAATTCTGGTCTGGTTATTATTTTGAAAGTATAACCGGAAGTAGTATTCTCATGTGACCTTCAGTTCTGTTTGTAAAAAAGATTCCGTGGAGTGGAAGGCCGTCCAGTCCGTTCCGCTACATTTTGCTCTTTAACTAATTTTCACAATCCCTGGCCGTTGTGTGTATTCAAGATAAAACTGTCCATATGGACACCGTGAAATCAGGAAGCACACAACGGGGCGCTAAAATCGTAATAGTAGGAAGCGGAGTAGCAGGAATATCAGCGGCGGTGGCACTCACAGCCGCAGGTTTTACAGATGTCCACATTCTTGAGGCGACAGGGCGGAGCGGAGGAAGGATCAAGACCGGGAGACTGGGTAAGAAATGTCTCTTTCACTGGGGAAAAGAGGGAAGGTCAAGTGTGATCATTTGGATGTTAAAATTCAACACTGAATGTGACAGATGATGTGAAAGTTACCAGTATCAGTAAGCCCAGTGATATAGGTTGTCATGTTAAGAATTTTAAAGCACTGAATTTCTGCGTAATATTAAATTGCTACGTTGTAGCAAAAAGTCACACTTTACCCATTGTTATTAACATCATTTGTTTACATGCTTTACATACATCCTGCAGCCTTCTTCAGAAACATCACTTGATGGCTGCTTGAACAGGAAAAAAACTGAAATTATCCACGTTAACTGCGCTGAAAGAACATAAAAAAGACATGTCCCAAAATCATCACATTTCTGAATAAGGCTACCAGATACTGCTCAAACATGTAAAGCAAGCAAACCAAGAGTCCTGTTTGACAAAACGATTGAGTACTTAATTGTTTAAAACAGAAGACAGCATGAAGCTTTACCAAAGACAAAAAATGTCAATATTGGATCTAAGTCACCTTTCCTGTATTTAAAGCAACTAGGTAAACTGTTATTATAGTTTTAGTAGTAGTTATTATAGTCTTTCAACTGCAAAAAATAACCTGCAGGATGCATTCGAGATTAATTATAAACCCAGCTCTGTAATGTTTCCGCAGGCGATAATATTGTGGAGATAGGAGCCAACTGGATCCATGGGCCAAGTGAAGATAACCCAGTATTCTGTCTGGCTCGTCAGTATGGCCTGCTGGACCCAGAGGCGCTCACACCCGAAAACCAGACCATGGATGTTGGAGGACACCCCCCCTGGGTTCCTAACTATTTCACCAGCTCAGGTTAAAAATTTATATTGAAATGTAAATAAATCCAATAAAAAATACACACCACATCATCCACATAATGCCCTATTAAAGTATCTGGATATTTTTGATAATAACAGCAGAACTGATTAGATCAACAACATGATTTAAAGTTCAGATAAGGGTTACATGTACAGTTTAAATTGAGGTTGGGCAAGAAGTAACTTTGGTTAAGGTTAGAATCAGTTTTCAGGAAATAAAATCAATGAGGTGTCCAAACTTAAGAAAGCATACATGTATCTTTATTATGTATGAACTTTTGTTTTATTACCTTCAAGGCCGCAAGCTGGATGTAGAATGCATACTTCCCCTTCAGATGGCATGTCTTGAAATCCTCGATGAAAGTTCTTTGTTTGAGGGCAAAGAAGAGCCTTTTCCCAGTGTAGGAGAATTCATTCACTCAAAGGTATACCCTTATGCTCCACAGAGGCATTTGCATTCAGTAGTTTTTATGCTGATGACTAATGACAGCCCTTTCATGGTACACAGGCCACAGAGAAGTGGGGAGATGCAGACACAGTCACCAGATCCTTAGTTTTTTCTGTAGTCAGTAACATGCTGAAGGTGGAGTGCTGTGTCAATGGGACTCACAGTTTGGATGAAATAGGTCTTGGCGCATTTGGCTTGTACAAGACTCTACCAGGACTTGACTGCACATTTCCAAAGTTAGTACTCTTATTTATTATTACACTGCATACATTTTATTATATTATAAACAATGCTATTTAAGTAACTGGATTAAAAAAGTACCCACAGATTATTGTATTGATGTATCCCCATTTATGTATGTGTTTAATTTATGTGCATGTCTCTCCATTTTTGGCAGAGGTTATGAAGGTTTAATAAAGAACCTGCTTTTGGAGCTCCCTCCAGATACTGTGAAGTACAATTGTCCCGTTCGCTGCATTGAGTGGAACGACACAGAGACAGAGAGCCCTGTTGTAGTCGAGTGTGAAGATGGAACGAGGATGACAGCAGACCATGTTATTGTCACAGTATCCCTGGGTATGTTTCATCTGTGGCTTTTTAATGATTAATAATAGTGGTTACAAAGTAATTCTTAGTTACTGAAGCCTTCAGATGAGATTAGGCCCTCTGACTCATTTTCTCACAGGATACCTCAAGAAACATCATTCAACATTGTTTCGACCTCCTCTTCCTCTTCACAAACTGCACTCAATTCAGAAACAAGGTTTTGGCACAAACAATAAAATATTTGTGGAGTTTGATTCAGCCTGGTGGGATGATGACTGTGAGGTCATGCATTTCTTGTGGGAAGATGAAGTGAGATTTCTTCCAAAATGTTTTGTAATCATTGGTCATGTGTATTGCTAAATAGTTTACATTTTTGCTCTGTGATCTTTCAGAATCTCTTGGTGGATAAAGAGTTGGACCTACAGTCTTCATGGATAAAGAAGTTATTTGGCTTCACTGTGTTGAAACCCATTGAAAGGTTAGGAAAATGAATAAAACCTAAAAATACATCTACAAAGACACGCTTTAGTGGTTTTATGAGAATATAGAACAGGTATCTAGTCACTCACTCACTCACTATGATGTTGCAAAGCAGGTTGCTCATTTTGCTACACTTCTAGAAATTAGACAATTTACAGTGTCAAGGTTGTAATATTTACTTTGTTCGGCACTTTTTCTTCATAAGATGCAACATCTTATGATTTATTGCTGCAAAAATATATTTGAGGCATCTCGCCAACAAGCGAAATGGTAACATCTCAGTGTAATGTAAAGTTTCTTTTTTTCCCGTGTGCCCACAGATATGGTCATCTTCTTTGTGGCTGGATGGCCGGCCATGAATCTGAGTACATGGAGACCCTTTCTGATCAAGAGGTGACACAAGCTATAACTCAACTTATAAGAAGATTCACAGGTCAGTTCAGTAACCAAGTATAAGTATAAACTAATTTTGACAGTTTACTGATAAATTAAACTGTTCAGGTAACCCCATCCTCACACCAAAGAGGGTTCTGCGCTCCCAGTGGTTTCATAATCCGTGGACTTGTGGATCGTACAGTTTCCCAGGAAAAGGCTGCTCATTACAGGACCTCAAAAATCTGGGGGAACCTCTTCCAACAACTGGATCACAGGTAAACAGTTTTTATGTTGTAGGGAAAGCAACTAGAAACCTGTAATCTGTAAAGTGTTTACCAAACAAGTAAGAACAAAATGTCCACATACATCCCATAGATTAAGGCCACATTTGTAAAAAAGACCTCAATTATTTTTGACACTGAATTCAAATAGCATAAAAACCGTGAATGAATGAAAATTAATTAAGAGGTAACTGTCCCTTTGTCTTTCAGCCACTGCAGGTGCTGTTTGCTGGTGAGGCCACTCATCCTTGTTTCTTCTCTACGGTCCATGGGGCTCTGCTATCAGGACGGAGAGAGGCAGACAGACTCATCTCTCACTTCAACACTTCCACGGATCCTGTTATATCAAAACTTTAGATCATAAATTAACTATGCAGCGTATGAATTATTTCCACTTCATGAAAACATGACTTGGCATTTGTACTTGATAAATATGGATGATTAAGATAAGGCCTTATTCAAAATGTCAGTGATGTTTCAGAGAGCAGATCTGATTGACACTTGGATTCTTATTGGGGTTTTGAACATTCTTTTATTTTTGAGAATTGATTATGTTAATTCTGTACTATGACCATTCTTGCTCAATGTTGATTCTTTTTTAATTTTTTTAAGTAAAATAATAATAAAAAAAAAAGTAATATTTGTAAAAAAGTGGCCCTAAAATAATTTATATTTAACCCATCTAATATTTTTATGATATAAATAAAAGTGTATTTGTTTAAATGTTTATGGTTTGTGCCTCACTTAATATTGTCTTGCAATTCTAATCTGAAACCTGCGAGAATTAAAACTCATTTAATGTCTGATAATTAACCTACTTAGCAGTTTTACTGATCAAAGTATTTACTATTTTAACATCTCAAATCGTCATTACCTTTTGTTCCTGCAAGACCTTCACTTTAACGTTAGAGGGCAGTATTGCAGACAATAATTGCAGTGTTCCCGGAACCACAAAGCGTGGCAGCTATATCCAGTCGACCTGTAAACATTGTAACATATGGAACCATCACCCCAGCTCAATCGTCATTTCTTTTGCTTCTTCACTCTGTATTGATCATTTATTGAAGAGTGGGGGGATGAAGCTCTATCAAGCACTTTGTAATGTTGGCAGTTTCAGAAACGCGTTTGACTTTGGTGGACGGGACGTGGTGCACTGGTTCCCTGGACACATGGCAAAAGGTTGAACGAACTGACTTCAAAATAAAGCTTCAGCTGAATTCTGTATACATTGTGTGTTTTGCTTTAGGGTTGAAGCAGATGAGAGCCAACCTGAAGAATGTGGACTGCATTATAGAAATACACGATGCCAGAATATCCTCAAATTCCTGTATATCTCTCTATTGTAAATGTATGATTTGTGTTGGTTTGTGTATACCTAAACGTTTTCATTTCTAATTCTTTGACTATAACCACATTCCCTTTTCTGGGAGAAACCCTGTGTTTCAAGAGACTTTGGGTGTCAGGCCACACCTTCTAGTTTTGAACAAGATGGATTTAGCTGACATATCACAGAAACAAGTCTGTAAGATACAGTCATTTCATATGCATGTGATTCTTAATAATTGAAAAATTTGTTTATGTCTACAGAGAATACAGGAACGGCTGCACAGAAATGGAATCCAAAAAGTTCTATTCACAGACTGTCTAAAACAAAGGGATGAAAACGTTAAAAAGGTTATTTAAACAATTTTCACCTACTATGCTGTTGTTATCCATACCCTAGATGCTATATTTTTACTTATGTATTTACTTTATTTCTATAGTTGGTGCCAAAGGTGATGGAAATTCTTGAAAATAATCCACGTTTCAACAGAGATGAGGTACTTGCACAAGATATTTATAGAAACTTTTTTTTTTTTTTTTCTCAAATACTTTGTTTTATGCTTGCAGAATCTAGATTATTGTTTAATGGTCATTGGAGTTCCCAATGTTGGAAAGTCATCTCTTATTAACTCATTGAGACGGACATATTTAAAAAAAGGTAAGAGAAAACAGTACCATGAAAAGGAAATTAAATGTACAAAAATAAATGCACTTGTAGTTTCTATTTAGATGATGTATTTTCTTCCCTCAGGCCATGCATCTCGAGTTGGAGGAGAGCCTGGCATAACAAAAGCTGTCCTGACTAAAATACAGGTTTCATGCAATTAATTGTCTAGAAATATATTCATGATATAAATGGATATTTAAATTAAACATTTTTTTTAGGTCTGTGAACGGCCAGTAATGCATTTGTTAGACACTCCGGGGGTCTTACCTCCTAAAATAAATGATGTTGAAACAGGAATGAAGTTGGCTTTATGTGGCAAGTGACATTCATGCATTGCAGTAAACCTATTATGTAAAGTATATATTTTTGTATATTGTATATATTTGCTCATATTCAGGTACTATACTGGACCATTTAGTCGGAGAAGAAATCATTGCAGATTACTTGCTCTATTCTTTGAACCGTCTCCAAAAATTCAAGTTAGTTTCTTTTCTATAAACCTCAATATATACATGAATTTTCAATGCTGTTTTACACTCGTCTTTTATGGCCAGCTACGTTGAAAGATATGACCTTCAAGAGCCTTGCGACGATATCCAACATGTCCTTAAGCGTATATCAGTTAAACTTGGAAAGACCCAAAGAGTTAAAGCTATTACTGGAGTAGGTAAGGGAAGTGTTCTGGTCACAATTAGATACCATAATTAACACAATGTAAAGTTTTTTTTTTTTTACATCCACAGGGAATGTGACCATCACGGTCCCAAACTACAGTGCTGCAGCATATGATTTCATCCGAGCGTTTAGGAAAGGAGAACTTGGACGAGTGATGCTGGACTGAACCAAACCACAGAAAAACATTCATAATTGCACAAGACTGTAAATAAAGGAAATAAACTACAGTTAACTGAGGTATGGCCTTTAATTTAGTGATAACGTGTAAAGAATAGATTTACATACATATATTTACAGAAGTGCTCTTGCAACTATTCAAGTGCATACAAATATGAAAACAGTGTTGCTCCTGAGTGTCTCAGCGGGTAAAAAAGCTCAAGTCACTTCAGAAAAGTACAAGTAAAAGACATGTATAAATTGGTTAAATTTAAATTAACTTTTTAAAATCTTAGCTTTCATTTGAACAAGAAATACACTTTGATTATTAACAGCAATACAGTGTGTAAAGTCATTTTTTGGATATTTCAACTTAATAATAGCTTTTGGTGTATCACAACAAAATGTAGAGGATGAGGGACAGCTCCTAAACATGGATTATACTCTTGTTTTTGTGAATTCTTACACAGTATGGCACTGGTATTTTAATATGATGAAAATATGTTTATTTAGCAGCTTTATATTATTTAAGTATGTACAGATCTATAAAGTATTTGAATTTGGCACCTTCATTTTTATAAAAACAATGTAGGTGAAGGTGCAAGTGTCTTTTTATGACACGTTGCATACAGTGCTGGTAATGCAGATTTGGCAGTTGGAACAGATAGATAATGTTAGAGATACAGTACAAGTACAGGGATCAGTTCACATATTTGTGATTGTCCACTTCAACAGTTTTTTCCAGCTCAAGGAAAAGACACAGGGCAGACATAAGGGTCCAGATCCTCATTAAAACAGTCGTAACCTGTGAAACATTTCTACAGTGCAGTGCTGTGGAAGAGCATGTTTAAAGTGAGAAAAGCAGCAACAACAACAAACACCAGCTGAGGAAGAGAGTATTCACTTTTACAGGAGCCGGACAGTTGTGCATCAAAGTAGTTTGTCCTGTTGTAGTAGTCCAGCTCTTCTTCTGAGCTGTCTGCGTTACTGCGGCGATAGGCGGAGGCATACCAACCATCTGCTGTTAAAGCCACTGCTGCTCCTGCTGCCGCTGCAGCTGCCACTCTCACTGGGGACGTGCGGCCTGCCGCTCGAAAGCGAGACCGGGTTCCACCAAAGGGGCCCCCTGCCCTGTAGCTGCCCGCAGTAGAGCTACGAGAAGGAGACCCTCGAGAGGACCCCCTGGACCCTCCTCGGCCCCCTTTAGACAGAACAGGGTCACACAGGAACGCACAGAACAGGAGGCAGATCCAGCATGTTGCAACCAGCTGGTTCATTCCTAACATCTACAAACAGAACGGTAACTGGTGAAATAAATGCACCCACACACACTGTAAACAAGTAGGTTTAGTAATAGATAAGGTGAATATGAGCAATTAGACCATTAACAATTAACTAATAATAATGATGAATGTAACTGTATTATAATAGCAATAGCAGCTGTAGGCCTGAGCCATAATATCACAACAAAAACGACCCAATAATCATAACATTAGGGATGTGAAGCCTGCTTTGGGCATAGAGCTTTTGAAATGTGCTAAATCACACATCCTTATAATGAGACATTGTAGTCTACACTTACGACATGTCAAAACATTTAACGACTGTAACCCAAGCTGATTTAAATGTACGAATATCTTAATTGTTTTAGACCAATAATTAGCCCAACCTTAACGTGCCGCTGTCCACCCTTTTAGTTTAGATCGTTTTTCATTGTGTACAATGTACTAACCTCTAATCGACGACTATTGTTTTCTAACCCTTTCTATGGCTTCAGTGCAGAGATGCAGAGATGCAGGCTACCGTAAAAAGGCGCGTTCACGCACACGTCCTCTGGAGCGCGTCGCGTAGTTGTGGCACTCAAAATCAACTAATCAGGTTCACGGGACACTGTCGAGACAATTTAAGTTTGTTTGGTTTTATAATGTTGTCCAGATTGCCAATAATGAGATGTGAAAATAATAATAAAAAGCAAACATAAAAGGTACAGCATCACTAAGTGCTACTCCATCTGCCATCTATAGGTGGCAGCTATGAACATTGCCACGAGATGTAACTGCTGTGAAAATTGCAAAGAAGAAAACAAAACAGACCAGAAGCAAGGAACCATTTGTAGCACCACCACAGTTTTATGAGCACCATTCATCTTCGTCGGTCTTGTCACTGTGATGGCTTTTCTGTGCAGAAGTGCGGCTCAGCTCCTCAGACCGTGCAAAACTGCGCCGGTTGCCCTGTCTGCGGCTCGCTTCTGCAGCACAGGTCTGTGTTTACGCAGTAGCCTTTGTATTTTGAGCGTGGCCTGCCACAAAGTCACTCACTGTGGGTCACTGGAAGACTGTTTTGGAAATTTGCGTTGCAGATTTTACCGACAAAACAGCATTTAATTATCTTTTATGGGCATCCATGCATCTTTTATTTTAACCTTCTTTAATGAGTGTTTTTCACATATTACTCTGAGACACTCTTTTAATGCATAAACTATAGTGTAAAATGTGAGTTAAATTGATTTGTAAAGTTGTAATTTCGCTATGCTGTTTAGGTTTTATTACATTAAGTAGCTATATTCCAGTTTACTACTGTAGCTTGTATCCCTGACCTTTCACATAGTAAATGATTAGATAACTTCTAACACTGCCTTCGTGTTGCTGGTATCTACCTCACCTTGGAAAAGCACAATTATTGTTCAGTGAAATGCATGCAGAGTTGATTATGGCTTTGTTTTGGCATAGGTGCTCAGTATGAATACATTGTAGTGGAAAAACGAGGAGAGAAGAATAATGTTGGTTTCATCCAGCTGAACAGACCGAAAGCTTTGAATGCTCTCTGTGACGGTCTGATGAGGGAGGTGGGCCATGCTTTGGACAGTTTTGAAGCTGACAGTGGTGTTGGAGCTATTGTTATTACAGGCAGTGAAAGGGCATTTGCAGGTAAGATTTTCCTTCAGCTGATTTCTAAAAATAAATATTGAGTTGAGTAATATTTAAGTTTTTATTTTAGCTGGAGCTGACATTAAAGAAATGCAAAACCGAACATTTCAAGAGTGTTATGGGGGTAACTTCCTGGCACACTGGAATAGAGTATCAACAGTGAAGAAGCCTGTTATTGCTGCAGTCAATGGGTTTGCTGTAAGTAAGTCCATACCTCTCACAATAGTTACAATTGAAACAATCCTTAACGAATTGTAAAGCTAGCGGTTTGTACATATCCCAAATAAATGTATATTGCAGTTGTGGCAGAAGGGAAGATATAATATTGTTCATGTTATTTTGAAAATATTCACATCTTGAATATCTTGTATATAATTTATAAAAAAGATAGTGTATAAAAACAGTTGATAAAAAAGATATTTTAAATATGGGGATAAAAAATATATATATTAGTGGGTCACATTTGTCTGATACTAAACCTCAAATAATGCATTTAAATTCCCAAAATTTATTCTGATTATAGTTATTGCGAAGCTTAACATATATAAATAGCCTTATTACACTGTGAGCACACAATCCCTTGGGGCCTTATATTCATTTTTTTTTTCCTTTTTAGCTGGGTGGAGGTTGTGAGCTGGCAATGATGTGCGACATCATCTATGCTGGAGAGAAGGCACAGTTTGGCCAACCAGAGATTCTGCTGGGAACTATTCCTGGTAAATATCACCTTGAGATTGAGAGCACTATATTATGTGCTGTATCACAGAAATCATTGGATGTATTGATTCTCATCTGCAGGTGCTGGTGGGACTCAGCGGTTGACTCGTGCAGTGGGAAAGTCTCTTGCTATGGAGATGGTACTGACAGGAGACAGAATCGGTGCACAAGAAGCAAAACAGTCTGGTAAAGAATCACATCATTGTTACCTCTTTCAAACTGCAATAGGATCCCATGTTTTAGCTAATTTTTGTGTTTCTTAGGTTTGGTGAGTAAAGTTCTTCCTGTGGATCAGTTGGTGTCAGAAGCTATTAAATGTGGTGAGAAAATTGCAGCTAATTCCAAGCTTGTGTCTGCCATGGCTAAAGAGGCGGTTAACGCAGGTTTGCATTTCTTTTCAGATATTAATCAAAATAATGCTCCAATTAAAAATACTTTACTGTAATGATGATGTTTTGTTTTTGTTTTTTCAGCTTTTGAACTGACTTTGGCTGAAGGCAATCGTTTAGAAAAGCGGTTATTCCATGCAACATTTGCTACAGTAAGTACTACTCTTAGTAGAAAGCTGGAAATCAACAATGAAAATTATTCTTTTTCTGATGTTGAGATTTTTCTTTCAGGATGATCGTAAAGAGGGTATGACTGCATTTGTAGAGAAGAGAAAAGCAAGTTTCCAAGATAATTAAATTTCAGAGCGCGTTCTTGACTGTATTGCACTGTTCTTATGGTTAATTCAGAAATTAGTGATGAATTACAATATAGAATATGTCATATTTTAGTTGTGATACAATGTGATGCATTGTCTTCATGGCCTCTGGATGTGGTACACTACAACTGATGGAACAGTTTTTGTACACACAAAGAATTTGCCTTTTAACTTACAGAATATGTTTGCATTTTGTATATACATTTTCGAAATAAAGCTATATAGTTGATTACTGTACAATAACGCAGTGTTGATTTTCAGACTGACGAATCAGTAATATTTATGCATCACCGCCAGGTAGCGCTGAAGCACTGCAGTAGACCTGCGTGGCGCGCAGTGCGCTGTCTGTTGATGCGCTATGTGCGCAAATGGCAATTTACACTTCGACAGAAGTGTACACAATTGTTTCAATCACTTTAAATGTCTACATAAAGAAAATAAGCTATGTGAATCCATATTGTAGGCTATTATTTTATTCTAATAAGCGTACATATTTCCAACTAATGTAAATGTGTAGGCCTAAACTAGAGATCTAACGGAAGCCTGCAGCCTATAGGTGAGACCTATTTTTTACTCGAACCTTTCGGGCTATTCATAATATTTTGTCCTTCAAAACTGTAGTCTCTACTTCAAAGAACAGTCCAGAACAAATTTGGCTACTGTGTGCCTGCCTTTGTCCCGCATCTCCAGTCATCTCGGGGCACCTTTATTTCTGATCTTCACAGGACAGCGCCACATACTTCACAAGGCCATGGCCTAATTGATTTTAATTTTCTTTCAATATTTCCTTAGATCTTGCTTTCTTGTCTGCCCCCTGGAACAGACTTTAAAGGAAGAGGGGGAAAAAATGCTCTCCTCTCACTGCAGGGAAGAACAAAAGTCTTCTTCAGAGGGCGAAGAGAGTCCCACTCTGAGGCTACTGAAAGGTCAAAATAATAAATGTAGACTCGCTGCGCACACAAAGGGGGCAAAACGTTACATTTTGGCAGCGTAGAGCCTTATGGCGTGATAAACTCATTTAAAGAACCCCAAATAAAGAGAACCAGCGTGAGTCCAGAGAGCAGAATGGGGCTGTCAGTCCAGCAGACAGGCCTGGCTCCAGCGGGGCCTTTTCTCGGCTCAGCGGCGGCTTCATGAGAAAAAGGAAAATATGCATTCAGAAATAGGCTACAACTTCGGCTATAGAAGCATTATATCAAATACAGCCGATCATTCACGTACTTTTATTTTTCAGACAACTCTGGCCTATTCCTGACTCATTTAATAGCAATAAAATGGGCCACAGCAAAATCATTTGGTTTTATTATTTTTAATCCAAGCTTATATCTATATTTAGCTGAAGTAGGGATCTGACTATTGGTATAGATAGGCTATCCTATTATAACGCAGAACAGCAACCTCACACTGAGCAAAACTCTAACCAACAAGTCGGAGCTGTCAAGTATTTTCTTTTTTAAGATAAACGTCTTTGGAGCAAATGCGGAAGTTGGATTAATAGTATATCTTGCTCTCTAACAATCTTCATTTCCGCAGTTTGTATCGTGGGATATCATGGTTGTGTTGAAAGGAATACCTCATATTCTGTCTCCTGAGTTACTCTATGTTCTGGCTAAGATGGGGCACGGGGACGAACTAGGTAAGTTTTGACTAGCTCATATTTTTAAAAAAGGGATAGGATAGGTTGCGTTATAAAAAGGCTCAATGCGGAGTACAAAGAGCACCTGTCAACTCCTCTGTTTCTATTGGTGACTCAAAGTCAATAGTCTAGGGAATGTGTGTACTGCAGACACTTGTAGCTTGTGGATGGCACAAAAAATATGATTAATCTGGTACCCTGTTTTATAGTGCTTGCTGATGTCAATTTTCCAACATCTTCAATCTGTGTCCATGGCCCAAAAGAGATCAGAGCTGATGGTGAGAGGACTTTAAAACTCCAATGAACCACTTCAAATCATATTTTGGATAATTTTTATTTATTTATTTGTTTATTTATTTATTTATTTTAATTAAATTAAATATGTTGCTAATTTCTTTAGGTTTGGGAATCCCACAACTATTGGAGGCTATTTTGAAACTGATGCCGTTGGACACATATGTTCCCTCTCCTGTACACCCTAATAATCTTGCTCTGATTTCTAATGTGCTTTTTTTTTTCTTTTCTTTTTTTTTATCTAACTGTTGTTATCTGTTCAGGCTGCAGTGATGGTCCTCGTGGACAGTGACAAAAAGAAGGAGTTACCTGTCCCTGTGTGGAACACCTACTCACACATACTGCACCTTAATGGTGCTGAGGTAAAACAAGATAAGAAACATGTGGTGGAAGTTTTAAAACGTAATCTTTTGTTTTGTAGAGTAATCTTGAGCAAGTTGAGCGCTTTGCCTTTTATGAAAGAGCAAAAAAAGCCTTTGCTGTTGTGGCAACAGGGTGCGTGTTGTCCATTATCTCTGCATTATAGAACTAGTTTTATATTTCAAATAATTTTCACTGATATTGTTTCTATTTTGCAGGGAAACAGCTTTGTATGGAAATCTTATACTGAAAAAGGGAGTTCTTTCTGCAGAAGAACTAATGTGATAAACAACATGCATATGTTCAGAATTTTGCATTTGTTTATTATATATGTGTATTATTTGCTTTCAGTTATTGTAAAATTTGTATTTACAAAATAGCATTCAGTTCTGTATTTTGTGATTTTATACTTGTGTTTATTGAAATAAACTTCCATGATTCCATGAAACATAGCATAACTGTTGATTTAGGCCAAACTAGGACAGCGATACATGGCATCCAACTTGATTTAGTAAATTCAGTTATGATACAGGGCATCCAGGTCTTCCTCGGGCTCAGTGTACTTCCTCTGAGTGGGCCAGTCCACGGCAGCAGGGTACACCTTATTGTTGAAAGGGGTCATCTCTGGGACATCTTTGTGATAAACATCATCCATGTCTTCTTCTGGCTCCAGGTAAAGCCTTGCCTGAGTTTCTACCATCACTTCAGGCTCCAATGGAATCAGCTGCATGCTTGAAACATCATCACCATGGTACAAGTCGTCATCGTCTTTCTCTGGCTCAGTGTAAACTGGATGGCCCACTGGTTCACCCTTTGGCTCTATTGGCTCACCCTTATATCCCACCACTAGGGGCGCTAAATACTTGTCCACCTCTTTATCACTGTGATAAAGCTCATCCCAGTCTTCTTCAGGCTCTGTATACCGCCGATATTCTAAGTCTATTCCTTCATTATCTGTGGCATCTTTTACTTGTATTTCAGCAGGAGGGAGGGCATCCTGAATGCCTTCTTCATAGACTTTAATAAGGTTCTCTGTTGAAGGATGTTGGAGTTCATCCAGATCTTCTTCAGTCATTTGGTACTGTTTGCCGTCATCTTCCACACTCTTCCAGATTTTCATATTGGGGTCAATATCAAAACTGGTTTCATCCATGTCTTCAGGAGGCTCCACTTCCACTCCCCAGGAGGCCATACCTTTGTCATCAATGGATCTGTAAAAATATTATGACAGTGAATAGCCTATGTCAAAGCAAACAAGATTTCAGTTTATTTTACTGTGCAAAAGGAAACTTACACCCAACCCTTTTGGACTGCTTCATTGCGAAGTTCATCCTTAAATGTTAAATAATAAATGTTGTTATTTGATAGCAGCCAAATACTCAAAAATTATGAATATTCTCTTCAATACAACTCAAGTTCAATCTAAAAAATACTGCAGAAATAGTGCTTTTAAAACACATTATTGTACAAAAATATGTCTAATAAAGCAGTGCTTTCCAAAGGTTCTTCAGGGAATCCTGAAGTATGAGCGGAGGGTCGCAAGATGACTATCTTGCAACCAAGATGACTATTTGTAGCTGAAAAATTATAATATTGTATTCTGTGTTTTGTAATTTATTAAAATCTGTATTATTTAATGAATTTAGGTCAAATAACACAATAAAGTATACTACTACTACTACTACTACTACTATAATCAACATTAAACCTGATTTAAGATGTTTTGTCACTTAAAATTAATACAACTGTAAATGTAATTTTAAAGTGAGGCTCCCAAGTTGGTTGGATGCTTATTTTGAGGGTTCTTGCCTAAAAAGTTTGAGAACTTCTCTAATATATTAGAATTATTACTTTTACTGGCCATTACTTCTCTTTCATTTACAGCCTTAAGAAATTATAAACACATTGTATCCATAATTTACTTATAGTTTGTTTTAGAGAGAAATAAAAAGGACAAAAGTGGTAGCTTGTAAATAATATCCAATGCTAGTTGTGGTTTTTCACAGTAGTGAGCACTTACCAAGGGTTTTAGTGGCTTTGCTGTGATGCCATTGGTTAGTACAAAAAACAATAACACAGAGGTTCTATAAAAGAAACAATAGAGGTTAGTGTTGCATATTTTTGTTATGAATAAAATAGAATTAAAGAACCTGAAAACGTCTAACCTGAGCATGGCGTCTTTTTGCTGTTAGATCCAAACAAGAAATGATCAGTTGAGCTGCTCAGGAGAGACCAAAGTTCGCTCAATAAAACAGTTACAGATTATGTGTTTGACCTTTGCAATCTCTAAATACCATAACACCAGTGTAATGTAAGTCCATATAAGTAAAAACAAACAAACAAATAAATAAACATAAGTGTATACACTTATGTATTACTAAATGCTTTAAACACATGTAACACAGTTCATGAATCATGATGCACATATGGGCAATTGCCCTGTATGTGCACAGCATCTGAGGAATTCAGCATAAGCCATTTAAACTTAAGAGTATTTGATACTGATATTTATGAGCATTATATCTTGAGTATCTTATGTCATGAGAAATTACACAGTTGCAATACCACATCTATATTCATTTTAGAATAGATTTTTATACTTAATTTATTTCAATTTAAATTAAGTATAATGCATAATAAACATAACAGAAACATAACATAAAATATAAAATATCCAGAAAAAACATCAAAATCAAAGCAATGGTGTAACACAGTCACACTGAAATATCAAATTCACCATCAACACTCATCATATAAATCTCATAAACAATTAATTTGTACTACTCCCATAACCTCTTTCTCCTCATAACAAACCAACTATTGTCTTCTAAGGAATAACCAAAACTGCATAATAAATATGTTACAGAAAAATAACCATAAAACATTTTATAGAAGCACTTAACATGCTATCTCATTATCATTCTATGATAATCTATTCTATGACCTCCTGAGGACCCAAAGTGAAGATCTGGGGACCAAAAGTAGGAATCTTTGCCCTTCAGTAATTAAGCAGTCTAGACTAATGTAAAAGTCATATAAACTGACAAACAAAATTTACTATCACAGCACCACATCTACAAATGTGTTATAACTTAATTGTTGAGTCACTGAAAACTGTTATAACGCAATATATACTGTTATTTGGAGACAACGACCAGGCCTGCACAGTTATTGAGGCCAGCACAAAAGCGATATCATCAGGAAAAGTCACAAACGAAAAAATGTGCAAATACAGAGGAGTTTCATGCCAAGTCTGGAGCTCTTGACACACACAGATCTTACACAGTGAGAGCCTGATACGTCACCCTTCATGGCGCGTTCAAAGGATGGCTCCAGTTTGTCTGCTGTTATCTGCCCTCGCCCGATCAGATCCATGTGTGACAGGCAGCCGTCCGGTCGTCCTCCTCCACTGGTGCTCATAGCATTGACAAAAGGGAAATTGCTTTATGTTTTGGGGGAAAATAGATAATTACTTTTCTGAAAATATGTTTTGAAGAATTTCAATAGAGTACTGGTGATAAACATCTTATGATGAAAGACGAAAGAAGGCTCCATAGTGCATAAGCCTTCAACTCAAAAGATATACAAGATACAATCAAAATAAAACAATGTGTAATATGGGATTAAAATATGAATAAGTAACATTTTACAACACTGATAAAGAGATATCTATGTTTTAACTATTGCTTTTCACATTTTAAAGCATGTTGGATATTAAAGCACACACACACAGTTGTTTTAACAATGGTAGATGTGTATCTGTATATGTATTTAATTTGAATGACAAGCTCTATTGTGCTAATATGGATACAATTTTGGCCTAAATACTGACCATTTAAAAGTGCCGTTTTGGGGTTTTGGCATCTGTGAATGAATATACAGTTCCAGCCAAATGAAACCAGCAGATGATAACCAGGCCAATTGCTCCTACAACAAAAAGAACCAAATAATCAGCACTTGACAGGGACATGCAACACACTGTCACCACCCTAAAACAAACGTGGAGCCAAGAATAAATTGCTTGTCTGTATCTATTTGAATGGAGCACTAAACCATGATTTATGCCCCAGGGACAATGAACATGCTCTAAATGCCACAGCTTGCAACAATTTAGGAGGAAACCACTAAACAAAATATTTGACTCCATTCCCAATTTACTTTTTGTATGCATTTCTATATTAGTACATGCAAATACTACAATCATGAATTCTTCAAGTATAGGTGTCGAGTGTTTTACTAGAAACGAAAAGAAAATATGAACCTAAAAGACTATATAACATTATGTAACATAGGTAAGTATAATGTGTTTTCAAGGGGATTAGGCAAAAATTACTCTTTTTTTCTTAATAATGTTTGAGTTAATCCAAAGCGGTGGTCTCAGAGTGCCACACTTTATTTGAGGCAAACCACTGCTCTGTCTTTACCACAGCCTTCACCATATCCTGTCACACTCACAACATTAAGCAAAACTGGGGTTTTCTTAAATCACTAAAATTAACTCAATGATCTACAATTAAGTTAATTGATGCTTCACGGAGAGCCATTAAACACACATTAGACGGCTCAGAGTGCAGCTTAACCGCATGAATTACAGGGTGAGGGGGAAGGACCTCCACAAAGAGTGAAACATGAAGTGTTGTGACGAGGCCTGCTCAGCACAGGAGCTGTCAGAGCATCAACCACACTAAACAATTAGGGAGTCATCTGTGCAACAACTGCAGGCCAACAATTAAGCTGCTGATACACAGCATTGCCTATAGCTGGGTCTATTAATAAAGACCACTCATTTTAAGTTCAATCTGTCTTGAAAACAAGCACACTTATCCTAGATATATAAAACTGTCTGAACACAAGCCTGTTTATTTACAAAGGGCACCCTTTGAATGTGGTACTTTCCAAGTTCTCATTTGTACAAGCACTTATTTGTTTTGTATAGCTCAATATCAGACGCCTCACAGGGATCCACACAATGTCCAAAATTGAAACAATAAAACTGGCAATAGATAAATGTCCTTAGGGATCTCAGTGTAAAAAAATAAAAATTAACTATTGTGATGTGACATATGATGCAGGGCATGTACTTAACAAGACCAGTTATTGCGTACCATTCCTGCCTGATTAAATCATAAAACAATATAAAGCAGGACGAAGCATCACTTTCAGGTGGTCCTCCTCTCTCTCACACAAACACGCCTTGCTCCATTATCCTCCTCAATCACACCCCTCATAAACTCAGTAAACATGTGGGAGCTGTTACACTCAGCTTAATGGCTATTTACTGTGTTTTGTACGCTTCTCATTAAATACATTTTCCACTCTGGGAGAAGTAATGTTTTGGAAAACTCAGTTAAATTAAAGACAAAATCATGCCAGCACTTGGCACATGTGCCTCATTAATTACTGGCCCCTGTTGGAGACAGAGTGAAGAGTGAAACTGCAGTTTCTTCTAACATCAGAAGGGATGGATCGTGGTAGTGCACAGGAAGTTGGCCTCCGACAAAAATCAAACAAGACAAAAAAGAGGATCCCCTCCTACGCTCCCCTCTACAGCCATTGAATGGCTCCTCACTGGGGTCCACCGCGGCCCTGTTTACCAGCTGGAGTACCCCTAACCTTTCACCTTTGACCTCCGTACGACAGAATACATCACAGAACCATCCTCTCAATGAACTCAGTGGGAAGCACTTGAGTGAAACGCGGATGACAGGCAGCGCTACAGGGAGTACAGGTGTTACAAATGATCCTGGCCCTAGACACAATTCTCAATAAGGATTTTAACACAACAAATCATTTCTAATTTTCCCATCGATAATAATTTAGAGATTGGATGCAACTAAGTTCATGTACTTAAATGTGTTCAGTGTTGTAGTCTCAGTTTGCGTGTCATGGTCCCATCTGTCCCGATGCTCTGGTTAAAGGGAGGCTCCTGCTGCTCTCTGATGGAGAGCTGCTACACACAGATCCGGTTTCTGCAGCCCCAGCTTTCATCCTGATTAAAGAAGGATGTGGCCTCGCTCTATGTATTTACATCACAAGAACATACAGAAAAACATACTGTCTGGAGATGTCAATAATGTATATACGTGTGATGCATGTTACTGGCATATATTGCCAATGAGATTACAAATGATTTTTTCACAGGAACACATTCAGTTGCAATAGCTTTTAAGAAGTTAAAATGTGGTAGCATGTTTGTAGTTCACAAAAACAAAGATTTAAGGGATTCAGAATAATGACCATTTTAAATAATAAAAAATTAGGACCATTGCCATAGTGATTAACAATTTATTCTTTATTCAAATCTTTTTGATGGGAAAAAGTCCCTAAGATTTTACATATATAAAGAAGCTGAAACAAATTTTTAATGGCTAAAATTTTCCTTTTAAATTACAGTTTTTGTGTAGTCCAACAGCTGCCTCAACAGGGTAAGAGGGCAAACAAACTTGTTACTTTCACTTCTTAAAAACAGAAAAAAACAGAAATTCTTTTCATGGTCACAATTTTCTGGGATAAAAACTCCAATACATCATGTTCTTATGGTTAACCACAAATACTGTATTTCTGGAATGCTGCCTGTGACATTAAATGCATAGTCAGCTTTAGCATAAATTCCTGACTAATACAATGTTGATGCCGTTTCCAGAGTGCTGCTGTATCCGTGTCTGAGTGGGTTCTGTACACTCACGGTGCTCCCTGACCTGGCCTCCGCAGACCCCCTTTGTTCCCCAGTGGGACCCTGTGGATCGTCTGGCTCCGGCCGCTTCAAACCATAATTACAAACCTGCAGAATGAGACAATCAACAGACACAGCATGAAAGAGGAGGGTCACCATGTCTGATACGTGATAACTTGTTGCCATTGCCCTGCTGCTGCTGCCTTTAATTTATGTTATTCCACAACACTAAAAGAATGCCACTTCCCCACTGTTCACAGGCATGTCAGGCTTTCAGGCTGTCACAGTGGATTCAGACAAAGTCAATGTAAATAACTAAACAGGCTTGTTGTGCTTATTGCAAACAACAAAATTAATTACTTGTATCAACAAGTGATTAAATTTGATGTTGATACAGTATAGCAGTGAAAATATGAAACATTATAATATATGAAGACACATTATTCATAATGTAATGTTCATAAATTTATTCATATTAACAATTTCTTCAAATAAGATAACAATATTTAAACAAATTAGCCACTTCTGTATTTAGTTACAGAATACTTAAACTGCATTTTGTAATATATTCCGTTATTTGGTCCAATCAGAGTATTGTGAATGAGTAGCCTACTTTCAGGTCAAGTTACATTATCATGTGAAGAGGAGAAAAAAGTGAATTTTAAAGTTTTTTCACTATTTGTTATGCATTTATTTATCAATGATTACAGGAAGACACACACACACTACAAGAGCAGTCTACCTTGTGCGATCAAATACAGCAATGCATTCCTTTGATTTTAAGAAGTAACTGTAAACTGAACACCACAAATTTAAGGAGTAACAGTACCGGAATACAGTTACTCAAAATACGTTTTCTGAATACATATTTTCAGGATTATACAGTAGTATTGTGTATTTAGTTACTTTCCAACTCTGCTAATAGGTGCTAATTATATTGACTTGTCTAATGTTTTATGGGGAGAATTATGTAATTATTTTTCTTTCTTGTGTTACTAAAACCACACAGAAAACTTTAAATGAAACACAAACAATGAAAGGTTAAATCTTAGGAACACTTTTTATATGGTGAAAGACTGTTCTTTCAAACAGCAGATGAATCTGAGCAGGGAGGGTTAGGGCACATTATGAGTTTACATGGCCCTCTGAACCTCTGTCTGAGAAAAGACATTTACCAGTACAGGCTTTTACTAATGTCACTAAATCACTCCCAGCTGCCAACAGCAGGAAATGCTCCTTTCTTCTTCCAACCTCCAGAGCAAATAGTACATCAAGCGTGGTGCATTCGTGAGCATGTCTGTCCTCAGCTTATATCTGTCATAGCCTTCATATATGCCCCTAATGTCCTCCAGCTCTGTGGTTTGGCCTGTCTCTCCCAGTCTGCCCTGCCTTCTGCTGCTGTAAGAGCCCCCTATTTACCACTTAACCTTTCAAGAAGTGGTCGAGTAACTTCAGAGGGAAAAGTGATTCCTGGCTTTAGAAGGTGCGAAGAACGCCAGATCAGCGTGCACTGATTCCATAATGATGGCAACAACAGCCAAGAGGTCAGGCCCGCATCCACGGAGGTTTTTAAAGGGTCTAACGGACATTTGAGCAGGCTTTGGTCTCAGCCTTGTGAAAGCAGTTTAGTGCAGAGGTAAACAGCCCGGGGCCAGCAATAACAGAGTGGAACTGATTAAAGGAGGAGGAGGAACGAGGAAAAATGAGACAAGGACTGATAGCATCTTTTACCCACCTAAATTATATTAGACAGCTAGAGGCGCTGTGTGTTTTAAATCTCATGTGAAATGTAAACAATAACAGCCGAATATCATGGAGAAATATTTGTGTAATCTGTAGCAGAGCGGGCCAACATTTGGAACACATAAAACCATTCTGATTGCGATGATTTGCACGATTTTCATCTCTTAATGTCATAATTTAAAGATCACAAAGTATTATAGTGAAGCGGCTACGCTACGGTTTAATCCCTGGGGAAACCTGGATCAAATTAGCGAGCATTTTAATTACATCCTTTAAAGCTATTGCATGATCATTTTACTTACTTACTGTCAAACAAAAAAGTGGAAAATATTGATATATACTATGACCTTAACATCTAAATGACTACAATTGTTCTCGGGAGCGTCTTGGAAAAATTGTCTGACAGAATGCACTATATCGCCATTCATAGAGGCATCTTGGTTTGTGCTCCGATCTTTCAGATGTGGGGGACTTGCTGTGGCTGTTTCAGGATGTGGATACGGTGAATTACAGAGAAGGAATAACCAGCCTTTCCAGTTCCTTACTCGCTACCATTTCAAACTCAAAAATTCTCTATCTAATGTATGATTGTAGCGCCTTCAATGCCAGTGAAAGCTGTTGCCAATAAAACTATAAGAAACTCTGGGACATTGGAGAGAGAAGTACATTCTTCCCTCACAGTATGGGAAGTGCCTGAGCAGGACGGGAGCTCCTCAGTGGACTGGGGCAAAACACTGGTGAGGTATGGAATGGAGTATCACCCTACTACCCCAGGACATGGTAAAAACATTTTTCTTTTTATCAGGTTTCAAAGGAATAGCAATTACATGAAGGACTCAGGATGACAAGACAGTGGTGCATGGTGGGAGTTTAGAAAGGCTCAAGGGCCAATTGGTTTGCATTTATGAATTGTTTAAAAAGAACATAAGCAGTCTTTTAATGTATATAGGTTGCATAATATACTGCATATTTGTTGGTGAGGGCTACACAATTTGTAAAGAATGCAAATGCAAGTTGTGTGACAAGAATTAAGATAAGATTTGTGATTTATGTTTTAAAATTAAGATTCTGGTTACACTGCACATTTTAAATATTTATACAGGAAAGGAGAAATATGAACAGCTGAACTAATCCCATTCATTTGAGAACATGTTTGTACAGTTCTAAACTTTTTTTCATATTGTTTTTGTAGACATTCTATTATTGTAGTCTTTGTGATATGGTGAATTTTGATTCGATTTTGATATTGTGCAGCCATGGTGCTTATTATGATTTTATGTTATGATTTTATATAAAACTAATATTGCAGATTGCATATTATAAAAGTACATTTGTCTTTTACCTGTAAATGTAATATCCAGATGCCATAATCAAATAGCATAATAAGTAGATATTTTCAGTGTCAGTCCTTGTAGGCAAACTGTCAATTAAATAAAAGTGTATACTTCACACAGGTGAAGCTCACTGAGGTTTGATTTTTCTGTTTTCAATTATAGATATACTTAATTATTAATAATTTTCCTGTATCACTTAATAATATATTAATTATACTACATACCTCTTTACAAAAATATGTTAAAATATCATATGTCATATGATTGTATTTAAAATTGCATGTTTGTTCCTATTATTTTTCAGCCATAGTCTCAAAGCGGCACCAATAGCTCATCTCCATCTTCTCTGAGTCCAGAAAAAGCAGCCATTGTGTGCCCGCTCCTCTCTCCCCAAGTCAGTTTCCTATTGAGGCAGTGAAAGGCCCTTTGAGGGGCCCTGTTTTGGCTGTGCGGCTCACCTGCAGAGGGGAGACTATGGGGCTATTCTGAAGCGCAGCAGCTGCCAGGGCAGAGAGGCTGGCACCCGGTGGGACACAGAATAGAGACCGCAGAGCCTTTCAATATGAAGCCACTTAGTAACAGAAGGCATGTGCCAAGCCTGCAACGCCAGAGTGAAGAGTCATCCTTTGGTGTTAATATCACAGTAGTTTTTAAGCTATAGCTTTTTTCAGCCTTTATAACTTGGCCTCTGTATGCTTGAGAATGACCTTTTGTAGTCTGCACGGTTGATGCAAAAGTGTAATATGCAAGATTAGTTTAAGATATGCCAAGTGTTTTCATAAGTGAAGATTCCCAAGTGAAATTGCTGTAAGCGGGATCAAGCTAAAACAAAACAGACCCTCTGCCAAATGGATGCCTCTTCCTTATATGAGCTGAAGTTCTTGTCATGCCATAGATCGGCGGATGATAGCGGCGAGAGGATCCCAGCGGCGGAAGGCCCCTGAAGAAGCCCTCCACACAAAGCCTCTTTTCTGTCGGCCGGCTAGCTCCCACACTGACGCTAATTTACGCTGCCCTCACAGCAATTTCCACAGTCAGAGAAGTTCAATTGTATTTTCCAGCTCATTAAGCATCAGCACAACAAAGCTTTCATCTTTTAGTTAGTCACTTTACTCAGCTAGGTCTCCTTTCCTCTCATCTCCACCCCTCTTCTTACTTGCTTTTTATTTTACTTAGTTTTACATTTTATATTACAAAACCTTTAATCACCAACTCCAATATTAAAAAAAAAACAGACTTGCTACAACTCACCAAAAGATTTAGTCTAGATTCCTTTGGCACTTGGGGTCTTTATAAAGTCTTGAAAGTGTCTCTATACAAGGGTGCAGAGAATTTAATGGTTGTTGATTCAGGGGCCTCTGCTGTGCCCTCCCCTTTCTTTCAGTACTTCAGGAGACGACGTGGACCCTATTGTAGAGAAAGAAGAATCAAGTCAGCATATTTGTTCAGGTTGTCACTGTGCAGAGATCAGAGACTTGCACTCACATTCCCACACAAACGCAGGTTACCAGTCTAAATGCCCTTAAATAGGTCTGTAGTTTCATCACTAGTAACTAAAATCGTGGTATGTTAAGTCCCTCTTGTCCTGGGAAGTTTTAAATGGTGGCACTAATCAACTAATGGCCTCACTAAGAACTGTTCCCACCACTGCAAGCAAAAGGCAAGCATGAAACTTTCATTTTCTTTGCGATAAACACATGCAGGGCCAGGCTCATAGTCAACTGTAAAATCAATGCAACCATAACAATGTTTGATGCAATGTGAATCACAAGCTTAACAAATGCACAATGTAGTTTTGACTGACATGCTTTTAATGGACTATGTGCTGAATCAAACGGATATTTATGATGCCAACTTTTTCACAGCAGATTGACAAAACTGACTCTGAAGACTATAAAATTCTTACATTGCATTTATAATAAAATTATGGGATATTTATACGTTGTCAGTAAGTTTCTCACCCTTTTTAAGTGCTTTGATACAACACCATCCATATACATAAATCCTCTGGCTTTTATTGTCATAAAAACACATCAAAGTGCAGCAATTCAATTGCAGAAGCAAGTTCAACTCACTGTGGTGTTATATTTGTATGTTGTTGTTCTAATACAATTACAACATAAACATATACAAAAGGGAATGAAAATATAAAATAAAAATAAATATTATATGATAAATAAAAAGAAAATAGCTATGTTTATTATTCCTTAATCTTGTGACTAATAGTGAATGAGCAGGGTAAAGGGACACTGCATTATGTTTTGTCTGAGTCAGGTTTCCCCAGCATTACCCTGCGTGTCATCACTCACACTCACACTGTTTACATGTGCTATCAAGGCTGGACAATGGAAAGCCTATGATAATTTGACATCACCCACCAGTGTCCTAGTGCCTTATTCCCTTGGACTCTCTTCATTATAACTCCACTCTTCATGTGAGCGTCCTCTGCTGTCAGCACCGTCTCTGGGCCCAGTCTAAACCATGTCCCTCTGCAGGTCCAGGGAGGGTGTCCGGTTCCCTGACTGCCTCTCCATTTCCCCCAAACCACAACAAAACAACTATAATATGTCTGTGTTCACCTGTTATCACTTGATGTTATAGGCCGGGCTCTGTGTCAGACGCCATGTGGAACGCGCCTCCGTGTCACCAAACTCAATATCCTACACACAAAACAGACACAGGCATAATACGTGGATCCCTGCTCGTCTGTCAACACCTCTATCTGCGGGCCGAGCAATGCTAACATACACAGGATAAATGAAAAGCACTTAGGCGATCAACAGCCCATCAGGTAATTACAAAGGACTCCCACATCATCTACCACACAGGTCTTGCTGTGGTCGTGTACTACAGGAAGTCACTCAGATTTGATCCTCCTGACAAATGGGGACTTGTTTTGTGTTGCAACAAAGGTAGAAATAGAGTCTTTGTTGGTACTTTGTTTTTACATACAATAACATCAGAAATATTTACTTAAAAAGATAAATGAATCTCGCACTGGGTGATCAAACTGTATAAAATTCCAATAGGCTATTGATAAAACAAACACTGAAAAGAAGAAAATGTCTCATACTTTATAAAGTATTTGTCAAATGGGGGTTAGAAAAAATATAAACGTGTAATCTTTCAGACACGCATAGAATGTTTTGATGTTATAAGTGCCACTGGCTGATGTCACAGTGAGCTGGGAAATTAGGTGGAAAGAGTGGAAACTTAAGCACATAATAAAGCTCTGTGGGTTGTGTCAGTGACTATTCTTCAAAGTAAGAGGTCAAGAGGTCACGTATCCTAAAATAGTCACTATAAAGAGACATGTGAGTTAAGGGAATGAGGCAAACGCCTGTAGACAAAATGTAAATGTTATAATTCTTAGTGTTGTGTTAGTTGTCCTAAAAATATATTACTTGAGAAACTGTTTGGCTGTTTTGCATTTAAGAGTCTGATTAGAGAAATTACTTCAAGAAAAAAATGTAAATCATAACATGTCATTAAAATGTCAAGAAGTGCACAGCCTGTAATAAAATGTACTGTAAAACATGTGGGAGAAATGAGACAGGATCTGGAACAGGAAACCGCTGACATTTACATTGGAAATCAGACTTGACTTGTCCTCTGTATCTCTCAACAAGAGACCAATTTTAAACCCAATAGGTTAAGTTGACCTGGTCACATCTCGGTATGACCACTGTATATATGATACCTGAGGAATGGTAATCAACACTACATTCTGGCTGTAAAATGAAAAGAGATTTTTATTTTTAAGGACAGCGACAACTTTATAATGTACCTGTCCATTGAAGTTTTAACATACCACTGGGCAGATCTATAATGCAGTGCTAGGCTCCACTGAGAAAGCCTCCTGTTTCTTTTAAAGACGATACACTTTGACCACAAGTTCCCCGCTGTGAGTTTCATAAATGTTTATCCCACATGAATCTAGCTCCCTCCACAAAGTTTGCTTAGTTTGGTTGACACGGTGCCAACATTCATGAAAGGAAAGCTTAGAAAATGAAATATATAAAAACCTGCTTCAACATGTTGACTTCAAAGCAAAAGTCTTTGAGGAAACCACAATTACCTCTTAAAATACTGTGCGTTGGCGGGAAAAAGAAACAGTATTATGCCAATATTCAAAGTGATTTCATATCATTTTAGGTCAAGAATCCATTTCAGTCAGTACTTTCCAATATCAAAATAAAGAAAAAGTGTTGGACACAAAATTAACCTGAAAAATATCAGATTGATTGCAATAGTAGCAGTGGCCCAAAATGAGTCACTGTTGGAAAACTGCAAAAGTGACTTGGATCTAAAAGTTAAGTTTCCAGAAGATACATTGCCATATATTTTATTAAGCTACAATTAGTTGAAACTCCAAACTTAAGAAAAAGTCCAATATTTTTCCATTGGTATAGATACTGTTGAAACACACTAAATTGCTGTTATTGGACAATGGTATAGTCGCCTGGAGATGTATGGCTGTGAGGAGTGGGGCAGAGTGAGCAGACAGGCGCCAGTCGCAGCAGGATCAAAGCAGAAATGTACCTCAGGGAGAGAAACAGTTAACTCCATTTAACCAATTGTTCCACAAACACACTGCCCAAAAACACATCCCCTGGGAAATAAAGGGCCTATTGAATTTCAGTGAGTGATTTGGTGATTTTGAAGAGCAGTAAAATCAACCCAATTTGACCAATTTTGGAAACCTTGGAGACTTCTTTAAAGAAACCATGCACACAATAGAGTGAAATATAGTCCATGCACATTAACCATTGTACTTATACGCAATGGCCTTTAAAGTAAATTAGCTCCCGTAAATCACCACCTCAAGTGCTGGAGTGATCTGTGAAAGGTTGCAGACTGTTTGTCACTGATTATTTTTACATATCAGTATTCTCATTCTATGTGTTCAGTGCAGTTACATAGAATGAAAATACTGGGATTGCTTTTCACACTTGTTTCTCAGGGCTGAATAGAAAAAGAGACATGATTTATTAGATGTAAGCTTAAATTTAAAACTATACCTGCTTGATATTTTTGCTTTTTTAAATGGTGTATTGTATTTAATTGCACTTCCATGTGTGTTTTAGAATAATGCCGGTTTTAAAATTGTTATTATTATATTTATGTTGTATAAAGGCGGAACGTCAGGAAAGTCATATTATTTTCATGCAAAAATTTACCTTAAAGTTGCCTAATCTGTAAAATACCAATCCTCTCTGACCAATCGTATAGCACTTTGGGTCTGTGATGTAAAGGCACTTCACTGTGATTGGCTGGCGGCAGGATGAAAGCCAAAGTTGACGCTTGAGCGTGGGACAGAGAGACCGTGAGCAGAAGTTGAAGTTTGGCACGCGGCTGCACATCCATGAGGGATCCACGGAGCTGAGGCACGTTTTCTCCTCAGGTGTACGGAAACACATCGCGGCGGAAAGTTTGTGGAGCGGACAGTGGCTTATGGCACCACTGTCGTGCGTCATGAATCCTGCGCAAGGATCTCCCGCATCGGCTCCAACTGAGGACCCCATAACGGAGCAAGTGTCCCAAATATGCACAGAAAGTAGTGAGCTGGACCTCTCCTCTGCCAAAAGATGCAAAGTGAAAAGTGTGGACCTGCCTTTTAGCGTCGAGTCTCTTATATCGAGGACGCCAAGCAGAAACCTCCAAAATGCTGGTATGGGCTATCTCCGATCCGAGGAGAGCGCGTCACATCGGGAACTTTTGCGGCCCAAAGCTGAAGCGGCGGATCTAAGCGACACCGAGGCAGGACACTGGATTCAGCCCCGTTACTCGTCACCTCCAAGTAAGAGAAAACCTAATTTCTAGGGCAAAGGAAAACTGGGGCGAGGACTACATTTGTTTGCATGTAGGCCTATTTTTGATCTAAATATAATATGCCGGCAAAGCTGCATGCACTTTTACAAATAGGGTTATTTATAATGAACAAATAATAATAGTTTGCCACGTGTTGCTTATACTAGTGTTTGTATACATTACAGGACTACCCAGCCCAGCCGCCTGCAATCTGCGCAAACACAAGAACAACAGAAAACCTCGCACTCCCTTCACCACATCCCAGCTGCTGTCCCTGGAGAGAAAGTTCCGTCAGAAACAGTACCTGTCCATCGCAGAGAGAGCGGAGTTCTCCAGCTCCCTGTGCCTCACAGAGACACAAGTAAAGATCTGGTTTCAGAACCGCAGGGCCAAGGCCAAGAGGCTGCAGGAGGCCGAGCTGGAGAAGATCAAGTTGGCAGCCAAGCCGCTGCTGCCGGCTTTCGCCTTCCCCTTCGCCCTGAACGCTCCGCTGAATACCCCGGCTCTTTACGGGGCATTGAACGGCCCGCGGCCCGCTTTGCCTGTACCAGGACTATACAGTGGACCCTATGGGATGTACTACCTGTCATAAACTAAATGGTTATGTAATGTGCCTTGAAACTCCACAACGAAAAATAGCTGGACATCAAACCTTTCCCTAATTGCATTTAGTGGGATTAAACCATTTTCTTTAAATAAGGGGTACAATTCACAGTTTATTTCCAATGGAAAAAGTTATGTCGCTTAGCTCACATACTTAGGTCTATTGCTCAGTTCAAATGAGGTTTTGAGTTTTTTCTTCAAATCCCAAACTTCACACTGGACAGCCTTCTGCTCTAATTTCGGAAAATGTTGCCTGCCTTAATTTTATACAGAAATAAACTAAATTTGATCAAACTGAATGTCCTTCATACACCTTAATTCTAGGCCAATACATTTTATATTTTATTCACAACTCAAAATATGTGTGATAGCGTATTTGATCATTGCTTTGCCTTTTGATTAGCATGTGTGAATCAAATGAGCATGTAACTGTATGCTGATCCCAAGTAAAATTTTGCACATAATTACAGTCAGTTTGAACTATAAATATAGATGGCTGTCATGACCTATTTTTAACAAAAAAATCTCATCAGATCAATGGAACATCACTTATAAATGTACATTGTATTTTATATTTGTATGAATTTTGTACAATAAAAATGTTAAAAGTATATTATTAAAAAATACATGTCTTTTGTGTTTATTGCAAAAATATCAGTCATGTGAGACACTATTAACACATTTTAAAGAAAAAGTCTGTTTTACTTCTTTTGTATTTCCAGCCTTTTTAAAGAATTGTCTATTAGTGAGAGTTCATGGTATGCAAGACCTTTAATTTGTAAACATAAAAAAATCTTGATTCCGTACTTGTAAAGTGTCAAGTTCTCTTTCCTCGTCGTCCTCTAAATCCACGCACTGAACCTTGACCAAAGCACACATTTGCAGGAACCCTATGGAGACATATTAATAGTTTTATATTCATAAAATATATCCCTTCTATAAATATAATAACCAGGCCGGCTGTACCTGTATGAGTATTGAGGTTTCGTTGGTTCAATAGGATCAGGAGCAGATACAGACGTTTCCATATGACCAATGTTTTCTTCTGAAATGTTCATATGACTGGGTTCTGGATCTTCACTTTGGTTTGACATATCGCTGCAGACAACTTCACATGGGCCCTCAGACTCACACACATCAGACACAACCTCCATCTCTGTGTCACTGGCCTGTGCTCTCCTCTTGTCCCTTCACACAGATATAAAAAACATCATTTTGAAAACATATAATTTTCAATTAATTACTTAATTTTCCAATTAGTGTTTTTGGTAAACAAATAACTATAGGCATGCTTTATACACATGTTCATACAGCATAACATGCTGAAAATAAAAATGTCACACATACTCAAACTTGAAAATTTAGACTTCCAATGGTGGAAAAAAGTAAAATTGACCATGAGTTTGCTGCCATCTGGTGGGAAAGACGAAAATTACCTGTTGACTTTTCTTATTTTGTCAAATCTGAAATCTGGTGGGTATTTGTGAATAATTATTAAGTGGTCCTTTCTCTCCTTAATCGTCCTAAATGTGCGTCCACAGCCCTCCACCAGACACTGGTACTGAGTGAAGAAAATTACATTAATAAATGTCATTTTCATCTATTAATACTTAAAATAGACCACAAAGCTCACCATATCTTGTTTTTGTGCCAGAACAGCAAAGAGAGAGTCATGCCACTCCTGTATATGAATGTCCAGGAGACGGGCAGTGGGGAGAGAGCGGCGGCAGATGCAACACACGTGTCTATGCAGTGAGTTATAGTGGTGCTCATATTCCTGCAAAGTTTTAAAGGCTGCTGTACAGCCAGAGATGTGGCAGGCAAACTCTGACACTCTATAATAAAGAAAAAAAGATACTGATTAGATAGCTATGCATAAGTTCAAAAGGCCCATATTACACAGTTTCCTGATCTGTTATAAGATCGATTCCTCTGGATATCCTTTAGGATGATTTCAACCCTGGAATTGCCACTCTCTACTGAACAAAAGGAAGAAGGTAGCCTTTAACTTGATTGTTTCATGACATCACAAGATGGAACAGAGGATTTTGATCTTTGGAGATGTAGATAATAATAAAGGATTACTAAAATCTGCGTGATTGAAACTAAACACAACTCCAGGTTTGTTTTTGAAGTGGTAATAACATTCTAACATGGTTTAAAGCTCAATAGAGTCAGTTTGTCGTAATATAGGACCTCTAATTGGTTTGATGGTTGATGTTACCTGAGGGAGGGCTCCTCATCTGCTGCTGAGATGTAAAAGTTTTGCAGGTACATGTGTCTCTGAACGTCTCCATCCTGAGAAATGTGTTAACATTGAACTTAATAAACTTTAAAATAAATGAAAGAATCTTGGCAGAAAAGTTTTGTTCTGTATACTGTCAATGCATCATCCAGTAAATTAAAACAGTAGTTTGTTATTGCCATACAAAGTTGGCTTTTTTCCTGTCAATTGTAATTGCCATTACCTCAAAAAGCTCATGGTCTTTGGGCAGGTGTATCACTTGAGGTCTGAAGTTGAACGGGTTTTCCTCATTTCCCCCAGTTTCACTTGATGTCGGACAGTCGTCAGCACAGCTTTTTACTGAAATATTTTCTTCTGTCACAAATTTGGGTAAATGCGGCTGCAGCATCATTAAAATAGCAATTTAACTTGCGAGAAAAGTCTGTTTTGGTGAAACTGTTTTGTCTGTGTGGCGCAAATTTTCAACGTCATCAGTGGCCGCCTCCAAAGTGAACACCAACGCTATTAAAATAACATTACTGCCACCTAGCGACCAAGTTATTATACATTTTGAGTAGTTTGTAGTCTACATGTCTAACCAGCAGATGGCGCCAGGACTCAGTAAGTTCTTATATATAAGTTTTCAGCCGTAAAAACTTTAAAACTGTTCTAATTAGTGGTTTCGATCTTGAAAGCGCAGATGAAATGTTAAGAGTCTTATAAAACAATGTGTACAGGTCGGTGTCAGGTAGCCAGTCTCAGTGCCTTACAAACTACAAGAACATGCGGAAATTTTGCTTTAAACTTTTTCTTAGAATGGTTTAGTGACTCATGTAGCTGGTGAACAATTGGTAAATCGCAGGATATTACACGAAAAGGAGAGAGAGAGAGCGACAGAGAGAGAGAGAGAGAGGGGGGGCGGGGAGTGATGGGCCTTCAATAACTCCCTCAGACTCACTGCTCACCATGACAGTGTCCATCCGAAAGAAGAGAGCAACATGCTCCAGCCAGGATGTATTGTATGGATTATTTTCTCCTTGTGGGGTACGTTGAATGTAATGTTATTTCCTTAATTTGTTTACTTTATTGTGTTTTCTTCACTCTGTTGTCTTTGTATTTTAAAAGTATTGTTTTATTGTATTATTTACCTCACCAGGAACAGTTGACTGTCATGTGAGGAATATGCCTCATGTGATGAAGTACCAAACAGTTATACCTCAGAAACTAGGATCCCCAAATCTCAACAACTCAACATTACACCAGGTAAAACCTAATTTAAATTTTACATGTTATTAATGCATATTTGGGGTTTTGATTTAAAATCCATTGTGTCCCAGACATTTCCAGATGTAATGAAGTACTCCTTGTTAATTGGAGCACAGAACTATACACTCCACCTGGAGAGAAACATGTGAGAAAACATCCATGAGCTGATTTAAGTAACTTTTATTTGCAATTCAATAATACTATCACAAACTTTGTTTTCTCCAGAGACCTTGTTGGGCGAAACTTTTCTGTTACGCACTATTCTAAGGAGGGCAACCAAATCACAACCAACCCAGATTTAACGGTATATATTGTTTCATTTAATTACTATAACTCTACATCGTTCTATATCAATATTTTTGTCATTAAGCCTATGCACTACTTATTCATTCTTGGGCATGCTGCTGTCTTTGTGCTTCCATTTGTTGCACTTCATCAATCTATTTATATCAAGAGAAGAAATCTCAGATGTGGGTGGTGATTCAGCGTTGAAACAGACTAAAATGTACTATCACACTGTTTGTCCTGACTGAGACTAGATTTAGTGGAAGTGTAATGTCTGGTCTTTTGCAAGTCAAATGAACTGTTAAATATTGGTATTATAACTGCTTACCATATCGATATTCCTGAAATAATATAGTGAGACATAATATAGAGAGACATACAAGTTGTAATCAGTGGTATTGTATTGTACTTTTGCTCATTTCTAAGTTAACATGAATCTAATTCTTTTTCAGAGCCACTGTTATTTCCATGGACATGTGATGGGACTAGAGGATTCATCAGTCAGTGTCAGTCTATGCTCAGGAATAAAGTAAGTGAAAGTGAATAAAATATAGTGTGTGCGTCTATTTTGTATTTATAGGACATTTGTAATATGAATATTATGCATATAAAAATGTGCTTGTTATCCCCTCAGTGGATTTGTCCGCCTTCAGGACCAGACTTACCTCATTGAACCTCTGGAAAAGAGACACAGCAGGACTGAAAAAGAGACACAGCAGGACAGTAAGAGCCCCATGTCCCAGAGTGAGGAGGGTCTTCATGCCGTTTACAACTACAAACACCTGAGGACAAAAAGAAGCACATGTTCCCATGGAAACACCACCACGTTCTATGATCATGGCGGCCGGCCGTCTGGACTGTTCCAGCTTGGCAGTCTGGTATGGACAGAAATTAGGACACATACATTTGTTTCCCTTGGAGACTGTTATCTTAAAACAAAAACTTTGGATTTGTTGATATATTGTCCTTGTTTATATCAGTACTGTTGATTTAAGTCTATAACAGTCTAGAAATCACAACATACATGCATTCACTTTTTGTATTTGCCCACAGAAAAGCAGATTTCAGCGTAAAGATAAAGGTACTTCAAAACACAGGACAGTGGAACTTGTTGTGGTCATTGACAATGAAGAGGTGAGTTTTTCTCTGTCTTGTTAATATTTACACCGAAGTTATTTAAATAGCTCACGTTCTTATTATAATTGTAATATAAATGACATAATACTCATTAATATTAAATTACATAATACCCATGTTTGACAGTATAGATTATACTTTGTATTAATATTCCACATACTTCTTTTCAGTATAAAAAGATTGGCAATAAGAAGAATGTTGAGGCTCGAGTGCTTGAGGTTGCAAACCATGTTGACAAGGTATGCTGTCTCATATTCTGAACATTAACATAAATTTCAAGAATATTAAGTCTATTTTTGTTTGGTACTTCTTGTCCTTGACTGAATTACTACCAGGACAAGAAAGTTAGTGATTTGTAGAAATTTCACTGAGATTCTTCACACCTCAGATGAAAGATTATCACATCTCACACAGTCCTTGTTGCATATTCTGAGCTGATGGAGTAAAACACAGTTACATCAGACAGTGCTATTATATGTGTTTTTTATTATGTATTTTTGTTTAGTGTTTTTGCACAACTCATCTCTATAGTATTTTTTTTCCCCGCACCTGTTAACGCATACCATTTGTACTGTGCTGCAGCTATATAGGCCTGTGGGTGTTCGAGTGATGCTTGTTGGGATCGATATCTGGTCTTACAAAGATCAGATAGAGGTCAGCACAAATCCAGAGTTTACGCTTGGACGTTTCTTAGAGTGGCGTCAGCAGAGACTTATACCCAGAATCAAACACGACAATGCACAATTTATCACGTAAGATGGAGAAGTCCTAAACTTCAAAGCAAAAAAATGCAATAATATAGTATTTGCGTTTTATTTTGTTATTTTATCTTTTTTTTTTTTTGCAGTGGTGTGGATTTTGATGGTTCCACTGTTGGATTAGCAAACACAAATGCAATGTGTACTTCAAAGTCTGGGGCTGTAAATGAGGTAAGATATGAATAAATATTGTTATAACTTGGCGTTGATGACCTATTTTGCTAATTGTCTCCATACTTTCCACACAGGATCACAACAGTAACTCAGTTGGAGTGGCCTCAACAATAGCTCATGAGATGGGACACAACCTGGGTTTGTCCCATGATAATGAAAACTGTGTTTGTGGTTCATCCATATCAAAAAAGGGCTGCATCATGTCTGAAAGTGTAGGGTAAGTGTTATATGCGCAAACAAAACTGTTCAGTGATATGTCAAACACTGAATAAAACAATGGTCCTGCCAGGTGGTGCTTCTTATCAGTTTGCCTTTCTTCAGTGTTGTTTATCCAGAGCTGTTTAGTAGCTGCAGTCAACAACAGCTCAGCATGTTTCTGGAAGAGATCAACCCCGAGTGTCTGCTTGATAAGCCCTCAACAAATCGTATCTATGGAGGACCTGTTTGTGGAAATGCTTTTCTTGAGGCTGGAGAGGAGTGTGACTGCGGCACTGCAGAGGTGAACAAACAAATTCACACTAAATATTTAACAGTAAATGAAAATTATATGAATGTATAATATATTTTCCAGGAATGTAAAAATCCATGCTGTAACGCCACCACCTGCAAACTGAAAGCAGGAGCCCAATGTGCAGAAGGAGAGTGTTGCCATAATTGCCAAGTAAGTATCAACAGATACATTTTAGTGTGTGGATGAGTGAATCACACATTTCTGAATGTGTTACCATGCAGCTAGACAATGTCTGACTGTGCCGCCTGGCTGTCATTCGAAAGAGGACACAATATTCAGCATCACTCCATCTGTGCCTCTTCTCACTCCTCAGCTTAAACCGACAGGCAGTTTATGCCGTCCAAAAACAGGAGACTGTGACCTGGCAGAGTACTGCTCTGGACTCTCAGCTTCCTGTCCTGCTGACGCCTACACTCAAAATGGTCTCCCATGCAAACGTGGACAGGGATATTGCTACAATGGTCAGTGTCCTTCAAGGAGACAACACTGCAAGAGACTTTGGGGACCAGGTAAAATCAATTTAAAAAGTGTTTACTGTTTAAGAATACATTTTATCACTAATACGACACACGCTATATGGTATTCAACTCAGATGCTGAAGTAGCTGCAGATGTTTGTTTCCACCGCAATGGAAACTGCAAAAAAACTGTGTTTGGTCAGAGATGTGCTGGGGCGTACGTAAAACGTTTATTACAGAACACTTTTTTCATTACATTATTGTAAAATACATACCTTGTATTGATCATTTATTACTTTATAGGGATCAATCATGTGGTACGCTGTTCTGCACCGGAGGTTGGGAGTTTCCAGTAACGTCAAAGAAGTATTACTACAACATTGGAAATAACTTGTGCAATGAAGCAACGATGAATCCTGAGGACAACTACCCAGCTGACATGGGCTTAGTCCCCACTGGAACCAAATGTGGAACGAACATGGTAGCAAAACATTTGCCAGTTTTGAAGTTTATTTTCTACATTCAGCACCATATTCCAATATCTGTACCTTGTTACTAGGTTTGCTATGATCAAAGGTGCCAGGATATGAAATATATCAAAGTGTATGGACCTAATGACTGCTCTGACCAATGCAACAACCATGGCGTAAGAAATTGATGAACTTCCTCAAAAGTGAGAGATAAACAGATAATGCAGTTACACTAACAGGGGAATGTTACAGGTGTGTAACCATGAGATGATGTGCCACTGTGATCCAGGATGGGCCCCACCCTACTGTGACATACAACAAACAGAGCTGCCTGAAGGTATCATCCCTTACATCAGACAAAAATGCACACACTGTTCTTTATGAAGAAATGGCTGATGTAACACTGAGCGGAACAGTTTTCACTATACTCTACTGTTTGTATAACTACGTTTTTGTTGCTTCCTAAAATGATTTAATAGTGTAATTAATAGTTAATACTTGTCTTTGCAGAGACTGGAATGGTCTTACCAGTTTCTTTGGCAGTGGGGGCACTTATGTTACTGGTATTGATTGTTGGGAGTTTGATGTGTTGCATTAAAAAGCACCGGCCAAAAAAGAGGTGAGGAGTCCAACATTCTTAATGGTTTTATTATCTTGTTTAAGTTACCTCACAATATATATTAACATTTACTGTATGTTTTAGATATTTCCAGTCTACCTCAGGACAAACTAACCCCATGTTTCAGTCGAGCAGTGTAAAGAACAGCCCTTGTAATGGATCCTTCATTAGTGTGCCAACATTTGTGGAGACTTCATCCACCCATCTCTCCAAACCACTGCCCTATGCTTCATCTAGAGCAACAGCTGGAGCATTTAAACCCACAAGGGCAGCTCCAGAAGTGAGTTTTTAAGATACATTTATTTACATCACTCTAAACCTCTCATAATTTAAAATGCCCTTGTTCATAATTATAAACCACATGCAATTGCATTTACCTCTTCCCTGTTTGTCAGCTGAGTGTGTGAACAGTTGATCATGTCTCATTGAACTGTAACATTGTTTTTACCAGCCACCAAAAAAAGTGTCTCCAGAGCCACAAACGTCAAGGATTCAACAGGTAAATGTGATTGTTATTATATATATATATATATATATATATATATATATATATATATATATATATATATATATATATATAATATATATAATTTTTTTTTTTTTTTTTTATATATTTATATTTATTTATTTATTATACTTTATTTTTGTTCAGATTGTTAAACCATATGTGCAACCACCACCTGTTAGTATGAAGCCTGTCTATTCTGAGGTAAAGTTTTTTATTATTATTTTTGTAAAGTATATTTATCACACTCTTTTTATGACACTTTTTTTTTCCTTTTCAGACTAAACCACTTCCCCCATCCAGACCTCTTCCTCCACTTACCACAAAGCCAAAGCCTCCAGTACCCCCAATAAATGTGAAGCCCTCCTCTGGTGCACTGCCTCATACTCAGTTGGTAAGTTAAATCAACAGAAGTTTCACATGCACAGTGCTTTTACACTCACTTACAAATGATTGTTGTTTAAAAAAAAACAAACAAGCTTATAATCATTTGTCATGAGCTGTACTTTAGTGCACCTAATTTTTTTTAACTGATAAATCAAATATTGTGCTTGTCTGCAATAGTATAAAGTATAAAACTTTTGCTCCTGCAGGTATCTGGGAGAGTTGTTCTGATGCCTCCAAACAGGCCCAGATGACAGAAGAGATAAACCAGAGTGCTATAACAAAGTATGGGACTATCACTTTATGATGTCTGTGTTGAACATATGGTTCACAGGCTTAAAATTGATCTTTAGATTGACCAGTGGTGATTTGCAGACCCTGTTTGACAGTTAAGGTTACCATAATGGTTTTGCCATGTGCCTCTTGTTCGTGATTTTCATATGGGCCTTTTGTCAGTGCTAGGGAATAAGTGTCATTGGTGACTGGCTTGCAAGCCTTTAAATGAGAAATGGCTTCATGCTGCTATGACTACTGATTACAGCCTTAATCAGATTTTTTTTTTTTCAAAGGGGAGTTTGTTAACTTCCATTCTATTTAATAATTGCACTATTGCTGAAAGTGATTTATAGGCTATATGATGGTACTTTCAATTAAATAATATTAGCTCAGTAATTAAAATTGTTAAGGGAGTTTACGCAAATGTTGCACTCTTGTCTTATTTCAGATAAATGCGTATTTATGAAGTTTTTCTTTGTTTTGTTGGTAGATTCAAGGGACAATGCATTTCCTATGCAGATATTTTATCACATCAAAGGCCTTCACTGTATTTATTGATATTTTTAATTGTTTGTTAAATAAATATTAAATCAAACCTTTTGGATATGAATTATTTGTTATATATTTATTCTGATTATTAAAAAGACTCTTTCCAAAGGGCGTCGCTAATTAGCCGTTGCTAAGCAACGCTTTAAACAACATGTAGTTAATGGACAGGCTAACCAGTTAGCGTTAGCTAAGGGGGATATATGATCATAATATAACAGCTGTGAAATAAATGTCTCTTTAAAACAATGGACCGAGAACTGAATGAGGAGGAACTGCAGGACTTGTATGCCTGGATAGATAAAATACCCCTTTCGCGGCCCAAAAGACACATCACACGGGACTTCAGCGATGGAGGTAATGCAGTGGCGTAGTCTTTTTTGCTGAGTTTGCTAGAGTAGCCTACCAAAGGAAAAATGTAATCAATATCATCTGAAAACAAGAAGGATGTAAAACATTGTTTTTCCGAATACCCATTTTTGCAGTGATGGCTGCTGAGGTTGTGAAATATTATTTCCCCAAATTTGTTGATTTGCACAACTATGTTCCTGCAAATGGTACACCACAGAAGCTCAGCAACTGGGATCTTCTAAACAGGCAAGACAAATGGACAAAACTATTTTTAAAAGTTTTTGCGAAAAAAACTGGGGCAAAGAGGGGGCAGGATGTGCGATCTTGACGTGTATGAGAACTCATTTAGACACGCCCAATGTGGCACAAAGCCAGTCATAAATCTGAACGATGAGGGAATGGGATCATTGCTAGAAACATTTGATTTCCCCAAGTGTTATTTCATAGTGGTATTAGTTACTCTTACACTGTTGTCACCTATGCAGTTTTGTCAATTAAAGATGCTTCTGCTATCTGTGCATTGTGTGAACAGGAAGGTGTTTTCCAAGCTGAACTTTCAGGTGACGGAGGATACAGTGAACAAAATTGTACTGAACACCCCAGGAGCCATAGAGCCTGTTCTGAGCATCCTCAAGAAGAAGATTGAACGAAGACCAGAGCAGCCAAACAATACACTTGTGTGTATATTTCAGTATTGTACTGTCATACAATATATTTTACTAAGATTTGTTTTCTATGTCATAATTTAATGCTGTATTTTTCTTCTACTCAGGATTTGGAGTATTATGACACCCAGAATCATGAGAAAATCTATGAGGGTAATTTTTAGTCTTTATTTGCCTTTTCAGAAATGTAAATTAAATTCACACTTTCTACTTTTGCCATTTAGGTCATTCAAATTGTTTTTATTCAGCAGTAGGCACAAACAAATGTCTTGCAAGCTGTATCACAGTTCAGAATCTCACCATAAGCAAAATAATCCAGAGTCAGCATAATATATCCCAAATAAGCATGTGTATGATATTTAGGCCTATTTTTAGGGTTAGATTTGGTTAAAGAGCTGACAAACACCAATTCAGCATTTCTAAATATAAGGAAAGGTCCTTATTTTTGTGTATCGCTCCCTGTGTATTTAGTGACTATATTTGTAAGCAAGCATTGTAGTTTAAATCTATAAGTGATGACGGCACAGATCCAAACAGAACTACATTTCGTGCCTGGACAGATGAGAAAAGGTCACAACCTTTATGTGACGTGTCTCTGGGCTGTTTCTCGTACCTCATCTGTCCCTGATACCGTCCTGTGAAGCTGGACCAGGCCTTTCCTTCCTGTGCCCGGTGTTTCCTCCTCCATCTACACCCAGTTCACCACACATCCACTAACCCTCAGTCATATCAGCTCTTAATGTAAACACAATGACCTTTATCACCGGCATGAACCTACCACTGCAGGGCGTCATCAGCTCCTAATTTATCACCTCTTTGCTATGAAAAAAGTCAAGTTTACATACAGTACAACATACTATATCCACAATTATCATGAGTAGTTTTTACATGAGTAGCATCTTGGGAACACTGTAACGTCTAATATATCTGTATTTATTGGTTTGTAGAAGCTTATCTTGTTACAATATAGTGTAATGTTAATGTGCATTTTTCTCATTGACTAAACCAAGAAGAAAAGATCTGAAAATGTGGGTGCTCAACTATTGTGAGAAATAACATAAAATATTACTTGGCGTTGTATGTCATGTAAGTAATGTCATGAGTTAGTGACATGCTCTTGTTTTTTTGTTTTTTTTTCTCCTCAGAAACATTTCTCAATGAAGTTAAAGTACAAACAGAACAGGGAAAGAAAACAGAAGAAAAGGGGAAACAGAAAAAGAGGTAACACTGTCTTGATTTTAATGTTATTTTGTTTGTACTAATATCTATTTATGTGTAGCAAAGAGCAGCTAAAGGTGAATTTGAATGCCTTGGACAGCGATGTGCGACAAATGGTGAAAGAGAAGGACAAAGAGGTGTTGTCTTTAAGGGAGACTGTGGAGGTAGGAACTTAAACACTCAAATCCGGGAAGAGCAGCATCTGCAGTGCCGAGAGTGCACTCTGTGTGAGGCAGAACTCTGGTGTGAGTGTGATACATGCATTATGTGTCATACGCTGGTTCAGCAGTGAGTAACAACTTGTAAAGCGGATGCAACTTTTTTTCCTTCTGCGGTCACATCTCCAAGCTGAGAAAAAGGCAGAGGTATTTTTGGATGATCTAGAAACATGTCACTGTAAGTAACATTTCTCTTCTTGCAGATTCTGCAAGTAAAGGTGAGCAAGTTGGAGCATTTAGTTCGACTGAAAGACTTACGGATTGAGGAGCTCACACGTCATCTGGACACATACAAAGCTAAAGGAAGTAACCCCAAGTAAAAAAGTTCACTTGAGTTTTCAATCATTGCTGTAAAAGAAGAGGAACGCAACAGTAAAAATGCAACAAGATCTTTTGACATTTCATTACACAAATCTGACAATATTATTTTCTGTCTCATGACAATGTTTTAAAATAGTAAAACATATGCAGAATTACTACAACATCCTGCTCTAAGAAATGACATACTCATTTCTTGGTCTTTCCTTTCATGTAATAAGATTGACAAATATAGGCAGATTGTCAATTACCTCACTTGTCACATCTTAATGAAGTCAGGGTGAATGAAACCACAGCTTATGGGGAAATTGCACATCTCTGACGTGTCAGATCAGGACTCTTGTGACTTGACTTGAGATAAGGTCTAGGTCCTTTACTTAAGACTGTGTGTCTGTTTCATCTTTGAAGAATAACATAAAGCAGAAATCCTGCTGTGTTTTATCAGGAAGTTAGGTTAATACTGTTTAGCTGCTGCTCCTGGGATTTTTTTGCTGCTCCTGGGAATCTTTTGGTTTGGAATTATCCAGTTGTCACAATCGGATATAAATAAAGATTTGTTCAAAAACATGCAGTCAATACATTCTTAAAAATAACCATATTTGGATATGGTTCATAGTTTCACAATTAGTCAAAAGTAAATATGTAAATATTTTGAGGATGTACAGTAATTGTGCAATATGTCTTGGTAATTCATCATAACATTTGGCTCCTCCTACACACAGATAATGTTGTAATGCTGATTTTCTAGACACTCATTTTATTGCTTTACAATTTCAACCATTACTAGTATCTGGCAGTAGTATGCTGGTGTGTATGTAAATGCCAGTCTGCACAATTTCCATCTCCATGAATAACTCACACACCATATTCTTACATAGTTAAAGAGGGTAAAGTGTCTTGCCTAAGGACACAACAATTGCATGCACTGAATGTACTGAACATGGAGGGGCCACCGTACCACATGAGAAACTCTGAATTTCCCCGAAATACAAATTATGCATTACTTGGATTTAGTTTTAGGTTTTATGAAAAATGTTTTTCAGCTATTATGCAAATTCAAAGTCTAATAAGTCCATAGACTGACAGTGTTGCTGAAGCTTAAGGCCCAAAAATCAATAAGACATTAGAAATTAGAAATCACCAAGGAATAACAAGTAAGTGAATGGGCCAGGCTTACACATAAGATAAGTATTTATGAAAAACAGAGCAGCTATTGAAGAGGAAGCTGCCTGCTGCTGATGAATCATCACAAATTCAAGATTTATTGAGCCCCAGGTTAGTGTCACTCTCATGCCCTTCAAGGGAAGGAAAAGAGTTGCTTCTTTCAGAAAACACAATACATAAACTTGACCTCCCTTCCTGAGAGGAGGATCATATACCCCTAACCCACCAAACATACATCCCTTGTAAACAAATGTTGATTTATTTTCACTTGCAAACTTTCAGTGGGATCATATTTCTAACTGATCATGACAGAAAACAAAAGGCACAGAGTGGATAAAAAGAAGAGGATGTAATACAGTATTCAAGGGGGCTGTCCATGTCCATCTATATCAGAAATATGGCAGCAGTTGCAAAACAATGTTTTGAAAACATTGTTTTACAGATATATAGATATAAATATAGATATTAGCAGTGCAGAAGAAAAGGGTATACTTATGGTTAGAATTAGTTAAGCATGAAACTAGAATTAATGAAACTACTTCAGTATTGCTGAACAGTCATCTTTGTTGTAAATTATAAATAGAATAAGTGCCCCCTCTAGTGGGAAGTCATAGTATACCAGTGTGCAAAACAAAAATAACTTCAGACCTTGGAGATGGTACACTCAACACAAACCACATGAATATTACCAAAATAGGTTTTTATTTTACATAAGAACAGTGTCAAAACATTTTGCATATAAATCTTTTTAAAACAAGAGATTCACAGATTGTACAAAAACGACAAATAATTGACAAAATAATTAGTAAAGTAAATCAATAACAATTTGCATTGAATCCCATCACCAACAATATTAAAATGAGAGTGCAGTAATTGTCTGCCATTCAAGTGTCAAGTAAACTAACTTTAAACACATTTAGTGTTCATTGCCATAACTCTTGGAAGTTTAACTACTGCTTGTCTTGCCACAAAACTAAAGAAATAGACATCAAAACTGTAAGAAAAATGTAAACAAGAGGAAGACACTATTTTAATATAACAATACAACTCACCCCAAACCATGCAGTTTACTGCTCCCTGTTCAAAGATATTTTAAGGACTGCTTTGATGAAAAGTACTTTGTTGTTTGGAGGACAGTTTTTAAAGTTTTTCTGAAGTTAATTTGTAGTTCATTCTTCATTTAAAAAAAAAAAAAACTAAACTAAGAAGTCAAGCAACCAAAAGTTGCAGGCATCTTCTTATCTTAACTGAGCATGGCAGGGGAAAGCATAAAGTAAAACACTTTCACCAAAATAATAAATTTAAGCACTGTGACTATGAATTGCATTTGCCATTACAGAGGGGGGCAGCGTATCCTTACATAGTTTTAATATTGTGCTGGCTGTCAGTATTATCACAATATCTACTTGAGAATACAGTGGAGTGAAAATCAACTCAAATCATTCAGAATTAGAGGGTTACATAGATAAGCAAGGCATTTGATTTCTGTGTTGTTGTTGTTTTTTAAAGGGTGTGGGGGATGAGTCAAATTTAAATGAAATGAGAAAAACTATTGAACGATAAAACATGTCAAATGTCCTGAGTAAGTCCACCAAAGGCATTCACCAAAAGCACTTTCTAATATAAAAAACAAACAAATAATGATTTAGAGTCAAAAGATGGCACAGAAGCAGCCTTCCCTCATCCTTTACACAGACGCAGACCATTGTATCATAATTAGGGTCACCTTTGGGTTCCAGTTCCAAACATTTGCAAAATCACACTACATCCTTTCATATCTATCAGAAAATGCAATCTTCAAATTGCATTGTTTCGTAAGCACACGCGGATTACACCAACCTAGCGACCTTTCCAGGCATAAGCAATTATTATTCTGTTGATTTGACTAAAGCACTCTTAATCTCATTTCTGTTTTACCTCCAGAAATGTTAAGACAGTAAGCCACATCCTTTTTTGTATATTCCTTGCAAATCTGGTGTTCATTTGGTTGTACACCATTTAGTTTAAGACTAGAGCACCCTCATCTCCAAATAAACTGCAAAGCGGTCAAATACCCTTATCTCCATTTCAGACCAACCAAGTGCATCACGGACAGAAGAGTCATGCAAAGGCAGCTGTGGGTTCAATTACCATCCAGTTTTTGTTTAAGTAAGTCTGATTCAACACCGGGCTGGTCAGAGGGGCGGGACTTTTGGGGACTACTGTTTCCCTCCACAAACATGTTGGGGATGTCCTGGCCAAAGTAGATCTTACTGTTGGCAGCAATGGCCTGGTACTTCATCAACTCCAAGTACTCTGGGGTTAGCTTCAGCTACAATAACAGAACAGAAAAAGTGAGTGAGTAATGTACAGTTTCTTTGTATGTGCATGTGTGTGACATGTGTGACACATTTACCATGTTTGCTTCAGCAAACTTGGCAGCCGTGTAATATTCTGCATCAGCTCTGGCCTTTTCTCTGGCCAGGAAGGCAGCATCTGTTAAAAGACATGATATATTTCTGCAAAGTCCCAACTAAAGTAAAAAATATAAGTAAAAACAGAGGGAAAAAACCTTCAATTTCAGAGATTCTCTTCTCAGTTTCTTTCTCCATGATCTTCTGTTGAAATTGGATCTCTGCGACCTGAGCCACCTTCTGGGCCTCTGTTTGAAGATGAGGGATCATTAGCAACTATGTTGGAGCGTGTATGGGACCCAGCCTTGTACAGCAATCCACCATGATGAATTACCAATTATGGCCTTTTTTCTTTCAGTCTCGGCTTCCTTCTCCACTACTTTTTGTGTCTGTACTGTTATTAACAATCGGGTCTTCTCAGCTTCCCTGAGATGCACATAAATAAACTGTTATTTTTCAGTCTTGTGTGGTCCGGCTGGAAATGAGTGGGTGAGTCAGAAACAGGAAGAATGAACGGTTAGGGTTAGCTCAGATTTGTAAACTCACATGAGTTCAAAGTTCCGGCGAATGGATTCAGGGATTTTAGGTTTAGTAACACGCACAGCCTAAAATGAGATTTAAAAAAAAAAACAGGAGAAACAAAGATCAGATCAAAATTACGGCATGTTGGGTTTCAGGTAAAGATCGTCCAGTGATTTTGTAATCGCCAGTGATGATACCAATTGTTTAGAATCCAAAGAAACTAAAGGCCAATAATCTCTGCAGATATTTTTTGGGCTGATATGTAGGGGCAATTTTGATTATTTCCCCAAATTATATAATTAAAATTTACTAAAATCTCACCCACAACCCTGTTTTTCTAAACAAAATATTGCCCAATGTGCTAAAAGAAATAAATACGTAAATATCAGCCTGATGTATCGGCAAACCAATATAATCGGCCTACCTCTAGTTTCAGGCTCCTTAACAGTCTTACTGAATTTTTACACCACATTAAAGTGTGCAGCTTGCTGCTCGTGCTGGTTAGAATAAACATAAATGTAATTCTTCTACTGGACAGGGTTAGGCACTAAAGTATGGGTGAAAAATACCTGTATTGTGAGCCCAGGGGCCATTGCATTTAGGTCTTTCTGCAAAGCAGTCTTCAGGTTTTCATCAATGATGTCTAGAATGGAAAAATAACAATAATTTTGTTCCAGAAATGTTTTATAATGTAGTAGTCATTCAAATGTCACAATGCCATTATTACATTAATAGTACTCAGTGTGCCTTGTACTACTGACAAGTTTTAGACTTTATTCAAATACACTCACCAAATAACTCGATGTAGACTTCCTGCAGTGTGTGTACACTACAGAACTGGTTAAGTTCATGGTGGATTTTATTGAAAATCAGTGTCTTGTCATAATCTGCAGTGTAGTTTCTCACAATGTCCACGACTACAGAAACACGCAGTTAAACTTTAATTTCCACAAATGATTCAAGTGAACCTCAGCACAAAAAACCTATTCTACCTGCGGAGGGGACCAACATGTTCACCACCTCTATCCGATCAAAATAAATCATCACACCACCGCTGGAAATGTTAAATAGAAAAGTTAAATGAGGTGATGGTAATTGTTTATGAATAATATAACCACAAATATTATGTTACCTTGTTCCACAAGGCACATTCTTGATCTCGTCTGTCTGGAGTGTAGTCTGGCAAAGAAAAATGCATTGCACAATCACTTGAATGCAAGCACAATTAGCAATAAAGTTAAAAGCAGCAAACAACAATATGTCAACTGTTATTTTACAAAATAGGCTTACTTGGACAGATCTGTATGTGGTAATGAAAGGTAACATTATGTGATATCCCGGACCATTAGGGCCTGTCAGTAATGCCCCACCCCTGAAATAAACAACAAGGTTGAGAAGAAGGCAAGCTCTGGAACCATAAATAAGGGTTTACTAAGAAAAGGGCATGAGGGACAGTTTGGCGCTACAAGAGTGCAGTCAATTATTTATAAACGTGTAAAGATAAATTATTGTTGAAACAGTCTTTATCTGACTATTGCAATGTACCTGTAATACACAGCAAGGTGTCCTTCTTCTATCTTGTGAATTGAGGAGTGCAAAAGGATTCCCATAATTCCTGCTATAGCTGCAAACACTGCCCCGACTTGCGGCATGGTCATCCTCCCTTTCTCCAAACTGTAGGGAAAAGATTTGCCTCTCAGCAACTAATTGATTTGTTATACTGTAAAATACAGTTACACGCAATCGAGGTTTACAACTATAATCAAATGCTTTTGACAGTATTCACTGCCATACACATTGTACACACACTTGTACACTTGTGACACACACTTTGTTCTCTATTTCAGGGTGCCCTCAAGGTATAAACACGTTTAATGAATAGCACGACCATAACACAAACGTGATAAGCATGTGTCACAGGCTGGGACTGACCAGTATTATGGTTGTCCCTTACTATAAGCAAATAAAAATCTAACGCGCATTTTATAAGGAGTTGCAAAACAAAATGTTTTGCTATCAAACTGACAAAATATGCAAATATTGTTTTTGGGTTTTTTTGCTTATGTTGTATGTACAAAGGTTACTTAGTAGTAGCTAAGCTAACGTCCTCAACAAGTGGCTACAGAGGTACAGTGCACACAGACCGCTGTGTTTCCATCGTAATTTACGCAAGGTTACTTCTGATAACGTAGTTATTATTGTAGGACATTCACAAGTATTAGACTGCGCTGACACAGCTAGCTCAGGTTAGCAGCTAACAGCTCTCATTATTATCGGGTGGATTCGGAAGTCAGTCATTCTGTCCTATTTTTAGCTTTAGTCTACATTCTTTCAGACTGCTATGCTTACGAGTTACTCCCAAATACGTAGAACCATAATCGATGTAAAACAGCAACATAAATACACCCGTTTATGATCAGAAATAACCTTTATATGAAAGTGCCTCCTCGCTGTTTCACCATTCAAAGTCCGTAGCCCCGCCTCCCGCTACTCTCGCTTTCGCTGGATCCACCGTGTGTCGTTAAGGGCCAGTAGGACATTTCAGCACAGATTGCATTGAGAATTATTAAATGCCATCCTCTGGTATTTTATAATAAATTCAGTCAAAGCCTCAAAAATGTTCAATCAGCATTCACAGCAAAAAGTTTAATATAAACAGACAACATATATATCATATAAAATATATAATATATATATAAATATAAAAAAATATATATAAAATATATGTACATACATACACACACACACACACACATATATGATAAATACATAATAATAATAGAATTTATTAATATTTTAAATACAATGCTTAACATCAATGGCTTAAAATATTTGCAGCTATATTGACAGTGATATTGGTAGAAAACTGTTATTTAGGCCTATATCTCTGGATAACATACATAATAGTGAAAATTTACTGTTCTGGTCATGTTTATTATTTTATTCTATAAGTTCTGCAGTTGGGTCTTCATTGTATCATACTGAGTCCAGCTCCAGTCCTGATCCTAAAAGGTAAAATTCTGATTATTATTCATGGTTAGCTATACAGAAAAAAAAAAAAAAAAAAAAAGCAGCTTACCATAACACTTGTCTCTGTCTCCTGAGTTGCATCCTGCAGAAGAGATGTCAGTTGACTCAGATAGTGTTGATTTTCATCTAACAACTGCCCAACAGTTACACTAAACATAAAAATATGGATAAGTAAATGGTTTAAGTTTACACTGGAACATAAACTGTATGGTCTACATACTTATTTGAGGGTTTGTCTTGAAGTGACTGAGGTGGGGAACCAGTCTGCGCCTTTGAACAATAACAATTTATTTCATTCACACATTAACTGAATAGTTATTTCAGCTTTTTGTTTATCTTTTCTTACACAGGCAATCTTGAGCAAGTACCAGAACTCCCTTTGTCTCTTCATCTGCATCTGCATTACAGCTGCATCAGCAGTTGCAATATTTTCCAGTGCTCTTTCCAACTTTGGGAACAAGTCCACGATGCGTCTCTTGAAAACCAAGATTGTACTACACAGATATATAGATACAAATGCATTTAACATAATTTAAGTGTATCTGTATATTTTGCTGTATTGAGGAAGCTCCCACCTTAGGTGAGTATATAGGTCTTTAAGCACTCGGTCTTGGTTTTGCACAGTCTGAAGAATGGTGCGGACCATTTCAGAGCTGTCACTATAGCCATGTGGAGGGTCCGGACCTGAGAAGAAATATGTTTTTGGAATGATCTTCAAAAAGATTTCAGCTAAAAGAACAGATTATTCACTGAATACCTTCAGAGACACTGAACAGAATTTACAGCAAAACATTTGTTTCACTTACTGTCATCTTCTATTGGCCCCTTATTTTATACAGCGGCAAATCTACTTCAGCTTGTGAATGTGTTCAAATATGTGAGATATTGTAACTGGATCTTTTCATACTATTAATTGAAGTGACCCCATATACAGAATTTACTCACTTTTGCATTTAGCTTTCAGTTGCTTGTAGAGGTCAATTGCCTTTTCCTCACTGAAATAGAGGGTTTTTTGCAATCAATCATGTGGTCATCTCGAATAGCACTGAGACTAAACAGATACACACAGCTGCTTCATCACATCCTCCTGTCTTCTGGCAAATGGACTTCTCTGTAGCTCCACAATCTCCAAATGCAAGCCTAGTATCTCTTCATCCAGGTAGCCCACATCTGCAACCTAAAGTGAAAATGCCGTTAATTAGATAGGAGTGTATCAATTATTCACTCTCATCTGCTGACTCCCATTAGGGGGTTGTAGGTGACCAACCATGGGCCTTGTGTCAGTGGACCATGGACAGTGGTCATTTAGGATTAACAGAACCATGCAGAGAGAACCATATCATGTGAGTATTATTATAAGAATAATAACTATTATTACAAATTACATTAACAGACCTTTGTGAAGTTGTCAGCCTTTTCATCACTTTCTTGCCAGGTCTTCAACATTTTCTCAGAAGCTTTAAAATTATTATGTAAATCACAATTAGACTACAGTCCAATAATGAGTGAAATGTGAAAATACTGACATATCCCATTTTGTTGCTGTCTTGTGTACAGCTCTAGGTCGTGTTGGATGCTGGTCTTAAAGAAAGCCAGTTTTGCTCTGAGCTGCTGAGACCTTGAGAAGAGCAGGTTCTTGTACCGCGTAAGGTTTGTATTATAACGAAGTAGACTTAACCTAAACACAAAACAGGTTTAATTATCTCTTATGAAATATTTTAAAGATAATAATAGACATAAATATATATTTACATGGCTGCTCTCTGTCCCTGATACAGGCGTAGGTAGTCCTCTTTGAGGCCACATATATAGCTGACAGCTTCTCCCCAAACTTTTCTCAGTGCTGCCAGAGGAAGCTGTGTCTTGGTCTCCCTCACTGTGCAGAAACAAGCAATTTGAGGGAGCAATCGTCTCTAATAAAACATCACAATTGTAGGTTTCCGGGTATAAAAGTATAATGACAATAAAACAAAAACTGTCAAAAATAGCTGATAAAAGACTCAAACAAGACATTTAATGGCACTACTAAAATATGCAAAATATATTATCTATTTATTGTTACTGGACAATAAAAACATATTGTTATTGTCTATGTATGTCTATTACTTACCAATAAAGTTAACACTATCTGGCAGAGTTCTAGCAGTCAGAGGTCCAGAGTACTTGGTCAGGCTCTTGTCGAAAAGAAAGACTATACACTTGTCCCAGCCATGCTAAAAATAAGAAAATATAACATATTTATTTTTTCCAAATTCATGCAGGCCTAGTGACATACCAAATCCTCTGGCAGACACTGAGCCGGTGGTCTGCGGGGGTCCAGTGAAATCCCTGTCTCCAGCAGAAGCTCCTGGTTAAGAGGGGATATGTGAGCCTGAGTCTGGGCCTCCAGTCGAAGCTCCTGGTTCAGAGGAGGGACATGAGCCTGAGTCTGGGCCTCCAGTCGAAGCTCCAGTGAGTTCAAACTTTCCTCGGGACTCAGCACTAAGGAGTGCAGCTGAGCTGACGTCATGTCCAACACATGAATGATCTGACAAACATGCATTATTAGTTGTCCTGCTTCAATCATCAGAGTTCTTAAAAATAACATACTTTCATATCAAGAATGTTCTGTAGGATGCTGAAACAGAATGGCTTGTCAGTATTTTCATCTGTTTCTCCACCACGCACTGCAGGATCCCACAACAGTAAAATTTGAAGTAGAGATTCAATTGGCTCCAACAAAGGCCTATGAACAGATACATAATAGGCAGTCATTACAACTACAGATCAGCACAAAAACTGTAGCGCTTGTTTTACCTGCTGAGATTGTTTGGGTAGGGAAGATGTGCAGAGAATCTGACTTCTCCATTCATGTCTTCTATTGCCATAATATCTTTAGGACCCTTATTTTTCACCTTACTTATCCTTTAAACAAGGAAAGATATATCCGTTAGACCTGATAATTGGAAACAAGAGTAAAATGGAAGATGAAAACTAATAGATTGGTGTTCTTACCATTGCACTGGCTGCATGTGATGCAAGAAAGGACGAAAGCCACAAATGCATTCAAAAATGACTGTCCCAAAGCTCCAGTAGTCCACTGTTAGAGTGTATGGTTTGCTTTCAAAAAGCTCAGGAGCCTAAAGGTAAAATTACAAAAGTTAAAACAGTAACTACAGTTTAAGTTTCAAAATATTTTGTACTCTATATATACTTTGAATGAAGAAAAATAACTCACCAAATACTGCAGAGTTCCCACAAACGATGTGCAAAGACTACCCTGATCAAGATCTTTTGCATAGCCAAGATCAATAATTTTGTGGATAAACTGAAAATAAAATAAAATATAAGCATACATTACTGTGCATGTAATAAACTAATAAGATGTAGCACCTTTCCATTGCTATCTTGTAGAACTATGTTCTCAGGCTTCAAATCTCTGTGGATGATTTTGTTTTCATGAAGATACTGAATACCAGCACCTGCATTTACAAAGTTATTACCTATTAGTTAAACATTTCATTGATGTATAATTAAGTATAATAAAGCTAAATGACATTACCAATGTCTTTCAGAAGGGAAAGAATTTCACTTTCCTTTAATCCACAACAATTTTCTGGTTTATTCAATACCTAAATAAAAAGGAATTTAACACTGTCATGATGCAAAATATAGTATGTATATATATATATATATATATATATATATATGTGTGTGTGTGTGTGTATGTGTGTGTGTGTGTGTGTGTGTGTGCGTGTGTGTGTGTGTGTGTGTGTGTGTATGTGTGTGTGTGTGTGTGTGTGTGTGTGTGTGTGCGTGTGTGTGTGTGTGTGTGTGTGTGTATGTGTGTGTGTGTGTGTGTGTGTGTGTGTGTGTGTGTGTGTGTGTGTGTGTGTGTGTGTGTGTGTGTGTGTGTGTGTGTGTGTGTGTGTGTGTACTAGCCCGTCAAGTGTGGCCTGACCTTGCGCAGGTCTCCTCTGGAGCAGTACTCCATGGCCAGAACAGGCAGATCATTTATAGCGATTGAGAGCAACTCTTTAGGAACTTCTCGTGCCTCAACAACATTAACATGGCTTAATCTGTAATTAGAAATAACAAAGACGTGAATTTACTTAACATGTGTCATCATGTTAAACAAACAGATCTTTTCTAACCTTTTCATAATTTGAATCTCTCTACTCCAGCGGTCCTTGTTCTTGGCGTTCAAATCTAAGCGACAAATCTTCACAGCTATTTTTTCCCCGTTATCCTTTTCAAAGACAAAAAGTAAAAAATAAATACAGCCATACATATAGTCAGACTGGGTTTGAATGTAATGTTTCATTTGCCTTAATGATGACATAACTCACACTGTGCTGATAGAGGTAGACGTGTCCAAATCCGCCCATACCAAGCCTTTCCTTCATCTCCCAGAAACTAGTCTGCGGACTCTGCCTTGGTACTGCTCGGTCCATATTGGGTCTATGGCTGTAATACAACACAAAGCATTTTGAGAGTCAAATAACCTCACCACGAGTTTGTGCATTATGCTACACGCAGTAAAATATTCCATGAACCCGGATAACTGAAGGTACTCACCTGATCCACTCTATGGTTATTAGCAAAGCTCAGGTCCAGAATGTACACGAATATGTTTTTGTCACATTGCTGCTTCGAAGTTAGCTCCCTGTCAGATAAGCTTCCTTAGTAACTTTAACTAGTGACTAGTGACATATTTTAAACATACATATATAAACCGTTAAACCGTTACATTTTGGGATTTAGTGTTAAAAAGACTGATAGTATTTTAAGTTCTTAAGAAGGAGGAGATCAACATGGAACCAAAGCGAAAGTAAAAACTCAGCGGCTGAACTTTTAGTCTGCGCATGCGTAGAATGATCACAATTGTACAACACGAGATGGCGCCAGAAACCAGCAGCAGATCCTGGTATTGGATATTTTAATAGATCTAAGAGTAATCACTGGATTTCAGCGAATGAAGGGATTTTAATTAACTGGCAAGTATTGGCCTACATAATATTATATTTTAGGCCTATGGTGATGCTTACGGTTACCGGGACAACAATACTTTATAGATTTTGACTAGCATAAAGACATGGTCAGGGCGGGCTTAGATCAACTGGTATCCTTTTTGTCTTAATGGATTTTTATAAGAGATTCTTATAGGATTCTTAAAATCAAATTGGACTAGACTAGGGATGTTCTCCTGTCCTGATAACATTTTCAGAGATGCCTGATATCAGATACATGATCCAGTCATAAACTTTATACAATACTAGATCTATAGATTGTACATAGACTATGCATCCAGTATTAAACTTACTGGGTTATTTTATGAAATCATTAAAAAAATAACATGTGCTATAATCTTTATCTGCATAAGTATGTTTATCATCAGCTACTTTAATTAATATAAGCTACAAGGCCCTACTTTACAACTCCCCATTTTATGTGCCATGTAGACTCATAACCTGCATTTATTTTAAAAGTAATGCATTTTCTTAGTGCATTCTTCCCAATTTTTTCACTAATTATAACCTAAGAAAATATTTGGCCATCAGATTTAAACCAGGTCTAAATCAGGGCCAATCATAGTTCAGATGGGGTTTACTAGGTCTGAAGCAGAACTCCACTATTGCTATTGATATTTTACAGTTGATGTCATCAACATTCCCTGGAGGTGTGATGTTAACTGTAAACTCTGCTCTGTCTGAAGCTCTGTTACTCAAGTTAGACTTTAATCTGATCTTTGTTTTAACACAATCCGACCAGAAAGAGTTGTCTTAGTTGGAACTACAACAGATGTTCCCATCAAATAATATTACAGTCACAAGTTAGCTAGTGTTATCCAAATTTTAGTTAGTCACTCTCACGTTTGTGTTGAAAATCAAACTCCTGAGCAGGACCATGAAAGCGCATATTGATCACAGGCTCCTGAAATTTTTTTAAATTTATTTATAACCATTTTGTATTTTTGTTTTGAGTTTTCAGACATCTTAAAGCTTTTTTTGGCAGTGTTTGCTAATGTGTGCATTGTGTCCTAAATATTCCAACATTAGAAATACATGTAGAACTCACCAAGTGTGACGTCACTGCAAAGTATTAGTTGGTTTTGTACAAAAAATAATCCAAAAGAGGACCAAAATATGGATTAAATTTACCCAATTTAACAAATATTTGAACTGCAAAAGAATTTGCATATCACCTGTGGAAGCTTGCGGGAGCCAGTGGACATACCACTTTTAGAAACTATATAATTGAGCAGTGATTTCCAAAGTGGGGTCCACGGTCCTTTGGGGGGGGCTCAGAGGTACTGCAGGGGAACCCCCAAAAGTTGTCCACACAACAACCATGAAAGAAAATTGAGTTTGAAATTAACTTTACATATATGCTTTGCATTTGCTACATTAAAACAGTATTAAGCCCATAGAAATGATATGTACTGTAAACATGTACTTTTGAGAGGAAACATATTGTTTTGAATTGAGTATGCATGTTTATTGGGGGGCTCTGTACAATCTTCAGATAAATAGGGTGGGTGCAGCACTACAGACTAGTCTACAGCCAATAAGCAATATTTTGATCTGTCTTAAAGGCTTGATACCAGAGAGGGTAACTATAATCCAAGTGTACATGTATCATATTTCCTTAACTGACTTCAGACCAGTTGCTTTGATGTCACATGTCATGAATGTGTTCTGGCTCAGGTCAGACCTCTGGTGGCACCATCCCTGGATCCTCTACAGTTTGCCCATCAGTACGATTTAGACATGGAAGATGCAATAATCTATCTTCTGCAGTGGGCTCACTTAAGGGCTCTATGAGGATATTGTTTTTCGATTTCTCCAGTGCCTTTAATACAATCCAGCCCTTTCTGATGAGCGAGAAGCTGCTCACGCTGGCTGTCTTCGTTTCTGTTCACTCTGTACACCTCTGATTTCCAGTACAACTCTGGGTCCTGCCACCTGCAGAAATTCTCTGATGACTCTGCAGTGGTAGGGTGTATCAGAGATGGACGGAAGCTGGAGTACAGGATACTGATTGCAAACTTTGTGGAGTAGTCCCAGGCCAACCATCTGCTTCTGAACATTGACAAGACCAAGGAACAGGTGATTGACTTCAAAAGGAAGAGGACACCAGTGGAGCCCATCACCGTCCAGGGCCACGAGGTGGAAATAGTGGACTGCTACAAGTACCTTGGCGTCCAGGTGAACAACAGGCTGGACTGGTGGGAAAACAGTAATTCTGTGTACAAGAAAGGCATGAGTAGACTCTACTTCCTGAGAAAGCTCAGGTCTTTCAATGTGTGCAGCAAACTGTTTAAAGGGCGAAATGTGTCATTGTGCTATTTGGAGACATGATGGATACAACACTGAACATGGACCAGAGAAAGGGAAGAAGAGAACTGTGTCAAGAGACTAGAAAGAAAATGATAGACAAACAGGTTAAAGATAAAGACAATTAGACCATCTCCATGCAGCTTGATGTTCCTGTGATTACAGTTACACATCTTCTTCAGAAGTTTAAGGTCCACAGGACTGTAGCCAACCTCCCTGGACGTGGCTGCAAGAGGAAAATTGATGATAAATTGAAGAGATGTATCATATGAATGGAACCAAAGAGTCCAAACAAATTAAATGTGAACTTGAAGGGCGAGGTTCATCAGTGTCAGATCACACCATCAATCACTGTTTGAGCCAAAGTGGACTTCATGTGAGGACACCACTGCTGAGAGAAAATCATAAAAAATGAGACCTGAATTTGTCACAATGCATATTGACAAGCCACAAAGCTTCTGGGAGAATGTTCTTTGGATAGATAAGGCAAAACTAGCACTAGCACTTTGGCAAAGCACATCAGTTCTATGTTCACAGGCACAAAAATGAAGCAGACCAAGAAAAGAACACTGTCCCTACTGTGAAGCATGAAGAAGGCTTGGTTTTGTTCTGGGGCTGTTTTGCTGCATCTGGCAAAGGGTGTCTTTAATCTGTGCAGAGTTCAACGAAATCTCAAAACTATCAATGTATTTTGGAAAGAAATGTGTTGCCTAGTGTCAGAGAGCTTGGTCTCAGTCGTAGGTCATGGGTCTTCCAACAGGATAATGACCCAAAACACACAGCGAAAAACACACAAGAAAGGATAAGAACAGAATACCGGACTGTTCTGGAGTGTTCTTCTGTGAGTCCAGATCTCAATTCTGCTGAACAGCTGTGAAAGGAGCTAAAACATGCATCTGGAGAAGGAACCCTTCAAACCTGTGACAACTAGAATAGTTTGCTGACATGGAGTGGGTCAAAATACCTGTTGACCAGAGCAGAAATCTCACTGATAGTTACAGAAATCGTTTGTTTGCAAAGTTTTCCTCAAAAGGTTGTGCAGCAAAAGTTAAAAGAAGTTAAGGGAACCATCACTTTTGTCCAGGCCAGTTTCATTATTTTGTTTTTTCTAATAATTCTGTTGAACCGCAGGTGAAAAACCATGTTAAAATTTCAGTGAATTTTTATTTATTATTGCTTTTCTCCAACAATTCTACCAACCATTTTGTCCATGACTGTATCTAGATGACTGTTCCTCTCCTCAAACTGCTCTCACACAGGTGACACAGCTGAACTTACCTGACCAATCCTCCTCTTATGATGCTTTGACTGAGACACAAAGGCAACTGAGAAGCGCTGTGTAAATGTTGCTGCAGCTAAACTTGAATTTCCCTCAGGATCAGTCTCTCTCTAAAAGCATTACATTTGATTCCAACAGGCAATAAATCATAGTTTTGAAGAGGAAAAAATGAACATTCACATTGCAATTTTAATATTTATATTTCCTCTTCGTGTGTAATGTTATTTTCTGTACATCTCTTTCTGCATAAAAATCAAGTGACCTCAATATGCTATGTGACTGGCATGTGAATTAACAATGTGAAAACAAACACTAAAGCATAGTGAGTTGCATAGCAATAAGTACTAAATAAAAGGTCAATGCACATTTAAAAAAAAAAAAAAACTAACATTTTTAATAATGCAAGCGTGAATTGTAATGGTTGGAGTTGCTTTAGTGCTGCTGACACCTAGGTGCCCTCCTTTACTACAGCCGCTCTTTTTGGGCAGTTGGATCGCTGTGCCGTTTTGACCTTTTGGGTGGGTGGATCACTGTGCTCTTTGAACAAAAACCTCAGGAGATGCACCTCCTTTTGACCTGAGAAGAGTTTAGAAAACAGCTCCTGCACCTTCCTGGACAGTTTCTCTTTTTTTTTTTTTGTTGGTTAGATCTCCACAAGCATCAATACAAGTGGTTTGTGTTCCCTTTGTAGTATAGATATAGGTACCTGAAGTTTTTCTTTCACCTTCTCATGGACTTTACTGGTGTTGGCTAGCTCTTGTTTGAGCTGGACATTGTCTCTCACTGTACTGTTATAAAGATATCTTACCTCCTTGTATGCACTAACTTGGTTTTCCAGCTTTCTCTTTCTTCTGGAGAGTAGCTTTGAGCTCTTTCAACTCCATAACTTTTCTGTTAGTTTTTCCCATTACTTTTTGGAGTTAGCAAGCCCTTGTTTTAGTTGCACATTTTCTTGTACTGTAGAATTATACAGGTACCAGTGCTTTAACTTGGTCTTGTAGTTGCTTGTCTTTCTTCTGAAGAAAATCAGTGAGTTTTTGCGACTCCAAGTCCTTTTGCTTGTGGTCCAAAGAATTGCTTATTTGGGTCTGATCTCCAAGCTTGGCTCTTGTCCGCTCCAACTCTTCTCACAGCACCCTGTCCAGAGTGCTGTCCTCCAGGGTGGAAGCTCCTGGACCAGACTTTTTTCTTCAGGATTTGAGGAGTCCTGGATTTTGGGAGACACCAGTTGGGTTTCCCCTGGCTCCTAAGCCCCCTGTTGGTGTGGGGCAGATCAGAGCCTCCTGGTTGAAGTCCTCATCATAGAGGTGGGTGTCATCCTCTGATGTATAGAGGTCACAGGGCTTTGTTAAAAAAAGTAGTTGAGCTATCCATGTATGTGTATTCACCAATGTTATGAGCTAAACCTGGTCTCTTCAGAAGAGAACATAGGCACAATTAATATCATCTCCATGGTGATCAAGAAATCTGTCCATGAGTTTAACAGAATGATGAAAAATTTGCACTGTTACAAACTATTAAACTATTAATAACACAGTACTATTATGTTACTGATTTATTTCAAATCAATTTCACATAAAAAGAAAAAACTAAAAATGCATCACTATCCATTTGTTAGATTAAGGGTCAACATTTATGATAATCTAAATATTTAATATAGAGCCGATATATCAAAATGTTTTCATTTGGAATCGGTCACTCAGTGTGTTTATTCATGTCAGGAAATTTAACAAAGCGTGACTAAGCCTCTGTGAGTCATTGACAGACATTGTCATAATATGTTGGCGCTATGCCTTATCCTGATTAGCATACATATAGCTAATGTTTCTATTTATTCTATTTGCCATCTGTCAGTTCCTCATACAATCATTGGTTCTAAAATAACTACTACACCTTTGGCTCTTTCTCTCCTCAAACTGTTCTGACACAGGATCTGCTGACCCTACCTGACCAGTTCTGCTGACACCTTTGACTGAGACACAAAGGTGAGAAAAGTGCAGTGTGTATGTTAGTTTAATATTTCCATATTTTTACAAGCACATAATATTTAGAACTTAGGGAGAATGTTACCCTCTAGACTATTGTTAATTAAGTTTTATTTTACCAGGACATCAAATGAAGAAACCCTTGTATGGTGACTCTTACCGGATATGGCCTCTTCCTTGAAAATGGGAAGTGAGTAACTTTGTAGGTGTCTGTTTATGTTTCCCTGTTGACAGTTCAACAATGGTGCTTACATGCGATGAGGCGAGTCAAGGAAACAGAATGTGTGTTTTACTTCACAATGAGAAACCGTTTATTCATGAAATCTTGAGAATTAAGTACCGGTAGTAAACCATATTTATCATAAAACCAATTGTCCATTCAAATTAAAAAGAGATTTAACCATTGGTCACTGTTGTGGGGCTGAGAATCTGGATAGCCTAATTGAATATTGCATACTTTAACATACATAATGTATTTGAACGGTATTTCAATAATAACGGTAATTTTGTTATCATTTTTAAACCAGATACAGATTTCCTAATATCACTTTGCACCTGGGAGGCTGTGATTTTTGTATATTGTGATATCTAGCTATAGGTGGCACTGTAGCCAAAAACAAATTGTCTTTCTGGAGAAATAAACTTCTCTTGTCTTAACAAATGTAAAATTTTCACACAGCCTAAAAGGTTTTATTTCATACAGAGCCAGTACATCAAAGTATTTTTATTTGGGGTTGGTCACTCAGTATGTTTAGTCAGTCAGGAAATTTAACAAAGTGTGATTAAGCCTCTGTGAGTAACTGACAGCCATTGTCATAATAAAATATAGTACAGTAAAGTACCACTGATTGTTGGCGCTATACTTCATCCGGCGTGAGTAACAGTATCCTGAGTTACTTGAAAAAATGGAAACATACCTCAAGCAGAATCCTTGTTGAAGTGGAGAATGAACATTAGAATGTAGTAACGTTCTGACTTTATTTTTATTTCATTAGTAGAAAATTTATGTGAAACGTAACCAGACAGTTTCCCCTGACTAGAAAGTTGTATTACAGTACCAGTGGTGGCAGATTAGATTGTTCGCTTATAATAGATAGGTTTGGAGTTTGATGCTAGCTCATACCAGTGGGCTACAAATACTGTCATTGTGTCCTTGAGCAAGATACTTCACCCACCTTGTATTATGTGGTTTAAGAGTGATTTGTGTATACAACATAATGGCATGAAGCACTTCACTTTTTAAAATAGACACATCAACAAGTGGTCAGATGGGCTTGAGGGAACAAACCAATGGGCTAAACCACAGCTATTTGGTTGTTTCCAAAGTTAGGACATTTCTTTTGAAATGGTTGTTCATAATAAAACACCTGTGCGCCACTCTTGACGTCTACCTTGCTGTAGAACAGCCCTCGAGGCCAGAAATCCCCAAAGTTAAGCTTTCAAGAGGAAACGTGAGTAACTGTAGCCACTTAAAAAATGAAGCAATACTTTTTTTTGGTAAGAAATTCCCCTGAAAATTAAAGTCTGCTGTTACATCAGCAAAGATTACAAGACATGTTCTTGCTCTAAATGGTTTTTAAATGCTTTAAATGACTATGCATGACTTATGTCATATATATATATATATATATATATATGCAGTAGGCAGCACAGTGCAAATGATGTTGTCACTTTTTAAATGCTATTATTACACCTATATTACAACTGTGTTGAGAGAGAGATTTTTTGTTCTTTTTTTTTACAATCAGGAGCTAAAATGTACAATTCCTTCTTTGCTACAAACATTTTATAGAGATTTCAAGTGGGATAGAATCAAACTGGATACAATACTTAAAGCTAGAGGCAGACTAATTTATCGGTCGGCCGACATATCGGGCCAGTATTTGCACTTTTTTGCATATCGGTCTTAAATCTTCAGCAGAGGCAGATAATTTTAGTCCAACCAGATATATTTATTTATATTTAAATCAGCTGGTGTGGCAACCAGCTCCATGAAGTATATCCTTAAAGCTTTATTTGGTAAACCTTTTGGTAAAAACAAGGTTCATGTGCTGTGCTTTGCAAGGTTTGTGCTGAATTCAAATACATAAATTTAATCAAGAATACATTTAATCTAAATCAACCTAAAATTCTAATCAATCAGCATCAGACATAAATAAAAAATCATATTAGTCGATCTTTACTAAAAGTAATATTAAAACATTTCATTTTCAGTAAATCCCCATCTGTGTATAGTGCAAGACTGTGTGATTTGAAATATCGATTAAATAAGCCATTGCCCCTAAAATGATCATAACTTCACTATAGCATTTACTCCCACGATAAAACAACAGGTACTTGACCAAGTTTGGCCATGTTCCAAAGAGGAGGAGGTTTAGTGGTCACTGCTGAGTGCTGGTACAGGAAATGACAACATTTTGTCTTTAGGGCTGCACATGTGTTCATATTGTACGAATAATCTCCTCCCCCAGGCTCTGTAGGACTGTTTAAAAGGCAACATTGGCAGACTTCAACACAAACACTTCAACTGGACCCAACGTTGAGTACGACTTACAGGAACACCTTCAATAAAATCGCAGAGGAATCAAAGAACTATCTCTTGTTCAGACCAGGAGATTGCATATTTAAAGGTATTTCACAAAAATATTTTATAACTATGCTATAATGTTTATTTTTGTTGAATATTATTTTAAAGGTCACATTTAATTTTGCATGGTATAGTAGTAAACGTATACATGTCTTACAAAGCATAACTTTAGTTTGGCTATATGCATGTATTATTGTTATTATCACTATTGTCAATGCAGATAAGTAGTTGGTGCGTCATGTTCTTCAGTGATTTTCAACAAACACTGTAATCTGTTAAAACATTTAGTTGCTAACACTGTGTCTAACACTGTGTCACAGTAAGATTCATTGTAAAACTATTTATCATTCAGAAGTAGTGTTTGATTCTTATTTGCATTTTCCATATAAGGTTTTACAGAAAGTCTTCCTTATTAATTACTTTTGTTCCTCTTACATCTTCAGACAAAAATATCTGCAATAAGAAGAAGTGAAACCACAAGTGAGGATGAATCTATTAGTCATCGTCGCCGTCATTATGTCATTCAGTATTGAGATGGTAAATACACAATATAGATAAAGAGAAGTACACTGATTCACCTTTATGTACAATTGTGAACTTATTGCCTTTTTCTACTCATCTTAGGCAATGTCTACAAAGTGGTCATTTAATCGACAAAGCAGCATTTCTAAAGGTAAGCCTGATATCTAAATTTGAAAATGATTTGTTTGTTAATTAATCATAGATATATTCATATAATAACTATGACTTTCAGGTGATTGTGTATCTGGAGATGGCAGTAGTTACAGAGGAACAGTGTCTCATTCTGAAAGTGGACGTCCATGCCTGAACTGGGGTGGATACAGTTTTTGGGGAGTTTTTGATAGCACTCGCAATCATAATTACTGCAGGTAAATTCAATAAGCATATCACATTCATTGCATACTGAATGTGATTTTTTTTTTAAGCTTTTTGCAATCATATGTTTAGGAACCCAAATGGCAAACTGAAGCCATGGTGCAGAGTTCAAGGGGAAACTGGTATAGTCAGGGAATACTGCAAAATTCCACAATGTAAGTTACTATCTGTCCAGTAACGTGTGCATTTATAATGATATATATTTATTGTTTTTAATTAAAATACAAATTTTTTCAGGTTCTACCTCAACAGTCAAACCTCGTACAGTTGAACCTCAAGATACAGGTATTTGTTTAGTCTTAATACATGCATGATTGTCTGATTTTTTCATGGACATGGACATGGAACCCAACACAAAATATACTCAACACTTCTGATATCTACATCTACTCACTCATTGTATGGTCTTTTGTCTTTCAACAGAACTCACTTGTGGTCAGACATCTGAACGTAAGCTGTATAGAGTAGTGGGTGGATCTTTCACACGTATAGAGTCACAGCCCTGGGTGGCAGCCATCTTTACTCGTCGTGGAACCTTTCTTTGTGGCGCCTCACTCATCACGCCTTGTTGGGTTGTCACAGCTGCACATTGCTTTGATGGGTAATTTTCAGTTTCTCTTTTGATGCTGTGAAAAATGTGGCTTAAACAATACATAAATGTTGATAAGCTTGTGTTTTTTTTAAGGTTGGACCAAAATGTGAATCAATTTACTGTTTATTTGGGCAAGAGTGCAATTAATGAAACCAATGTTTCCAAGGACCAAAAGTTTATGGTGGAAAAACTGGTTATACATCGCAAATACAATGCATCCAACTACGATAATGATATAGGTAAGACAGGTGCCATGTGTAACAATGTACAAATGAATATTTTTTGCCGTTCATTCAAAGATTTATTAAATCCAGAACTATATTACTCCTACTAAAGTTACTTGAAAGCATTACTATTTATTTTTTATATATTATTTTTCTTTTTTTTGTAGATTTGTCATATTTATCATCATATTATTATGTTTCAGCGCTTCTAAAGATCAAAAACCAAAATGGAGGATGTGCTGTTAAATCTGCTACCACTCGTACTGTGTGCCTCCCACCATTTCGAACTCAGTTACCTGTTGGATTTCAATGCACTATTGCAGGATATGGCAAGGAAGACCAATGTAAGATTTTCAGATCATTTAATTAACTTACTAATTACTTAAAATATACTAATAATACAATGTCTTCAGATGCTTGGGCTTATTCAAATGTCCTTAAAGAGGGTCATGTAAACCTGCTCTCCCAGTCAGAATGCAGGAGAAAAGACTATTATGGAGGCAGCCTCACTGGGAACATGTTTTGTGCGGCACACCCTAGTTGGAGTATTGATTCCTGCAAAGTAAGTCAATTAATCCAGCAAGACCAGTTCATAAAAACCTTAACGTCTATGGATATGTTTTGAATTAATTACATACAATTTACCATACTTGTAACTAAAACTGTAACTCTTTTGACAGGGGGACTCAGGTGGTCCTTTGCTCTGCAAAGTCGCAGGGCGGATGTTCCTGTTTGGCGTGGTCAGTTGGGGAGATGGATGTGCCAACAGAAACAAACCAGGAGTATACACCAAAGTCACCAACTATAATAGATGGATTGCAAAAAACACAGGCCTACCCAAATACACAGCAGGGATAATGTATCCAACAAAATGAGGGTTTGGAGAATATTATGATTCTTAAAGGCAGCTTAACAATAACGTTATTTACATAGGACAATGTATCACAGGCTTAACTGCATTTTGCACTCCAGATCCTTTTTTTTTTGGTACGACTTTCATTTCTTTTCAGTTTTCAGTGAGAATGAGAATGTAATTTGTATATTAATTTTAAATTTAATTTATTTATTACTTTTGTTTTTGTAAAAGGCTGGTCCTACTGCACATATTATAAATTATTTGCATATTATAAATTATTAACTGTCTCTTATGTTATTCATTAAATTCCTCCTAAAACATTATTACACTGCCTGAATTATGATATATTATTTTTACGAATGTTATTTTAATGCTCCATTGTTTGGAAGTAACATTTTAATGTAGTTTCACCAGGACATTGCTCAATAATTAACACTAGGAGGAGCTGCTGAGTTGAAATCCATAGTGAACAGTTTAATAATCTTCTTAATATTAGACCCTACCCATAAAGTCCATCTAATCACTCTACATTTAAACTCCTCAGAATGTAGGAAGTAGTAACAGCTGGTTATTACATCTACCACTCACTTAATTTAACACATCTACAATGTTATGGGACAGCAGATAGTATATTTATATTTACATGAAATCACGTTAATTAACGTGCACTATTCGTTTTAAATAAACAAATAATTGGTAGCACTAAGAGGATTGTTAGAACACCACCACCTCTACTTTATGGAGCCAGTTGTGAAAGCAATAATCAGAAGCAATTTTGCCTAAATATTCACTCATTTTCTCTGTATATTATTATTATTATTATTATTATTATTATTATTATTATTATTATTCATTTCATACAGTATACATGCATCTAAAATGGTTTGCAATGGAATTAAGGGAAGAGTTTAAAGTGCTTCTCTTGATACACAAGGCCGTCAGTGACCTTACCCCAGTCTAGAGGCCACTGCACTCCTGTGACTACAACTTTCTTTCTAGGTCCGGATAAAAGAAGTGTGGCGATCGGGCTGCTTTCAGTATACGCTCCCAGGCTCTGGAACAGCCTTCCCCCTGAACTGCACACACCTCATTGACACAGTTCTTAATGAATATCATCTTCATTAATGTTGTATTGCATGCTTATTTGTTGCCTCTGCGAAGCACCTTGTGTACCTTTTGGCTACTGGAAAGTGCTATACAAATACATTTTGATTACTTGATTTTGATTTACTTGATTCATAACACATGTGACAATTAATATTTACTGCATATCGCTGTTCTCTTTTTTAATATATCATATGTAAACTATTTTTTGCTGACTGTGAGAAGCTGATTATTACTGAAAGCATTCTTTACAAAAGCTCCAAGCCACCCCCCAGATGGTTTATTTCATAGTTTGTTTTGACAAGTGCACATATACAGATGCAGTGCTACTTGGACCAATCACACTGTCCTATTGGCCTTCAATTACTCATTGCAGGTTTACTTTACTGCTTTGGAGAGTCATAGCCTTATATGGGTTTGAAAAGCACCAGGATGAAACTCACTCCTCTTTAAGGACAATTCTTAGGGACGAACATGGTTCAACTGTGAGTTAGGTAGACGGGATTGTGCATACCCAAAGGGCAGCGCAAGATGCCACGTAAGGAAAAATCACAGATTAGAGTTAACAATGCGTAAGATATTTTTTTCTGCTAATATAATCTTTGTGATATATTGTTATAAAATGCATATTCTCATAGACATGATCAAATGTGTTGCTTTGTTCAATAGTTTGATGATTTATGTCTTCGTGACTCCATATCTCCGGTCTTTATTTAGATGTGTACAGGAGACATGGACCCCTACCTTTTAATGACGCCAGATCCAATGCCAAACATTGGAAAACTCAGGTTATACCTGTAGGACCAGTGCAAATCACCGCTGTGTCATCTAAGGTTTCACACAAGAAACTGACTTTTACGAGACTGAAACACATAAGTTAAACGAATAATAAATAAAGCCCTTATAGCATCGTCTTTCTGATTCTGAGTATTCTGTTTTCTAACAAGGCATTGCTTCCTTCCTGTATTTTCAAATGCCTATATTTTACTGAATGCCGTGGACGTTTTGAAATGAGCATTGTCCCTGCCATATTTTATGTATTATCTTTAAGTCACTCAAACACTTTCCCTTTTCAGGGGTCTCTGGCATGCATGACGTCACGTGGGGAAGCGCTCTTACTTGCCGGATTAGCGCGTGCTTGCGCGTGTGCCGTGCGTGAGTACGATGAGCAGAGCGTCAATGCGCACCAGCAGCGAGCTGCCTGGTAGCGGTGTTCCTCTGATGTGATTGGGCGGAGGGCGGTGATTCCTTTCTGTCACGATTCTAGTGTCGCTCCCAGCGGAGGACACGAACCGTCCTAGTCCAGAGCTCCAGCGAGGACACACCGCGCGCATGAGGGCGTAGGGACTGTATTGCCAACCCGGGATTTGCCCTCGTGTGAAGGAGAGGAGGTTGGAGGAGAGGAGGGATCTTTTCATCTAAAGGGGCTGCGGTAAAAAAGTCATCCAAGATGCCGGTGTTTCATACCAAGACAATTGAGAGTATCCTGGAGCCGGTGGCCCAGCAGATCTCCCACCTAGTCATTATGCACGAGGAAGGCGAGGTGGATGGGAAAGCCATCCCGGATCTGACTGTGCCAGTGGCTGCAGTGCAGGCAGCAGTCAGCAACCTTGTGCGGGTGAGTTTAGAGCGCCAAATCACTTCAAAATACATAGTCTTGCACTCCAATACCCTAAGCATATTAATACACACATAATCACAGTAATAGGCTGTCATATGGGCTGCGCATGAAACAATGTACGTAATTGTTGTCCTACAGCAAAGAAACTCAGGTCCATGTAGGTCTATAAATGTCATTAAAACACATGTGAAAGTGGACAGCTGGAGCTCCTGCTCTTCATAATCTGCAGCCTTCAAGCCAAAATGTCAAACTTAGCTTGTCCTGGTCTTATCAGATGGCCCCTAAAGTCAGTGAGGTTTGTGGAGGGAAAGGAATGAGTGTTGCTTGAAATAAGATGTATGATTCTTATGATTATATCGATGGCATATTATTAAGTATTCTTTGATACATTAACTAGTTTACTTTGTGAAGTTTTTTTTCTTGGTGTGCATTCACGTTTGTGCACAAAATTTAGTGTGCTTGTCAAAGTGTTATTTCACAGACGTAATATGCTTGATGTCATTCTAGTCTCTTCTTCCTGAACCTCCTTTTTGCTCCTGTGTTGACAATGATCCAGGAGATTATGGATAAGCAGAGCTGGCAGAATCGTGTCCCTGACTCTCTTTAACTTAACTATTTTTGAAACCAGAAAAAACATGTATTTAAATACTTTGAAAATGCACATGGTGTTGTAGGCTTAAGCAGAACAGTTTTAAAAACTTTTGAAATTATTTTGTTTTTATGCCTCTAAATGTTATTGAGACTGTCAGTTGCATTTAGTCCCATAGCCATGAGTAGTGTTTGCATGTGTTGGTCTAAGCAGAAGCCTGTGTCAGCAAGGTCATCTATAGTGTAAATATTTTCACCTGCCAATATACAAATTAACCAGCAGCAAGCTAGTGTAATTGTAGTGTGTAATTGACTCCTAAATCATGATCACTAGTTGGTGATGCATTGAGTAGATTTGTCCAGACATAGAGCAGACGGAGGCTAATCGGAGCTGCAAGCCTGTTCCACGTGATGGAGATGAGAAACTACGGGTGACATAATGGACAAGGACACATCGACAGAGGGATGGCATATTTTATTTTATTTTTAATTTACATTATCAAAATAAGTTGATAGACAGCCATCTCTGTACACTATTTTATTTATGCCTTTACAAAGAGGTATCTAACATTATCTGTATCTGCTGCTTCTGAAAGTTCAGACTTCACAGTCACTGGTTGAATCAGCTTGTCACTTAGAGCATGATGGAGTCACTTGACCAAAAGGATGAGTGGGTGAACATGTCTGTATTTGGACATAGAGTTGCTTTACAACAATATCACAAAATAACATAGCAAATATATTGTATTAAATAATTTCCCTTGTTGATCAATAAAATTTGTCTAAATCTAAGAATCTGAGGCATGTTTTCTTGTTTAAAGACAGTTTTGAAGTGACAAAGAAGAACAAGAAGGTGCTGATAGAAATGGCAAAGTGGCTGGAGGACCGAGCTTGTCAGACCAGTAGGGACTGAATGTTTGGTCAACTGATTTAAATGGATATGAATGACACCTAACACCCACATTCACACATTTGTGAGGACACAGGCTTGATTTTAGAAAGCTGATTCATTTCCACACTTGTGTTTAAACTCAAATATAACCCACTATACAGACCAACATGAGCGCACCAATGCAAAGTGATACAATTACATAGTTAACCCCATCCCGGGTGGGCTCTGTGGCAGGCTAGGGGGGTATGTAAAATCTAGGTCACCAAAACACTTAGACACGCACAAGATGGTGTCAGTCTCACTGTGGCAGAGGTAGTATGTGGGGTGATACCAACTAATGAGCTCCAAAGATGCTACTGCTGCAAGTGTAGGGAAAATAGCAAATTTGTGGAAAGATTCTTATAAAGCAGTTTGTCTCGTATATCTTCATAGGTGCTTAGGGTGTCTGGGGAGAGGGAGAGGAGGGAATAAATAGATTTATCGTTGAGTGAAGTAACCACACACTTGCAGTGAAAGTAGGGGAGAGAGAAATGAGAAATGAGTCAGTCTTAAGAGTCTTAAAAGGTAGCAGGAGCATGCAGCCCCCCAAAGAGTGTCAAACTATGTGCCAAGTGTCTGGTCCACACCGGCTCTCCTCTGCCCCGGCACACACTGTTACCAACTGCCCTTTCCTTGTAAATATAAGGGTCTACCGTATATTTGATGCCAGGTTCATGTTCATCTTGGCTGACTGCATTTCCCTTCTGTTCCCTGCTCTGCCTCAAATCTATTCTTAGATATCAACATTGGATGCCAGCAACATTTCCTAAAAGACACATGCTCACTTTATACTGTATTTTAGCTATAAAATATTTAAACCTCAGAATCACATTTTGTCTTTGTGCCAGTTTTAAGATAGTTTAAGGAGTGCTGACTTAGACTGAGCATGCATAGTAATTTGCCTTGAATTACATAATACCCGAACAGCATAGTTAATCACTCATTAATCACTCACTATAGCGTAATATATTTAGTGTAATGCTTCAGAATGGCTTTTAAGTGCATACTTATTAACTAATACATCATTTGGTGTTTATAATGAGAATTTTCAAATAAGTAATTAAACATATGTTAACATGATGCCACTAGTCATTAAAGGTGCTGGATTAAATCTGGTTTTTGGACATCCATTAACCATATGTTCATGGTTAGCAGACTGGATCTGAGTGGCAGCTGTCACTCCTCTCTTCCCCCTTTACCACATACAGCTTCAGTCATTGCATCCACCAGACCACTTTAACTCATATTAATTATAGATGAGCCTTTACTGTTTACGGGAAGTACTGGTGCAACCTGAACATTTTCTTGATAAGTATCAACCAGATGGAATCATTCAGCTTGTAAAACTACATTCTTAGCATTTTTAGCTTGTTTTAGTTGTGTCAGAAGTTCACAGTCCATAAGTCTTTGACCAGTCCACACTCCAGTATAGCCAGTATACACTTTGGGTCAGTTCCATGCCCCAGTATAGGGACTGTTGCATCAGAAATGACTTGAAATACAGTCAAATCTGCAATAATTCACTGCCCAGTAGAAGACAGATGATTTGCTATGGCGACACTTCTTAAGGAAAAAAAAAAGTATTATGGTAACATAAAGGTGGCTACTATACCAATAAAGATAATTTTAAAATTGTTGGTTGATATACAAAATTAGAACATTAGGTATATTGTCTATGATTTAATAAAAATACACTATTTAGACTAAAAAGGTACAATATGTGCTCATTAATCAGAATAAAACAAGCTTACTGTGTAGTCATCCAAACAAGGGTATAGGGTTATATTTCTGTTTCTAGTAGTTTGCATCCCGTTAACTTTTTGTTCAATACTTGAACCACAACCACCATATGTAATGGTCTATTTTTGCACATTTATGACTGATTGCAAAAAATCGTGTTACTGGGATTAACACATGTTTTGGTCAGTATTGCACACCACTACATGCAGATAGATTTTGAAATATTTGTTGTGATGCAGCTGCTTTATTTGGTTTGTAATAAAAGGAAGGTGCTGTACCTGGGAAATGGTGTTGTTTGAAAGCCTGAGTCTCTGGAGCCAGTAAGTCTATTAGCAGACTTTCATTGACACAGCACCAAGAGACTGACACTTTCCTCTCACTGTAATTGCATCTGTAGTATAGTGGCTGTGTTGGCAACAGCTGAAGGCTGGTGCTTCTTTTATTTTTATGTCATATGCATTTGTATTAGAAATCACTCGTTTATTACCATGCCAGTGTTGTCATTGGTTGAGGCTGTTTCCTGCAACTGTATACATTGTCTTTAAAACTTTCAGGCCATTTTTCTGCGTGTTGCTTTGGGCATTTACCCAAATGTAAACATTGGAGAAACAGTCTGAAAATTAGAGGAAAAAGAACTGTAGGGTGTGCAATTATTCAAATTTTAAATACAGTTTTACTGAAAGAAAAAAAAAAGTTCACTCACTGTCTTCAGTGTGCACAAATGTGTTTCCTTGAGTGGACAATTTGCTTAGGGATTGTACCATTCATCTTCTAGAGTATGTTTACAACAATCTATTTCTGTGAGATATGTCATCTACTTTCATTTCATCTGCTTGTTCTCTTGATTTTAGGCACACATGCACCACCTTCTCTCTAAGCAAATAATGGTTTGAAGTATTGGGATTTCCATTTTATTTAAATAATCATTATTATTATTTTTTCCATAATCAAGCAGCCATAGTAGCTCAGTGGAAAAGGTTCATGTTGCATTTAAAACCCACTAAACAACACTGATAGAAAAATCAATGCACTCGGTGGTCACTGTCAAGTTCAGTTACTTCAGCAGAATGAGACACATTTACCACAAACAAAACCACATTGTTCTTATTATATTCAAAGATTTTGACTCCTTAATATGTTAGAAATTCTAAATGTGATAAAAAAAAAAAAAAAAACACCATTCACTACATAGGTTGTAGTAAAATTTGTGAATTCACACCTCTGCACTGTTCGTCACTCTCTTGCCACTATGGGCTGATGTGATACTTCTGCAGTCCATAGTTAAGCATGTATTGTGTTACATGAGTGAATGAATGTGAGTGGTTTGTGATCCTTGCCAGCCCTTAACTAACTCTGCCTTGTCCAGTAAATAGAATACACCTAATCATGACCAGAGCTGACAAATATTGAAAGTTTTCTTGTTTACTCTATTGTGTTACAGGTCGGGAAGGAGACTGTCCAGACCACGGAAGACCAGGTGATGAAGAGAGACATGCCTCCTGCATTCATCAAGTGAGTCCTCTCCACAAACTAAATTACAGTGTCTACTGTACTACTCCTCTGTCATTTAACTGTCTCTTTTTACACTAAAACACTCTGAGACACAACAACATGGAGCCACTGACTACATGATGGAAACTATTCCCTATCTCGCACAGCAGCAAGTTGTTAAGAAAAGCATTTAGTCATTTAATGGTAGGAAAAGTGGCTATGTTCCCAAATGAAACAAAGAGTCATTTCTGAGGCAGGAAAGACCAGTGTCACAGAGAGGTCCAGAGTGTCCTCACCACTGAGAGGGGCTTGTTGTCCAGATGGTTGTGTGGAGCTGACATCCAGTTTGAATGTTGACTTCAGTATGTCAAGAACAAACCCAGTCATTTCATAAATGTGCTCAACTTATTGTTATTACGACAGCGACATAGAAAACATGGTTACCAATTTCACTGCACATCTGAAATTTTGACTTAATTGTGTTTCCCTATTGGCTAATATAGATGTTGGGTAGCTGTATAACCTGTGAAATGTTTTATGTGTTTTGATCTTGAGCCTGATCTCCAATCCTGGCCTGTTGTTGGCCACTGCTCCTGACACTTTGCCAAAACGGGATTATATTATGGGTCAAATGTGGGGGACAAGTTTCTTACAGGGACAGCAAAGTGTACCATGACCATGATCTGGCCTTGATTTTTGATAAATATAAAAATTTGTATTGCAGGATTATTACTGTTAAGGTCATGCTATTTTAGATCTTTTTACAGCTAGCAACTACAGCAGATAAAAGCTGCCTATTGAATGTTTCCTGATTTGTGGTTAACAAAAAGCACATGCTCTACAAGTGTCCCTGAGGTGCACTTGCACTTTGCACGCTGCTACACACATAAATCTGAGTGGCGAGGCTTAGGAAGGGGCATGTGGGAATGTGAACCTGCCTAAATATAGATGAACCAGTGGCCATCGATACCCCACCAACGGGGGTCAGAGAAAAAGAGACACTTGGATTTATTCAAGGGGTCTTAAAATCCTCCTTCAGGCCATGTCCATCACTGCTCCTTGGCAATTGTGCATTTCAATAAGAACTTTTTCATTAATGCTGCATATTGTTCCTTTTGCGTGTTTATGTATTTTGTAATCAAGCTATGGTGTAATATAATTCAGGACTTTTTCTCACACAACTTCCTTTACTTTTGTATTTATAAAGGGAAGTATACCATAATTAAATGCTGTCTAAATTAAGAAAATAAATCTGTTGTGTTTATAAAGTGTAGTAGCAGTGGCTAATATGTTGAAGGTAACAATTGTGTTCTTCTTGAGTAGATGTTGGAGGATTTCTCTCATCTTCTCACATAAGATAGAAGGATAAATTCATAATGTATATAGTTCATTGTCAAGCAGTATTACACATTTTGTCTTTTTTTTTGTGTGTGTGTCTGCCAATGACAATTTAAAATGCACTGTGTAACTTTTTGGTTGGGGTTCTGTCACCTGCTTGGACTGGACTGCTCTGCCTGGAATGTTCCACAGTATGACATTAAATAGTTCTACCTTACTTTTATTCAATTACAGGTGGTTTCATTGCTCAGAAATACCTACCATTCTGAGTGGGGTCGCCTCCCCACAGACCTGTAAAGTGGTCTAGTTTGTTCTCCATGAAGATAGAAAGGTTTAATACCATACTATGAAACATTCTAGACAAAACAATAACATATCCATGGAGAAAAGTATTTGACAGGCCTGCCAAGAGAAAAGTTACACAAAGCACCTTAAAGCTTATTCTGACTGTGTCTGTACCTATGCCTATTTAGGGTTGAGAACTCCTCCTCTAAGCTGGTCCAAGCCGCTCAGATGCTGAAGGCAGACCCTTACTCCGTCCCAGCTCGAGATTACCTGATCGACGGCTCCAGGGGGATACTCTCTGGGACCTCTGACCTCCTGCTCACTTTTGACGAGGCAGAGGTATCAGTTTGACTGTACTCACAAGCCCCCAGATCATGGGTTTCAGCTTCCTTTTTATAGGTGCCATTTTGATGACTTTTATCATTCAAAATATATATATTTTTTATTAATTGTTAAGGCAATGGTGGAAATTTTCTTTTCAACTAAGGCTGCACAATAACATATTCTGATAAAATCGAAATCTCAGCTTGAGTTGGCGCAGTTTTCAAATTACAAAGGCAACGTAAAGTTTTAGAATGTCCTCTGCAAATAATGAAATATTGTCTTTTTATAGAACAATCTTATTGTAGCTGTAGTTTAGACCTCTACACACATGGTCTGAAATTCATGGGATTCCTGTAATAGTTTTTTCATATTCAGTCTTCTCTCAAATGTGAATGCTGCTGGAGTTTTAAACATATATTGCAAATCTAAATAACATTAATCCTGGTCAGAAAAATCAGCCTTAGTTTAAACCCATGGATAGTCTCACAGTGAAAGAGTGGAAGTCAAGGCTGTTCAGGTTCTGTAATGTAGTTTAAACGCTGCTAATCTAATCTCCCAGATCAAATTACTTCCCTGTGACGTAGTTCAAGATCTGTCCATCTCTACTGCGTGGATTGTAACTGAGGGCTATGGTATGCATGGACTTGCTACGGTGTGCCTTCATTTGTATGTTTGAAGTTTCAACATGTAACTCAAATCACACTGCGCACGTGTTAATGGTGCCCAAATCTCATCGTCAGGGCAGCAGTCACAAGACAGACATCACAAGACAAAAAACAAAGACACCATACAAGATACTAGTTTTCTCCAAGGATATCCAAAAATAACAGTATCAAAAGTTGTTACATGTATTCATTATTTTATTTTTCATTTTTTTAATAGAAAGGAAATCGTTTGTAAAATAATACTGATGCTAAAATATAATTTATTTTGCTTCAGGTGAGAAAGATAATCCGAGTGTGTAAAGGAATCCTGGAGTACCTCACTGTAGCAGAGGTTGTGGAGACCATGGAGGACCTCATCACTTACACCAAGAACCTAGGACCAGGTAAAGAAAAGTAACACTTATTAAATGAACAACTATATAACATCGACATACAAGTACTTTTTGAAATGGAGAAAGAAACTGGTCTAAGTAGTTACAATCTAAAGTTCTGGGGTTTGCTTGCAGGATTTGTCTGCTCAGTTTTTTGAATGTCTCTGACCACTCTTCACTCCCATTTTATATTGCTTGCCAATGGTTGAAACAAAATGATTCACTATTTATCATGTGTAAATTGTATTAGCATTAGTGGGGTATTTTTTCTTATTGATCCTAATTATCTAACTAAACTAAATCTAAAGTTTTAATGTGGTATTTTAATGCCTTTCTTTTTACAATATGGCTCAAAAGGGGTTACTGTCCTAAAAAAAACATTATTATCATTTATCAAAATATTTTTCATTTATTTTTATATATTTTCTTTAGCAATATACCTTATATTGACCTACCTTTCACATGATTCTGCTTTTATTTGCTTTACATAGAGCAATACTAAAGTTTATAATAATTAATGCCCACTTTATTTTTGACTTACTGATCAACATTCTGCAACACCAATAAGGGATCAAAACATTTTCACTTGGAGCAGGTGGACCATAAACAGTCAATTCATCTGGGGTGCTAAAAGGTAAAAGGTCAGTAGTGTTGTCAGCGCATTGAGGCATAATGAGCCGGGGAGAAATCCGATGCCAAGGTTTTCCACACGACTGATGCTTCCATTGTGCGTGATTGGACATTTAGGACGTAACAATCGAGCCTGCTCAGCTGCTTAAACTGTACTTTGCCTTGGCTCTTAACAAAGATCTAACTTAAAAGTCTTAAGTTTCTTGGTTGTTGAATTGACTTTTTAGAAGATTTTGATTTCTCGGCATTAATTTATTTATATTGACCTGAGCTGAAGGAAGAGGGCATGAGTGGGACATTTCCTTCCTTTTTACATACAAATATGCAGTTTACTAGTATTTTTCTTGTCTCGTTTGTGTCAAATATTTGTATGGATCATAGAAATTGTTTTGTGATCTTATTCTAATGTTACACCCCACTTTTATTTGACTAATCGGAGCACATAGTGTGTATTTTCACCAAGAATTTCTTAAATTGATTAAAGCCCCACAAATTTGGCTAAACTGTCCTTTTCCTTGCATTAGGGATGACTAAAATGTCGAAAATGATCGATGAGAGACAACAGGAGCTGACCCACCAGGAGCACAGGCAGATGTTGGTGAGCTCCATGAACACAGTGAAAGAGCTGCTGCCTGTCCTCATTTCAGGTGAGTAAACTGTGTACGGGAGGTTGTTACTCTGATGCAGCAGTAGAGGAAAAAGAGAGGTCACACAGCGTCAATCTGTCACTATAGCAACCAGAATAATTACAGTCATTAGTTGCGACTTGTGACAGTTACAGTAGGCAGTGCTTGGAGCTGCCATAGGTTTGAAACTTAAGGATGGAGATTTCTACAATCTTTTAGACTGCTTAGAGCAGACATGTCAGACTCAGGTCCAGGGGCCAAATGTGGCCCGCGATTTAATTATATTTGGCCCGCGAGATCATATCAAATATGTTTTAGAGCTGGCCCGCCGGCTATAGATAGGCTATAGAGACATTATTATTAAACATTTTGTTGTTATTGGCCCTCGCCACTGCGAGGGGTATTGTTCTTCGTCGGTTTCTTTTCTTTTTTTTTTCTTTTTTTTTATTCCCTTTTCCGACCAAACGATCGCATTTTTGACCCCCTGAACATCGACGAAAAGTCCCCAAACCGGGGTCCAGATCGACCGGTCCGGCAAAAAATTCGATAAAACGGGCATCGCGACAATGCCCAAAGCCCCCCCATTCAACAGCGCCCCCTTGAAATTTCAAAATTTTGAGATGACTGGGAGGCTCAGACGCATATTTTGGAGTAGGGTCACGAAATTCGGAACAGTGATAGAACTCATGGAGACAAACAAAAAAGCCAATCATTGTGCACCCGTATGACGAACAGGAAGTCGGCCATATTGGATCAAAAATTCGGCGCCGTTTCGACTTGGGGGTCTACAAAAAGATTCAAGTCCCCGGGGTTTCGTCCAAATGAGCTCAGATTTGACATGTCACATCTAGAGACATGAACTCACAGAAATTTTCAACTTTTTTTTGAGATACTCCGTACGGTTCGCCCGTAGCACGCCGGCGAATAACGCCTTCGTTTCCTGTTTTTTCGAAGGCCTGTCACGGCCACAGGCATTGTCATAGAGAACTCAAATTCAAATCACAATTGCGTGACCCAGGCCTGAATGTAATGAAATATGAAATCTAATAAAAGTGAACTCTATAGCGCCCCCTAGCATAGACGTGAAACGTCAACATTATCGGATTTTTACCAAATTCGGAAATTAAATTCTATGCCTGATGACAAGCAAAAAAGTGCATTACGGACATGGGGTATTTTTCACAGTTGGCCACCAGGGGTGCAAAGACTCCCCCAAAAAAAGTTAAAAATTTATTACACAAACAGGTTTTGTCCGATCGTGCTGAAATTTGAATCACTAATGCATGATCCCGGCCTGAATATAATACACTATAAAACATATGAAAAATGAACTCTATAGCGCCCCCTACCATAGACATGAAACGTAAGCATTATTGGATTTGTACCAAATTCGGGAATTAAATTCTGTATATGATTACAAGCAAAAAAGTCTATTACGGACATGGTGCATTTTTCATGGTTGGCCAGTAGGGGCGCAAAGACTCCCCAAAAAAATAATAAAAAAAATGATTACACCCACAGGCTTAGTCCGATCGTGCTGAAATTTGAATAAGAAATGCATGATCACGGCCTGAATATAATACACTATAAAACATATGAAAAGAGAACTCTATAGCGCCCTCTACCATACACATGAAATGTCAACATTATCGGATTTGGACCAAATTCGGGGATTAAATTCTATGCATGATTACAAGCAAAAAAGTCCATTATGGACATGATGCATTTTTCATGGTTGGCCAGCAGGGGCGCAAAGACTCCCCCTAAAAATAGTAAAAAAATGATTACAGGGACATGCTTAGTTCGATTGTGCTGAAATTTGAATCACTAATGCGGGATATTGGTCTGAATATAATAAACTATAAAACATATGAAAAGTGAACAGTATAGCGCCCCCTACCTTAAGGCCCGTTCAGACCAAAGCGTCAAAGCGTCCACTTTCTATGTAAAGTCTATGTGGACGCGCGACTAGAGCGTCCTGCGTTTTTGCAGCGCGTTTTCGGCGTCAGCGCGGCGCGAATCTGGCGTCGACGCGGCGCTTCTTGAGCGTTTTGGCGTCAGCGGCCAAGACGCGCGTCCAAAGCGTCAGCGTCAAGAAGTTGAAAATGCTGAACTTTTCACGTCAGACGCGCCGCGTCAACCAATCAGGGACGAGTATCCAGTGACGCAGCGACGTTATTATCAGGAAGCAAGACCCGAGAACCAGAACCAGAACCACCAACATGAGCGGAGCATAAATATATACGCCACAATCACCGAGCCGATCGCAAGGACTACACCAGGACCGGACCAGGACTAAACCAGGACTCGACTGGGACTAAACAAGAACTAGACCGGGACCAAACCAGGACTAGACCGGGACTGATTCAGTGTCATTAGCGGAGTATAAATATATATACGCCCCAGTCGTCGACCCGATCTCCTCCGCTGATGTTTTATGTCATAAAAACACTCTCTCAGTCTGGTCTGATATTGTTTTGGGAAAAGACCGGGACCGGGCTTTTGTTTCCAGGGCAACGGACGCGCGTCAAGTATTTTTGTCCCGTTTGTTCACGGCGTCAAAGACGCGCGTCGGGGGCGTCTACACTCAAATGCAAACGCGTCCAAATAGAGGCGTCAAGGCGTTTTTTGACGCTTTGGTGTCAACGCCTCTTTAGACATGAAATGTTAACATTATCGGACTTGGACCAAAGTCGGGGAATAAATTCTTTGCATGATTATAAGCAAAAATGTCTATTACAGTCATGGTGTATTTTTCACGGTTGGCCAGCAGGGGCACAGAGAATCCCCCCAAAAATATTGTAAAAATTATTATATGCACATGTTTTGTCCGATTGTGATGA